CAGATTGGAAAGACGATAAGAAACTTGTCAAGGAATTTCAAACCAAATGTAAAAAAGTTTGGGGTTTGAGCAAGCTCCGTATGGAAGATCAAGAAAAGATTCAACAATTGATGGTAGCATCTTCTGGAAATTCCTCGACAGCATTGGGTTCTTCGAGTGGTGGTGGTGGTGGTGGTTCGGAAGAATCTCCTGAACAAGCACAAAAAAAGAAAGAATTTGAAGAAGAAAACAAAAAGATTTGGGCCATCAAAGATCATTTGAAACAATTACGTTTAGCCTCTCTTCGTGAAATGCTCTCAGAGAATGGTCAAATTGAAAAGGGTGGTGAAGATTTATTGATTGAAAGATGTGCTTTGGGAATGTTGTTTGGATGTTTACCTTCATGTCCTAATGATACTTGTCAAGATGGATACATGACATTCTCAGGTGGTAAATTTAAATGTAAGTCATCTGACTGATCAGTAGAGATACAGTTATCTTCCAAATAACTCGACATTCAATTTTTTTTTCCAAATTGTTCATAACTCATATAACCCTTTTCATTCAATAATCATTTGTATTCCACTTCATACTTGTACGTTCATGAATCAATGGACAAATGCCTGCTGTCATTCCTCTAATCTTTATATATGAATCATATAGGTCATGGTAAATTAGAATGGACCAAATGTGATTATTCACTTACTGTTGATGAAGCCTTTGAAAAGGCTACTGATTGGGTCATTCCAGAATCCTTACAAGAAGATGATGACTATTTTGCTAATTTCAAATTTGTCAAACACAAAAAGTGTGATTATGTTTTGGAGAATATCATGAAAAATACTACCAATGCAGAATCTTCTCAAAATAATGATACTACTACTGATGAGGCTCAAGATGAAATTGATCCAGAAAAGGAAAAACTTCCATTGGGTAATTATAGAATTGCCTTATCTGGTAAATTGAGTATGAAACAAAATGAAATTCAAGACATTATTGAAGAAAATGGTGGTATCTTTAAGAGTGATGTAGTTAAAGGATGTACACATCTGGTCTGTACCTCAAAGGAATATGATAAGGATACAACCAAAGTCAAGAAGGCTAAAAAACTCAACATTCTCATTATGGATGAAGATTTCATTCATATGAGTGCTGAAAAGGAAAAGAAATTAGATGAATCTGAATATAAGGATTACATTCTCTATAATCCTGCAGATAAGAAGAGAAAGACCTCGGATGAGTCTTCAAGCCTTGAAGAAGAATCTAAACCAAAAAAGAAGAAATTGACGATTAAGGGAAGAGCAGCAGTCGATGAAGATTGCGAAGATGCTGAAAATCTTCATGTCTATGAAAGTGGTGATGATGTCTATTCTGTTCATTTGAATTTGACTGATCTCCAAACTGGTATCAATTCCTATTATATTATTCAATTATTGGAACATGATCATACCAAAGAATATTATTGTTTTAGAAAATGGGGTCGATTGAATTCATCTATTGGTTCAAACAAATTGACTGAACATTCCTCTTTATCCAATGCACTTCATGAATTTACAACCACTTATTATGATAAAACTGGTAATCAGTGGTCTCAAAGACATTCCTTTGAAAAGAAACCAGGTCGATTCTTTCCAATTGATGTTGATTATGGTGAAGATGATTCTCAAACTGATTTAGATGCACTTGAAAAGAAGATGAATCAAGAATATCATGGTAAATTATTACATCCTGAAGTAGCATCCTTGGTCAAGTTAATATTTGATGTCAAGACCATGAAACAAACATTGAAAGAAATGGAAATTGATACGGACAAGATGCCACTTGGACGATTGAAAAAGTCTCACATTTCAAAAGGATATGAAGTGTTGAATGAAATTCAAAATGTATTGAAACAAGTTCGTGAGAAGGAAGAACGAGAGGGAATTGTTGTGCCAATGGTAATGAATACAAGTTGTTACTCTGGTAACAACAACAACAACACTCCAACCAGTGTGATTATGGACACTTCCAATGATGATGATGTGGTTACTACAACTATGACTGGTACTATGACTGGTACTACGACTGGTACTACGACTGGTACTACTACTACGACTGGTACTACAACTACTCCAACTATTCCAACTCCAAAGAGTTCCATTCATCAACAATTTAAACAACAATTTCTTACTCTATCGAACAAATTCTATACCATCATTCCAACCAGTAATCCTGAAATTATTGATGATGAAAATTTATTGAAAGAGAAGATAAAATGATTGAAGCATTACAAGAAATGGAAATTGCAACTTCACTTCTTAAAAGTGATTCTAATGAAGGTGAATCAGATCCATTGGATGGTTATTATAAGAAACTTGCTACCAATCTCACTCCTCTTAAAAAGGATTCTGATATGTTTGCAATGGTGAATGAATATTTACAAAATACTCATGCATCCACTCATAGAGAATATTCACTTGAATTGATTGATGCATTTGAAGTGGAACGTTTGGGTGAAAATGAAAGATTTAAAACATTTGAGAATTTACATAATCGACAATTGTTGTGGCATGGTAGTAGAGTGAGTAATTTTGGTGGTATTTTATCACAAGGTAAGTTGTATTTGGTGTGTGTGGAATGAATGGCATATTGTGTGGAATGGAATATTTTTGAATTTATTTTTGAATTTGAATTATTTTTGAATTTATTTTTGAATGGAATATTTTGAATTTATTTTTGAATTTATTTTTGAATGGAATTTAATTTATTCATGTCCATGTATTCATTCCATAACCTATTGATGGAATGTATTTTGATTCTACACCCCCTTCAAATTAAGGTTTGAGAATTGCTCCACCTGAAGCTCCAGCCACTGGTTACATGTTTGGTAAGGGTATTTACTTTGTAAGTAGAGAGTGTGTTGTTTTTTTTTCAACAGAGACTGATTATGTTGTTGGAATAACAAAATCACAGGCCGACATGTCCTCCAAATCAGCCAATTATTGTAGAACTAGCCCTGATGCCAATGTTGGTGTTTTATTATTGTGTGATGTTGCACTCGGTAACATGTATGAACGTCTCCAAGCTGATTATATTGAAAAGTTGCCAAAAGGTTATCATAGCTGTTTCGGACATGGTAAGACAGAGCCCAATGATTCCATGGCCAAATACATTTGTGATGGAAAAGTGAAAGTACCACTTGGAACAGCAACAAGCTCCAATGTACCACGTCATGCTTCTTTGTTGTACAATGAATATATTGTCTATGATATTGCTCAAGTGAACATCAAATACTTGTTGAAGGTTAGATTTAATTATAAGAGAGGATATTATTGAGCGAAATAAATTGAGATGTCAAAAAGCTTTCAACGTTGAGTTGGTTCAACATCTTTATTCTTTTGTGTTCTTGTCGCCCCAGGTTCTGCAGTGGGTAAAGAAACAGTGTTTTCACTTGGGTTATTTGAAGATGCACTACTCTTTTTCTTTGATCTTCTACTTGTTTGTTTTGTTGTCTGTCCTTGTCCAGCTGGAGTACTCGCTTGCTCTAATTTGACTGTTTTTGGTTTTCTTTCAGATTGTTGGATGGTGAAAGTTGATTCAATTTTCGTTTCTTCAGACTGTTTTCACTACCATTGCTGGTATCCATATTCACTGCAATAGACTCTGGTAACTTGTTTGATTTCTGTAACAAGGCTTGTAAAATTCCACTTCTATTCACCTCACTCTCGGTAACAGACAGTGATTCACATGTTGTTGTAGCCATTGATTGTTGTTGCATTGATTTCTTTTTCTTCAAAGGATTAGGTGGTGGTGGTAATTGTTTCTTCTTTACAATCTTGACTTGTTTGGATGTTAGAGGAATATCCAATACAGTTCGATCAAATTCTTCACCAAGAGTATATTGATTGAGAGTATTGGCTCGTTGATATCGAATCTTGTCATTGGCAAATCTTAATCTTGATAACGTGTAAATACCAGGTACAAATGGATAGGGTACACAAGCTTCAAAGGGTCGAATGGTTTCTTCTAACACTTGAATTTGATTATTCTCCTTTTCATTGGATGATTTGTTTTGACGATCTTTTGAATGATTGCTATTGTTGTTGTTGTTGTTGTTGTTACTACTACTCTTTGAAGTTGTTGTCGTCATTGTTGTCGTAGTTGTTGTCGACTTTGTCTTTGCATCATTTTGAACAGCACCTCCAACAAGACCACCTGAATGTTTCAATAACACAGTATTACTACTACTACCAGAACCAACACATGTAAATTGTATCGTTCCAATATGTTTGTTATTAATAACTTCATCAGTAATGGTAGGATATTTCTCTTTCCATTCCATAATACCTTGTCGTATCAATTCATAGGGTTCATTCGATGCAATCCAATGATTATCATTTCCATTTTCATAATTAAATTTAGAATCAATATGTAATAAATCACATAATTTAGGAGAGAATGAAAATAATTCAATTAACTTGTCATGTGGAAGTGCATGTGAGTTGTGAGAAGTAATCATTGAAAAGAGACATTCCAGTGGTGTTAAATGATAAGTATCTACAAGTTCTTGAAAGGATGTAGTAATCTTGAAAGTAGGATTGATGGATGATTTCTTTGGAGTGTTGTTGGTTTTGGTGGTTGTGTTACTTTGATTTTCAATTGTGTTGAGTGGAGTAGTCATTGTTGAACTAGTACTACTACTGCTACCATTAATAGTAATAGTACTACTACTACTACTTCCACTCATGGTACCATTCATAGTATGGTTCAAATCTTGAATCATGATGCTTGTACTACCATCCTCCTCCATCGTACTATTGGAAAGAGTACTAGTTCCATGGTCATTTGCTTGAGTACTAGTTCCATAGTTATTTGCTTTTTTTTCTCTTTCAATTAAGGCTAACAAATCAACCATTGATAATTTACGACTAAAATATTCCATAATTGGTAATTGTCCTTTGAATTGAAGTACACATGCTGTCAATTGTTTAAAGAATTGAATAGCATTGTCTGGATTAGGTGCTATGGTACTTCTCTTATCTCTTACATAATTACCAAATACAAATAGTAAATTATTGGTATTAATATTTAAAATATATTCATTGGTCTTTTCATCATGTTTCAATGTAAATATTGAATAATTTGTTTTTTCAGTTTGAATTAATTTAAAATATCTTCTCCATCGATGTTCCAAGGTTTTGGCAAATGGATTGAAATAATCACATCCACCTGCAAGTAATGAAATACAAACAAAATCCAAACATAATTGTTGAATAATTTCATTACTATTGGGTAGAATGGATGGTTGTGGATTTATAGAAGAGGAAGGTATTGAAGAGGAGATTTGATGATTGTTGTTATCATGATGATTAGAGATTTGATGATTGTTGTTATCATTGTTGTTCATGATGGAAGAGGAAGGTATTGAAGAGGAGATTTGATTCATGATGGAAGAGGAAGGTATCGAAGAGGAACTCGTCATTGAAGCATTCTGTGGATTCATCGTACTTGTCACTTGATTCATTTTAAATAAATGATATAATAATAATTTCAATCCAGTAATATCAATCATAGTTCCATAGGAACAACGTGTTCCATTGGGTACAAGTACATTGAAGGAACAATTCAATTCTGGATTTGATAATGGTATTAATACCATATCAGAATCATGTGAAATGATTAATACAGAAGTGGAAGGTCTAGTATTGTTATGACTATTATTACTACTACTATTACTACTACTATTACCATTATTATTATTATTACCACTACTACTATTATTACTACTACTACGATTACTCTTTTTACTAGTAGTAGTTTGCATGTATTTTCTTAAATGTTCAATAATTTTAGTTTCTCCTTCTCCTGATCGACAAGATGAAGAAACATAAACAGTAACATTATGAGTCTTTGAATAATGAAAAGCTAAATTCAATACTGCTTCATAAATCTTTTTAGAGAGATTAGTACCTGGTGAGATTTCAACGGAGAGAGATCGTTTTTTAGGAATTTCAAAGAGTGGTGGTGAATGATCCTTTTCCATGTTCACAGTTGTGGTAGTGTGCCATTGTCATTATTTTCATCATCACTCATTTCTTCATCTGCTAAATCCAACATGATTTCATCATTGGGTACATTTGTATGATTCTCAGTGATATCCATAGGATGATTGGTATGATTCTCACTGATATCTACAGGATCATTGGTATGATTCATATCTACAGGATTATTGGTATGAATATCTACAGGATTATGATGATTCTCAGTGATATCTACAGAATCACTAGACGACATATTTTTCTTCTCTCCATTTCTCTTTTTAGATTCTTTAGCTCTATTACTTCGTTGTTTAATTCTTTTTGATTTTGTTGCAACTCCATCAAAAGATATAAACCAATGAGTTTGAGCCTTAAAATTAGTCATGACTTCTTCAAGACTTTTAATGACACCTCTCACAATTTTATCATCACAAGTGTTGTCAGTTGTAGTACTCTTATTTTGAGAAGATGATTTTTTAGAATCTTGTGGTCGAGAAGAGGATGATTTTTTAGAATCTTTTTGACTACTACTACTTTCACTCTTATTTTGAGAAGATGATTTTTTAGAATGACTAGTTTCAGTAGTACTACTATTGGTTGCATCGATGGAATTTTGAACTCCTCGAACCACACCATGAATTAATGGATTGATGTCAATATAGATACAATCAAATACTTTGGAATGAATACGATTACTAATGAATGGAGGTTGAAATTTAGTTTCATTTGATTTGTTATTATTATTATTGGAATTATTATTATTGAATTATTATTACTAGTAGAACTACTACTACTACTTTGGCTTGAACCTTTCTTTACATTATTCTTTCTTTCATTGGTAACATTGGAAATAATTTGTTGATATCGAGCACCAATGTGTTCTTGTTGATAGAGAGAATTAATGATGGAATTGAGTTGAGACATGAACGATGGAACACCCATTTCTAAATGTTTCAATGAGATGTGAAGAGTTTCAATGAGATGCTGTGAAATGGATGAGTCTATAGATTAACGTGTGAGTGTGGTTGTCGGAATGTATATTGATTGATTCAAACAAGCTGTTGTTTCGCTGATAGAATACGAGGTAATTTTTTTTGTGGTTCAACACCCATGTTGAATGCTAGGGTGTTGGTAAACATGTTATTGACTGTGCGAATGGCATCGACGCGATATGACTTGTGTGTATGCATATGACAAGGATGCATGATGAACAATTTCCCAATTTGAGATTCAACATGAAATAGGGCGGTAATGTTTCAGTTATTTACACAAAAAAACCCGCGATAGTTCATTGAAAGTCAAATACAACAACAACAAGTCGCCAATCATCCTCGCCCATCTGATCATCCTCATGATTCACTATCATCATTATCATTCTTCACACAGTAATCTCTCGGAGGATGGGATTCTCCAACAACATCACTCAATGAAGAGAATGCATCTTCTCTAAATATTTTAGCCTCTTCCTATGATGACTCGACTCTCCAACAACAATTCTATTCGAGTATGGTCGTTGAATGGCAATTGAAATATATTGATTTTAAATTTGTGAATGATCGATTGAAGAACATTCAAGAGGAATTGAAACAATTGAAAAGATCATCCTCGACGAATCAAATAACTTCTCATGATCGTACTCATAGAAGAAGAAGATCAATTGGCGCTAGTTTGTATCGATTCGCTGTCGATCGTGTTTTAGCAACGAGTAGTAGTAGTAACACAAGTGAGAATGACAGTACCACTTCACAGGGTCATCATCCATTCGATCATGACATTCAAGAATTGATTCATGATTTCAAATATTTACTCTACAAGGAATTGAATAAGATCAATTCTTTTTATACTCAACAAGAAAATGCAATGATCATTGAACATGATCGTTTATTAGAACAAATTGAAAAGATTAATGAAATGTTTCATGATCGACAATATGCATCATCATTACTTTCAATACATCTTCAAACAACAACAACAAGTTACAAATTTTAACATTTAATCAACGACAAAAATTGAAAGAAGGTCTTGAAGAACACTATTATAATTTAAATTTATTATTGAATTATAGATTGGTGAATTTCAATGCATTGATTTATTTGTGTACTAGATTAGAAGAAATTGTTGGACGAAAAGTGAAATGGAGTTTTTATGAAATGAATGAAATGATTCATCCATCAACGAATGATCATCACTCTGCAGAGATTCGAAATGATCATGAAACCACAACAACAACAACAACAACACACAGTACCATTGGTATGACTTCTCAAATCAACTCTCAATTCAACCAATCTTTGAATGAAGAGGATGATTTTAAACTTTCAACCAACAAATTTATCAAATCTCAATATTTCAAAGATTCTAAAATTGTTGAACATCATATTCGTGATACTGTTGAATATTATGCTGAATATTTCTTTGAAAAAGATACTAAGGCAGCCATTGCAGCATTGGGAAAGATGAGAGGAGGTATTCTAGGAAGTGCTTCAGGTGGTTATGGTGGCAGTTATGGTGGCACATTCTTCCATTCATCATCAAAAGATGTCTTCTACAGTGGTATATTATTAGGTACCTTGTTCATTCTCATTGGTGTGAATATATTCTATTATTTTCATACCTATGAATTTGCACCAAATTTATCAAGTATTGATTATAGTGATCAATCCTTTTCACTCTATCGATTAATTCTATTTCCAGTCATGTTAGCATTTCTCATTGCAGTGAATATTAGAATTTGGTCTAGCCACTCTATTAATTATATCTTTATTTTAGGATTGAATCCATTGATGAGTTTACAAACTTTTCGATTTCTAACCATTACCTATTAATGTTAAATATTATATTTGTATCTCAACTCATGTACATGATGAATACTGTCTCGTACTTGTATGGTATCATGAATATTGGAAAGTATGCATATTGGCATCCAATCATTTTATGGATTCTATTATTACTCTATTTATTCAATCCATTCAAAATATTGAACTTTGAATTTAGATATTGGTTTTTGAAATGTGTGTTGAGAATGTTAGCCTCACCTTTCACTGCTGTTCGATTTAGTGACTTTTTCATTGCAGATCAATTAACAAGTTTAGGAGATGTTTTATTTGAATTACAATTCATTGCATGTATTTATCCAGCAACCAGTCAATCGAATGTAATGAAATTATTTTGTGATTCTACGAAATCGATTGGAATTCCAATTCTCAATTACATTCCTTATCATTGTAGATTTATGCAATGTTTGAGAAAGTATTATGATACTCGTCAGAAAATGCATCTTTTAAATGCATTGAAATATGCATCGAGTTGTATCGTTGTCATTGTTGCATTTATCGACAAGTTAATGATGATGACTCGAGGAACGCATGATTCTTATTGGACTTTTTTAAGAATTGTTTGGCTCATTGGTAACATGTGTTCGACCTGTTTGAAATTGTATTGGGATTTGAAAATTGATATGGGTCTCTTTGAAAATGGAGTTTCCTTGTTGTCATGGCCATGGTCATCTTCGTCATCTTCTTCTTTTCATTTATTTCTGAGAAGAAAATTAATCTTCTCTCCACTCTATTATTATTTGGCCATGATTGGAAATATTATATTGAGATGGGCATGGTTACCATTTGTATTTGTAAAGGCTTTTGTATTCATTGAACCAAGTACTCTTGAATGGATTCTCTACATGTTCATTACTTTGGAATTATTGAGAAGATTTGTTTGGAATATCTTTCGAGTGGAACATGAGAATTTGGCAAATATTGAAAATTATAGAGCAACCAAAGACATTCCACTTCCCTTTGATACCACCACGACCAGTAATCGAATTGAACAAGTACAATCCAAGAAGAATTTTTATATGGATTTGAAAAAGACCTCTCATGACAAAGCCTCTTCATGGGCTCGTAAGGTAATGGAAATGGCCAAGTCCATGCTTTTATGTTTTGGTCGAGGTGATGCTGTGGATGATGAAGATATTTGGATCATTGACGAAGAAGAATTAGAGAGATTGAGAAGAGAGAATGCCAAGAGACCAAATTTGAAAATTCAGTTAACGTTACCGTTTGATCTCGAAACGTTGCGTCGAGAATTTGGTGTGGTGCCTCACTCTCGAGAGCAGACCACCTCAGACCACCTGGTGACGAGTAGTAATCAGATCCATACGGATTCGAACCAGAGTAGTGTTGGTGTTGTTGGTGTTGCTGGTTCTGGTGCTAGTGCTGCCAATACTACAGAAGAACCACTAAGGGTTGGTAAGGATCATCGCCCTTACTCGCTCACAGAAAATTCAATGATCACACCATAGTCATGATGGATGATGATGACCATAGATATGATTTAGAGAATGACAAATTGTTGTAACGTTGAATGGTTGTGAAGATTGTGTGAAGAGGTCAGTTGAATACACTGAAGAGAAACACGTATTTTCCAATACAGTAATCCGATCGACAATAATTTTCAAAAAAATGACAAAACTTGCCCTCTCCTTGGTGTGTTTGCTTGTGTGCTTTTGTGGTGTTGTTCTTGCTGGATCGGCCGATGATGATTTGAAACAAGTTACTGATAAAGTATATTTTGATATGCAAATTGGTGATAAACCTGCTGGCAGGATTGTGTTTGGATTGTTTGGTAAGACTGTTCCAAAGGTAAGTACATTTCATCAATGCATTGTTTGGTGTAACGTTGAATGTATTAATCTGAAAATTTATGATGATTTGATGATACTCCCGATGAAATCATCACACTATAGACTGCCGAAAATTTCAAGCAATTGGCCACTCATGCTAAAGGCTTTGGCTACAAAGGATCAAGCATTCATAGAATCATCTCTAACTTTGTCATTCAAGGTGGTGATTTTACTCATCACAATGGTATGGGTGGTAAATCCATTTACGGAGAAAAATTTGAAGATGAAAACTTTAAGATCAATCACTTTGTGGGATGTCTTTCAATGGCCAATGCTGGAAAGGATACCAATGGCTCTCAATTCTTCATTACTTTGGGTCCTACTCCATGGTTGGATGGTCGACATGTTGTGTTCGGAAAGGTTTTGGAAGGCATGGACGTTGTGAGAAAGATTGAAATGGTCAAGACACACGGTCATGATAAGCCTGTAGCTCCTGTCAAGATTGTTGATTGTGGATTGTGGACGGACGACATGGCTGATTATTAGGGATATCATCATGTCACCTGACTCGATGATCTTATTATTAAAAAAATTACAAACACTTGTCAATATGATTCTCTCTCTGCGGCTTCCTTGAAAGAACTCCAAACAGCAGAGTTCCCGCCACGACGTACTGAATTCAAAAAAAAATTCATAAATCTCTACCATGACGTTCAAAGGCAAAATAAGATTGATGGTGAATTTGGAGCGATTCATCAACTCTGGTATGCTACATAAAGGATATTATTACGTCCGAATTGAAGTAAACCCTCGAGAGCAATGCGTTGCACGGAATGCTTTTGCATCAAGCCCTTCTTCTACAACAGCAACATCAATGCGTGATCATTCCAGAAAAAAGTCTTCATCAGCACATTACAGCGGAAATAAGGAACAAGTTCGTGAAAAGTTTCTAATCAACTCGTTTGTATTACATTCTTCAACAGAAGGACGACAAGGAAAATACGATGCAAATCATGTACATAATAACTCGGCATCAGACTTTTCAGTTAGATTTGTAGACTCTAACGCCATTTTGGGCATGTCATCGACACACCCTTTATTACCGCATCAAAACAACATAAAAATTGATATGATGATGAATGAGCAATTTAAGGAAGATTCTAGAAAGGTTTACAACAACTCAAAGCAATCTCAAGTATTTTATATCAGATATAGAGAACAAGAAGTTATGCTTCATGAAATTGTTATTTTTGACATCTCTGCTGACATGTCCACTCTGCTCAAGTATAATTTAATTGATATTGATTTCCAATTATTTCACTTACCAAAAGATAAGGAAGGAATTCAAAAGGAAGAAAAGAAATTTGAAAGAATGAAAAAATATGAATATCAAGTGAAACAATTTGATGTCAATGATTTTGTAAAAGTAGCTGATCGATCCATTACTATTAGAAAGGCAATTAGAGGTTTTAATTTATACTATCCAGCCATTTTTGAAAATTGGTATTACAGTATCCTCAAATCATCCATTCATATCGTGTTACTCGATGTGTCCTATAATACTCTTCCACCACGAAGACTGAATAGTGAATTACAAACTCTTTCTTCTCCAATCATTCTTAAATCCAATACAAAGAGTGGAGGAGCAAGCTGTACCTCCCAAATAGATGCTACTCTCGATCAAGAAGGTAATGCAGAGACTTTGTTTGATGAAACATGGTTCTCTTCAGTTTCTTCCTATGAGAAAAACCTCATCCTTGATCTAACAGAATTGTATCCAAATGTACTTGCTAGAAACAGGTCATGGAAGAGAGCTGATGTTATTTCTCATAGTATTGAATTCGCAAGAGAAATTGTAACATGTTTAATGGGATCTAGAGATGCACTGACATACCTTATTAATGATCTTTGTGAAAAGTCATCCACTCCTACCAACACACATGAAAAGAAATCTCTAATCTCATCACTCAGAAGAAAGTCTTTTTCAGATGTTACTGATTCAAAATATAGTATTGAAGCTCTCGCACCAAAATCCACTCTTTCCAATCCATTTCTTTACAATTCTCCAAGTGCAAAATTACTACAATTGAAACCTGTAGGAGGCTTGCAAGAAACTTGTTCATCTCGCTCTTTGCTTTCTAATCCTTATCAATACAATGAAAAGAAGAAAAATAGAGAAGTAGAAACCTTTATTAGAACTTTGAATCAAAAGTTTGATAATGATATGAATGACTTTGATCTCATCCCTGATGTCATTAGTAGTGAATTTAAACCACTTTTAGAGACCATTGAAGATTTGTGGAAAAATCAACAGAAATTAATTGTAGATCAACCAAAATTTGTTTTACAAAAACTTGAAACATTCATGTTGGAAAGAATGGGGAAAGAATGGAGCGGAGAGAGTTTGTCATCTTTGGAACACATTAATGAATATAACCATGACTCGACACCCACACAAACAACAGACACAGTTCAAGAACAAAAGCACCTTATCAACTCTATCAATAACTTGATTGACACGAATATGTTTTTTTATCCAAGATTTTCACCATTTAGTTTAATTTCTGAAGTTTCAGAGCCTTCTGAAAAAGAGTTATCAGTAGCAGACATTATGGGTGATGAACCATTAGAACCTGTGTTATTTCCGAAAGAGTCCAAAGAAGATCGTTTCAGCACTCTGGACATTCCTCAAAACAGTACTGCGAGTTTACCTCTTGCAGGATCTAAATCTATTTCTAGAAATGGAATTCATGCACAACTCAATAGGAACCATTTAATTGGTAAGTTTATACTGATATTTTGAAGTTTTCTTAGCTTTTCATACTTCTATTATTAGTATTCATTCCAGGCTACAAATCAAGTCACTATGACTTTGTTACCTTCAAAACTATACTTTCTATGCATTTTCATGACGATAAGCATCAATTTTTCATTGTCAAGTCTCTTGACAAATTACATTCCAAAGAGTCGCACAATTACAATAATTCCTCTATCAAGACGATGGCAAAACTTGTAACTGATGAAGTGAATACACACATCAATGACAGTGAACTCTTTTTTCATAAGATTAGCTTTGTATGCCACTCACTTGGAGGAATAATTCTAAGAGCTGCATTTTATCATTATCGTTCAGAATGGAGAAAGATATTCCCATATCTATATACTTTTATGAGTTTGTCTGTTCCTCACTTGGGAATTGGACCTATTAAAAAGTTAAAAAGTAGAGAACCAGAGTATTCTAATCGTTTGGTTCGAGCAGGAATATGGTTTTTAAAATCACTCAAAGGAGAAAAGTGTCTTCAAGAATTAGCGATGGAAGATTATGATGAAAAAGCATGTACAGGTGATGCTCACAAGTTGGAGCAATGTTTACTCTTTCAGTTATCAATGACCAATGATTTAGCATGGTTCAAACAAGTGATTCTCATTGGTTCTGAACAAGATACCTATGTTCCAATGGAATCTGCATTGATTTACTATGAAGCAAGTTTAAAACCTCTCATTTTAACAAAAAAGAAAACATCGAAAAGTATACTCTCAAGAATGATTTCCAATCTATCGGAGACTTTTGCTAATACCAAATTGATTCGATGCAAATGTGACATGACCTACCTCTTTAAGAATCATGAGAAAAAGGAGTTTTGTTCTACTGTGCAAGTTTTCAATAAGAAACATCATACGACAACAATGGAAGACACATTTGATGATGTATCTTCATTTGGAGCGTTATCTTTTAGAAAAAAAGAAAGTGGAGAAGACAGTAGCGAAGACGAAAAGGAGAGCGCCTTTGATGGCTCAAAGAAAAAGATTCAATCTCAATCTTTTGTAGATCGAATTACCAAAAAGATGAATCATACAGCTTATCTGAATCATGTTGGATTGATTAATGGAATTTGTTGTGCATTTCGACAATATTTGGATTAAATTATTTATTCTAGAAAAGATAGACCTTTCTTTTTTCGCTTTCTTGTTTCCATTTTGGTAGTTGATTAAATTCATCTCTGGTCATGGAGAATACTAATTGGAATTCTTCATTGCTCAAGTATTCTTCCAATTTCGTTGCATCCACTCCAGGTGGTAACTGTTCAGAAAGAAGTGTCTTGTAAGAATAGGTCTTTCTTGCATACTCTTTCATCAAATCACTTGCAGGAATTAACACTTCTTTGGAAAGGTTACTGGTATTGGAATTCAAGTGATTGACAATGTATTTGTCTCTGTATGTACCCCATGCATGGAAATGAGTTTTGAATGTGGCTGGTTCTTGACCTGTATAAGTCACGAATAAATTCACGTCAGTGTAGTCTTCTTGATTTTTGGTATTGTTAACAGTTGCATAATGTGTCATGCAATATCTGAGAGAAGTTTCAAGTGCAACCTTTTGGAGATTATGGGATGAATTTGAGCCAAACCACAAGAAACAACCCAACTCTTGTGCATCCAATAAAAACACGTTAAATATGTCCAAGTCGTCTTGTGAAAAATTATAAACTCGCTCCACGTCGACCACTCCAGTTGCACCAGAGAATTGATATAAAATTGGATCTGTTCTCTTCTTTTGTAAATCAAGTTGAGATTTGATAACCTTCTTGATAGGTGTAGCATTCATGGCATTCAATCCAAACAATTTCCATAATGAATCTTTTTCTGCATTTTGATCCATTTGTATTAATTTAGAATCTGGAAATTTCAATACATGATTGGAAACGTGACGAGCAAGAGCCAACTCCTTCTCTTGATGATGATATTTTCCTTTCCATAAATATCCTTCTTTCTTATCTTTGGTAACAATTAAGAGTGTATGATTGGAATTGAAGAGTCGAGAAATTTGTTCAATACTCTTAAACTCACTCGTGTCTACTTGAACGGCCCTTGTCTTTTCACAGAATGATTCTGAACGATCATCACTCTTTGCTATCAATGACTTGACACATCGAATGTCATAAATGTATAATTGTGAAAGTGCTTGTTGGAACACTCTCTTTGAAGATTCTTCTGTCGTTGCGAGATGACCACTACTACTACTTGTATGACTACCAATGGTAGATTTTGAGAATTGTGGTTTTTTCATGGCACTACCTCCCATTTCACTACCACTCGAACTACTACCAATACCACTCGAACTACTATCACCACTTGAATTAAATTTACCCAAAGGAATTACCAATCCATCCAATCCCAAATAGGATTGAAACATACTTAAAAAGTGTCGAGTCTCTTTCTGTTGAATCATTCGAATTTGTGGTGCATCATCACCTTGTAAATTAATATTTGAAACATCAATGGTCAACAATGCAGAAGCACCCTTCTCATTCACAGAACAATCTCTTCCTTGCCAAAAATAAATCAAATGTTTGGCCTTATTCGATTTGTAATATTTGAATAAAATCACAAATGAATCTCCACTAAAGAGTTGTCCATAATAATCATCATTGTAATCTACCTTTTCAAAACCTTCTACTTTCCATATAAATACTTCTGTATTGGTTTCATTGTGAAACATGGGTTCTCGTGGGTAATAGTAGTAGTGATTGTGTTTGAGTTTGTAGTAGTGATTGAGTTAATGTCTTCTCTACATTCAACATGTCATTGACATTAATTTCATGTTGTTCTTTCTTGGCTGCCACATTACCCTTTCCTTGTTTTTCATCAATGGCAGCTTGTGAAACTGCAATTGGTAACACACCTGCATAATCACTCATCTTTTCCTTAAAGAGTATAGGTTCAGAGTGTTCCACAATTTTACAGACACGAGTCCAAATGGGTCGATGATCTTGTTGTTCAATTTTGGAGGCAAAGGTTCGACCAAACAAGCGTTGTTGTTTCGATGAGTATTTTCCTTCCCAAATATAAATTTCACTCAAACAATCCAATACATAGACAAATTGAGATTTCAAATCAGAGAGTGCTGGTTGTGAGTGTCGATGTACAATTTTCAATTGATACTTTCCACTCGTTCTAGTGTTACTACTATTACTATTATTACTATTATTACCATGACCACCACCAGTACTATTACTACCACCCTCTGAAAAATCAAATAAATGTTCCGTGAAATTAATTCGATATAAAATGGTATTCTTATCCATCTTTTCTTCAAATTCTTTATCATCTCCTCCTGTGCTGGGAATGTGATTCAAAAACTCTTCCCGCACAAAGGAAGGATCTCTATATTCAGAAAAGAGTGCATTCCAAAATTGTCGTTCCATTTCACGTTCATCTTCACGTATAGTAGTAGTTGTACTAGTAGTAGCAGTAGCAGTAGTTGTAGTACTAGTACTTGGACCTTCATCAATAATGATAATTTTAGCATTACCACCTCGTTCTTTGAGTTTCAAATTAGTAGCAACATCTAAACCACGTGCTTTTTTGAATCTTGAAGTGTGTTTACCATTCCATACATAAATCAAACTACCACAATCCAATATAAAGACATCTCCTGAATTGATGGATTTTGGTGAGAGTTCAACTTGACGAGAACGAATCTTTTTGTCTCCCTTGATTTGAATGAGAACTTTTTGTCGATTGGCTTTGACTTCATTGGGATCATATTCATTATTGAATAATTTATCTTCACCCAATAGGAAGAGAGAATGGTCATTACTAGTAGTATTCGAGTTGTTACTATTCGAGTTGTTACCACTAGTACTATTGTTACTATTCAGTGTGGAATCACCACTCTCTAAAAAGGTTACCTTAATTTCTTCATAATACAATTTCGATCCATGGAATACGAGTCCCATTTTCGCTTGTTCCACTGTTTTGAATTTAATAATTCCACAAAACGAATGATTCTTGGCATTGGGATCACGCCACAGTTTGATTTTTTGAATTTCACCAAATGTTGCAAAAATCACTCGAATGTCTTGTTTGGAACATTGAGGTGAAATATTCTCAACTTTCAAATAACCTGGTTCATAGAGTTGTTCCTCCGAAAGAGCCTGGACATTGATTTTTGTGGCATCCAAATTCGTATGGTTCAATACGAGTGCATTCATGGCTGAACTCTTTTTATGGAAAGTCACTACGGCTCGATGTTCTTTTGAAAATAATTCAATTTGATCAATGGCGCCAAAAACTCCAAATAAATCTTCCAAGTCTTCTTTCGAGATGGAATCCGATGAAATGGGCCATACTTGAATTTTACCAATACCTTCCTCTGTCATCATCGTCGATGCATTTGTACTCTTTGAATCGGAGGGAGTCGTAGCACTGCTAATTCCCATATCAGAATCGGAATGAGTTTCAATGGGTAATCCTAATTTTTCTAATAATCGTTCTTCTTCAGAGGAACCAACCTTAATGAGACCACTATTGATTTGAATCGTTTCAAAGAGAGATTCTTTTTGTTGTTCATTATTTGCCAAGAAATAGATCAGAGATGGGTTGGATTTGTTCGTAGAAGTAGGATTTCTCTCAAATTTCAAAGTAAAACATAAATTCTTTTCATCATTGCCACCACTCAGAGTTTGTGAAAGGAGTGTATGAATAGTACTATTACGATTGTTACTACTATTGCTATATTACTACTATTACTGCTACTATTACTATTGCTACTAGTACTCTTATTATTATTATTGGAATTTGACCATTCATTCTCTGCCAAAGAATCAATACTTTCAAATCGATGATACTGTGGTAATGCAAAATCCATATTGGTCACTCCTGGTAGAGAAATCTTCTTCTTGGGTATTAATGTGAATGCACTCTCGGGCAATGGTGATTTACGATGTGAATATAAAAAGAGAAATTCTTCAGTAATGACACACCAACGTTTGGCCCAATACGCTGGAATATCTACATCCACACTATTTTGTTGTTTCGTATTCAATTTACCAGAAGAATCAGAAGAATCTTTCAATTGAAGAACAAATCCCTTAAAGATTCGACGATTTCGTACCAAATCTCGATGACAAAGTTTTTTGAGAGTATCTGCCCATGTTTTGATTAATTCTGAATCACCTCCAAGATCACCACTGGTACCAACACTATGACGAGTGTTCGTGCTACCACCGCCACCAATACCACTTGTACTTGAGGCTAGGAATAATGAAACAATTTCATTTGAAATTAAATCATAATAGAGAATTTCCATAGTTTCATGATCTGAAAAATGTTCATCTCCCAATTGATAGGCTAATGATGAATGAATATGAGAAGTGTGAATCATATATTACAAGTGTATGTATCATCAGTGAATCATATAAGTGTATGTATCAATGACAAGTGAATCATATAAGTGTATGTATCATCAGTGAATCATACAAGTGTATATATCAATGACAAGTGAATCATATATTACATGATCAACCTACCTTTGTGTACATAAAACAATTGAGCCATGAAAATCACTCCACTCGTCTTGGACTTGGAATACAAGGAAATGAATTCATTTCGATTGAAATTCTCTTGATGATCCTTTTTCGCAATTTCATCTCGTATGGATTTCACTTGTTGTGCATTCTCTCCATAGATGAGAACACTATTCCATTCAGGATGTGTTTTCGATCGATGTAACGCACAAAATAATTTCCTCCATCGCATTTCCTTATGAAACCAAACATGTAAATACGAATGGAAATAAAATCCATAGGAATTGATGAGAAGAGTCAAATCTTCAGAAAATTCATCCAAATTTCCACCTAAACTACTCGAAGAACCTGCATAGGTATTCAATCCAACATCTACAGAAGGTGCTGATTTGAGTGCATACGATCTTCCTCGAGAAGTTTTCACCGACGTTGTATTATTGGTACTACTAGTACTACTACCAGTAGATGATGTTGCTCCTGAAATACTTGTTTCACTACTGCCACTACCATTGCCACTACTACTACATTGCCACTACTCCCACTACTACTACTACCACTACTACTACCATAATTCTCTCTCATACTCATCAAATCACAAAGACAACTCTTTCCAGAGAACCAATCCATCGATGTCAATGGTGATGGCTTTCCACTTGGCACTGGAGGATATAAATCATCTGAAAAGACATCTTGTTGTTCCTTTTTACGAGGAACATGGAAATTAAACGTTTCAACACTTTCAACATTGAGTTTCATGAAACGTGCCACTTCAAACACTTTGGTATCACACACTCGTTTGGGTAACATGGCAATACCAGTGTTGGTACTTGTTAATTTAAATTCACCTAAAGGATGAACATATGGCTCTGAATTGGAATCAATTTCAAACATTCGAACTTTGGTATCACCTTTTCCTGCTAAATAAAGTAAATGAGAAGAAGAATCATAAAAAGGAAAGAGTTGAGTGGGTGTTTGATCCGAGATGGTTTCACGTACAAGTGGACCTTTTCTCATACCCTTTCTCAAGTCCCATAGAGCATATTCACGAGTACCTGAGAGATTGAATCCAACAGTGAAAAATTGATCAGGATTGGTACACACCACTCGAAAACCTTTTTTACCATCATGAGCTTTACCTGACTGTGTGTGTGGGTGATGTGTGGGTATTTAAAGTTATGTGTGTGTGGGTGATGTGTGGGTGTGGGTGTTTGATTTTGATTCATGAATTGGGTGTCGAGGGAGGTACATGAATCATGAATTTGACAAACCAATTAAAAAAAAACGAGAGAGTCAAGAAGGAACAACATATAGAAAGCCATTTCATGAATTCATGTTGAGAAAGGTTCAAAGTGCACTACTTACCACAATGGCATATTTCGTTCTTGGATCATACACTCTTGCAATGGTATCTCTACTCGAGGTATACAAGATACTTGCAGTGGCAGACCAATCCCATGATTGAATCAAATCATCAAAATCATCTTTCAATACAATTAAATCTTTTTGACTTGTAATATCCCATATTCTTAATGTATTATCTGTACTTGAACTCACAAAGATATTATTCACATTGGGATGAAAATCACCAGTGTTGACTTTCTTTTCATGTCCTTTTAAGGTAATCGTGTCAGTGGTTGAATTTTCACAATAACCATGAATAGCAAGTTCAGGATGTTGTCTAATTTTCCAAATTTTAATTGTACAATCTGCAGAACATGTTGAAAATAAACGAAATTCTGAATCATTATAACTTGGTTTGAGAGGAGAGAATGAATGATCATGAACAAATCCAGTGTGATCGGAGAGAAGAGGTGGATTGGCATGAGCACGTCTCGATTTGGAATCTTGTGGAATGTTGGAATGTCGAAGAACTATTGTTGTAATGTTCATCATCATCATGTTGAGAAGTGTGTGTGTGTGAGGATGGGTGTGAGGATGGGTGTGAGGATGGGTTTGGTGAGTGCACAATGTATTGTTGTGTGCAGAAGGGTCATTCAAGTGAATATCATTGTGGAGTACAAGATTGTATAAAAAAACATTGAGAACGTATCGGTGAGTGTTGGTCAGGATCATCAAGAAAGTCAGTCGGACCGATGAAAGTGTTTGTGATGATGATGATGATGATGGATTTATGGATATTGTTCAAGTGTGATGTAATGTAGAGAATGTAGAGAGATCATCACCGAGGATGATGATCATAATCATGTAGAGAGAGACACATTCATCATGTTATGATCGTCAATCATGATTTCTCATTAGAAAAACCTCAAATCATACACTAAAAAACAACATACTAATGACACCTCCATAAGTTCCGAAGGGTAAAGCAAAATAATCTTCATCACAACTAATCACTGTGGATTCGGCAGAACATGCTGACTTGTTGATTTTGTTTAAATTGGTGAATTGTAATTCTTTCTTTTGCTCTTGCCCAAAGATGTTTTTGAAAGGAGAGTGACGAGAGAATTGAAAGGCATTGGCACTGTGGATGCGTCGATGGCCGGTACTGTTGGTCGGCTGCAACATTTTTATTTGAAAAAATTGTGACGAGTGACAGTTCCCAAAAGAAGTGGCCAAAAGAAGTCAGGTGACTACCACTGCACTCAATTCAAATACGAACGAATCAAAAGGTCAATAAAATATCATTCGAGAGTAATCCACAGGTATAGGTTCATCTTCTACGGGAGCCTTCTCCAACGAACTTGAAGGCAATGTTAGAAAAATGTAAAATAAGGTTGATTTTTCTGAGTGACGAATGGCATTATCATTGAATCCAGAATCCGAGTCCGTTGAGGAGGACATTTCATTGGGTATGATACTCATTTTCACACACAGAGAACATTGAACAGGACCCGCTTGCTGTGGAATGATACCAAGTCGAACTTTGACTTGATTACCTCTTCGTTCTAACACAAAAGATGTATCATCCTCAGATCTTAATCTATATTCTTCTTCATTTCCTTGAATAAATACCATGGTATCATGTGAATAAAGATCAAGTCCAAAATGTTCTCTCAAAATAATTGGTCGATCCGAGAGAATGAGTTTTGCATTCGTTTTTGAGTAATTCAAATTTTGAGAAAAGGTAAGACTGAGTTTAAAGTTCTCATGTGGATTGGTTATATTGAGGTAGAGATCACTTTCGTGATTGAGGAACATGACTGGAGCGTTCACAATGGATACTTTTGGTAAATAAAACCTTAGGAATCATTTGATTCTATCTTTGAATTTCAAAATTGAGTAATACTTACATGGCACTATGATTGATCTCAAAATGGCCAAAAGATGAATTGGAATCAGCTGATCTTTTGACAATAACAGTATTTCCATACTTTTTGATTTTCTTGGTACAGAGTGTTTTTCGAAAAGGCCAAACATGTTCAGAATGAATTTCGTTGCATGAAGGATGCAACAATCGATTAGGGAATGATATGAATGAAGTGTAATTGAATGAAGTTGGACTCAATCTGTCATACTCCTCATCATGACGTTCATTTAAAAATTCGTCAATGGAAATGATAGGAAGGTTTTCTAATGAAATATTTCGAGTGTTGAAACATTGAAACCACTTACTGTTGGAAGCCATAACGGAATTACTGGTTTTGCTTAATTCGAATTGACTGGAATGACACAACTCTGCAAATGCTTTTGATAGAATATAAAACTTGTTTTGGTGAATGAAATCATGATCCTTCAGTTGATCAAAGAGTTGAGAATACTTTCCCTCTGTATTCAATCCAATAGAAAGTGAATTCCAATGACAGAATGGACAATCAAAATAGGTACCATTCTCAGAGCTAACAATTGTTAAATTGGAATTACACTGAGGACATTCGTAGCAATACGAGCATGTCATTCGATTAGACATGGCTTCAGATCCAGATACTTCCATTAAACAAGAAGGGCAATAATAGGATTGAATTTCTTCCTGTAATTGATTTCTACTGATTAACACAAATTCTGTTGGCTCCATAAATAAGTCCCAAACAGGTACCTACATGGATTGGGTTTATCAATCGAGTCGATCTTTCAAATACTTACTGGACAATTCTCTTCACAACCATATAACAACGAAATGTATTTCACTTCATGATCTCTGATGCCGTCAAAGTGGACTTTTTTAGGAGCAATGGTAATGGTATCGTTGAGAATTTTGACACTCAAGTTATCATTGGATGGAAAGGAAATTTTGTATTCGAGTTTTTCAATATGGGTATTTCTTGTCAATGACTGGATTCATTATGATGATTCAACAAACACAGAAAGCAAGAATCACTTACACCTTTTTTAGTAAAATCTTGAGGATCATCAGATTGTTTGTAATGAAACTCAACCACGTTACCATTACTTTCCCCAATTGTCCAAGAATGAAAGCATTCCAACGTTATTTCAATGCATGTTGAGGTTTTTGGTAACAGCACTGCTGACATTTTAGAGAATTTAAAATATTGAGGGTTTGGATTCTTAATTGAGAAGGCTACAAATTCTGTAAGATGATTATTGAAAATGTGTAGCGTTAGTATTGTTTTGTACTTGTTGGGCACTGATCATTTAAGAGAAGGCAGAAACACAAAGTTTTCATCAACATTATGGTCGAATTCTGAACACCTACTCGGAAAGAAGAGCACGTTAGGCTCGAACAACAAACATGATGTTTTGTTGAATTTTACATCAGGTTGTTGAATGGTTGTTGAAGTTGGCGATCCCGATTTCATCTGATTGGAAGTCGACGAGCTGTTGTGGCACAGCGCTACTGTTTTTGTATTTTTTGAATTTAATAAATTATCAATGAAATCAAGAAGCACTTGAAGTTTATTCTGATTGTGAAGTTCTTATTCAACTGAAAATGATTATCGACATATCCGCACAACAAATCGACTGTAAAATTTGATGCAAAACGCAACACCAAAACCTATTGTTATTTAAAAACCAACTGCACGAAGATACAATCTCAAAATTCGGGCATGGTTTCCCTTCACTTCGAGTTGGTCTCCTGCCCTCAGTGTTACTTCCTCTCCTGTAATCTTTGAAATGTCGTCTTTTAATTTGTTTAAATCTCCTTTAATTTTGCGAACTATTGTTATTGTTTTTGTTCTTCCATTTCTGTTGATATTGAATTCATTATAAATATTGTTTCATCATTCATCATCATTATTCCGAACCAAAGTAATAATTTTAAAATTACAAATTTATCCCATGTTGAATCATTATTTTCACCAATAATTCTGTTACTTACTTATAGTCCAAATATACAGGAAGAGAGCCATAGGCCGAACGTGATACATGGAAAGGCAAGTCTTGAGTCTCTTTCAAAGGAAAATGAAACACAGGTATTTTGACTCCTTCTTTCGCATCCAATTGTTCTTGCAATACTTTTGAAACAAAATCCTTCTGTAAAGGAACATTCAATGCTTGTTGCACCAAATGTTTCATGAGTATATAGTTAGGAGTGGCTCGGGCATTTACAGCCCTGCTGATGGCTGGGATGGATCGAAGTGAATGAAAAACCATTTTTTGTGTGGATGCAAAAAAAAAATGAAAAATTTGAGGCTCGCCTTGCCTTCTGCGGCTCACTTGCGAGATTGTGCAAGTACTCTGACATCTTTTCGGAGCTTTCATTCACAAGTTGCCACACACATTTCCAACCATTCTTCTTCCAAATATTTATTCAAGTTTTTCCCTTCGTCTTTCACTTGTGGTGCTACCAATCGTTTTACCAGTAGAACTACTACATGTTACTATACCACCACCTATCTTCCTCAACTAGAACACAATCACTCCACTCTCAGTGCCATCACAACCACAACTAGTCACTTTGAAAAAGTAACAAAACCCATTTCCATTCTCATGATTAATGACGTCTATGAGTTCAATGAATCGCCCGATGATGGTGTCGGAGGTTTTATTGGACTTGTAAAATTACTCAACAAACTAATTAGACATGAAAAAAGATTGGGTCATCCAACTATTGTAACAATTAATGGTGACTTTCTCTCGGCTGGACTTTTATCAAACGCATATAAGGGAAAACATATGGTTGATTTATTTAATATCATGCCCATTGATTTAGTAACTATTGGAAATCATGATTTTGATTATGGATTGGATGTATTAATCCAAAGAGTGAGAGAATCTAAATTCAAATGGATTTGTTCTAATGTTGAATTATTAGATCAATCATTTAAACAATGTTGTGAAGTGAGTGCAAACACAGTCGATGCAGAACCACCTCCTGAAAGTGAAGTATTACTTTATAGAAAGCATGTAATGACTTTTCCATTGAATAATAATGAATTGAGAGTTGGATTTTTTGGAATACTCACTCCTCAAACATCAATTTTGACTAATGGACTCAAAAATGATATGCATCGAATTAAGATTCATCCTGTGATGGAAGTTGCTAAGAAAATGTGTGTTGAATTGAAACACATTGATAAGTGTGATTTAATTATTTGTTTATCTCATTTAGACATGAAAGAAGATTTAGAATTGAGTTCTGTAAAATATTTAGGTAAGTCAAATTTTCTAATTTGTTTCATCTTTTATTAATTCCTTATCCTTCTAACGATAGATGTCATTCTGGGAGGTCATACCCACTATCCATTTATAGAAATTAATAATACGAACAACACTCTCATAGTAAAGAGCGGATCCGATGCCAAATACGTTGGTAAAATGTCACTCGTAGTTGAAAAATCACAACGCAATCAATATCACACAAAGATTTATGTGGACAATGTTGGACTCATTCTCAATAGAGATAGTAACGAAACTCCTCTTTCTGACGAAGACGGAGATGAAAGTGTAAAAAAGATGAAAAATCTCATTCATCACTTGAACTCACAAATTCCTAAAGATGCCTATGATGTTCTCGCTGTGTGTGAATCATCTCTAAGTTCAGCCACAAGTTATTGTCGATTTAGAGAATCCACATTTGGAAATCTGGTTTGTGATATTTTGAAAGTGGCATATGATGCTGATTTAGCTGTGTTTAATGGAGGTGGAATTAGAGGTGACAAAACGTACGCAGTTAATTATCATATGAAAGTGATTGACGTTATGAAAGAATTTCCACTCATTAATGAAATACTCTCTGTCACTATCAAAGGAAAATATATTAGAAAATTTGTAGAGCTTTGTTTAGCACCCATGAATGAATCAGGTGGTTATGCCTCAGGTCTCTATCCACAAGTGTCAAAAGGAGTTCAAATTATTTATGATCGTACGAAAGAACCCAATCATAGAATTATCTCATTTGAGATTAATGGAAAACCACTAGAAGATGACAAGTATTACAAATTTGCAACGACAAATTATTTACTAGAGGGAGGACTCGATGGTGAGAATTGGCTGAAATTTTATACCTATGACAATGAAGATAGAATTAAGATTAATACTGATGACAAGTATTACATGACCAGTCTAGTGGAAGTCATTAAGGAAGAGTTGAGAAAAATGGGAACGATCAATGTTAGTTTGGAGAATAGAACGATGGATGTAAATACAGAAAGAGAAGAATCGTGAATGTATGATTGATATCAGACACCTCTTAAGATGTTTTCTAGATGTTTTGACATATGATCCTCCAGAATGGTTGTGACTTTACTCAATACCATATTAAATACAGAGTCACAGCTAAAAGTAACACAAAAATGAAATGAAGAGAAAGATTAACACAAAGTTCCTTGAATCTTTTTGTCGTTTCATAATCTCTCTTCTATTGATTTTTTCTGGGCTTGAAAAGTATTTGGATATTCCTGCCACGTGTCCTGCACCAACCACACATACTATGGCATTGGGATCAAGTTGGTCTTGAGGATTTAACTCATCATCGGATAAGGCCTTAGCCTGTGAAAATTCGTCTTTGCCAAAACGATTCCATATTTCATCATCTGCATCACTTGACGATATTTGTGTCACATTATCGATTATAGATGTATCGTTAGAAATCTCAGTAATGTTTGTCGAATTCTTTGTGGAGTCCATATTTGTGGATAAGTTGGATGCTGTTGAAATATAGGCATAGTCACTGTGCGAATGTTCTTCTTCAGAATCTCTTTCTTTGGATTGTCTTTCATTTTCTAAATATTCGATAGCTTTCAGAATGGAATGTGTCAAATAAGCATCTCGTTCTGTGTGTTGTTTTTGTTTGTAACATACATGATGATGACATGTCATACAATTACATACCATCAACTAATACTTTGGACAATTGTGGATACGTCTCTGATAGTTCTTCTAGTATTTCAGTTAAGAGATCAGATTGTTTTAACATTTCAATATCTTGGGCAGTAATTTGTTGTGTGCATTCATATACAATATTTGCAATTAATTTGAGTTTCTGAAACCAACTCAAAGAATACCATAATCTGTTTAAGGTAATATCAATAGGTCGATCACCTAATATTACTTTTGATTGTATCTGTATAGCAGTTTTATATGCAGCAATCATCTCAATTCCAAGTTTGATATTCAACTGATTGGATACGGATTGCATAAAGTAACCTAAAATTGCATGTAATAAATTGGAATGGTTTGAACCTGTGTGGTGATGAATTGATGAAAACCATACATGTATATCCATTTCAATCATGATTAAATTTCATATTAAAATTATTTGGTAATATTACACATACTCTTCATATATTCAGAAAATATCAAAATCAAAGAGGCCACTAATCCTCTATTGGATACTTGTTTCTTTTCATGACTTGATGATTCAACCAACAAAGATCTTCTGCTTGAACATAATTCCAAAATGACAATACTTGGTCTCTTTTCTTCAATCACTTCTGTTACTTGCTTTGCAGATTCTTCTGAAACATGAGCTATTTGAAAATATTTCATTCAACGCTCGTAATCACATGTTCATCATCGCGCAAGCTCATTACACTCACCTGTGCCTACTAGATAAATTTTGTAATTTCCCTGTTCTAACACTGTCACGGATTGATTTTTCGATAACAAGTCCTCTATTGAATGATGATTTGAAACTGATGAAATTAATGGATTCGGAATGTAGTGAGTTTCATCAGCAGTTGAATAATTTTGTGATTCATCGTTTATCACTCCATCCATTAATGGTTTTTGCCATCTTTTGAATTTTTCTGTTGTGGATGAGCCTTTATCTTCTTCGTTCATGAGTGAGTGTTGTTGTTGTTGTTGCTGAAGAGCAGACATTTTTTTCGAAAATGTTATTGAATATTCAAAAGTGACAGGAAAAAATGTGTTATAATTTTCATTGAATGTATGAAAAACCTCAGTGAAATAATATAACTCTTCTTGATCTTAATCCTCATAATTGATTCATTTCTAAAAAACATCAAAATCATTTCGAAAAAACATCAAAAGTCTTTTGTCATTGAAAAAAAATGTTGCCATCGACTCGGAGCAGTACGGCTGGAGGCTCTGAACACCCAACACATCTTCCCTCTTCCTCAACACATCATTCTACATTAATAACTCATCATCACATCAACACAGATTCTAACGAGATGAATCATTCGAATCATGTTAACACGACAAGCAATGCAGGTGCTACTTCCAATATAATTATTAATAATAATAATCATGCTACGGGTGGTCATAATTCTCATACAACCATCAACGCCAAAAAAATACATCATAACGATCATTCCTCTGGAATTACAGCATCTTCTTCTGGAAATCATATAAAAGAGAGAGTAAAGAAAGAAGAACATACTCAACCAGCAACGACCATTGTCATTTCAGAAGAAGAGAAAATAGATGGACAACCATCCATTCCACAACAAGTGGCTCATGCCGTTGTGACATCCATTGTTAATTCTAATACTGTCACATCCAATCGGACACTTCATAATTTTAAAAATTCTCTCATTTTAAAAGTCATTAATGTTGAGTCTGAATTAATTTCACTTTCTGATCGAGTGGTCTTTGGGAAAAGATCAAATGAAATTCTAGAAGAAGAAATTACCTATGAATATTTAAAAGATTATTATTATCAAAACGATAATCCTATTGACTCGCTGGAAAAGGGAAATAAGAACTTTTCACCTTCCTTTTCATTCTCCTTTAAGGAAGATCAACGAGCGAGAATGTTATTTTTCTTTTCCATGTTAATTAGCTTTATTTTATGTGTAATTCCCGGATTAATGGTTGTGTCTTTTTTACCTTGTTGCATCTTTTATTGGTGCTCAGATATGATCAAGTACAAATCAAGAAGAGCCAGAGCATATGCTACAATGTTATTTTACTCTTCTGTGTGCTTGTCACTTTGTTGCTTTCTAATATTTGTCATTATTATTCCATGTGCGTTATTGGCTGAATTTGGAGTAACACAGAAAAAGACCTCTTAGTAGTACATATATTCTGTAGTGTTCCTTCACTGAAGGTGTTGAATATGTTAACAACAACGACAACCTTCCAACAGACGTATGACCAACACATGAGTGGTGCTAAAGTGTGTTTTTCTTAACAACGTGATTCTCTTGTAATTTACAAAATGCTTTTTACTTAAAATCAGAAGAGGATTGAATGGGCATTCTCCAAAATGCAAAACTATTAAAGTCGTTAGAGGTATCAACTTTTTGGTTAAGGTCAGGAAACATTTCATCCACAAGCTTAAAAATATTCCAATAAGATTCGTGACTAATGCCATACACTTGTATCAAACCCGTGGGATCCACTGTAAATATTTTGTGATCAGGTATGCCAACAAATGAATAGGAAATAATATCTGTAATTCTGTTGCCAAATCCTGCAAAGAATGGATTTGTGTCTTTTGGAAATAACTCTAAAACGTCTGAGAGGGCTGCCTTTTTGAATTCCTCTATTTTGTAAAATTCAAAGATCAATATTCAATGTTTTGAAATTTAAAAGTACACATACCTGGCTTTTTCAGAATAACCTCTCGATGCAAAGCAGCAAATAATCGATCTGGACTCATTACAACTGGACCTTCTGGTAACATTGCATCTTCTTGTTGAAGAGTAAAAATATATCTCTTGGTACTTCCAGATTGAATAATGGATCGTGATGTTAAGTATAACATTCGATACCCGTTTTCTACAATTTTTGTGTACAATTTTCCAATTCCACTGTGAGACCAATCTTGACCAAGCATTGGTAAAATATGACCTAATGCATCACTCTTTGTAATGGTACCATCTACATCTGAAACCACAATTTTATCTGAATGCTTCCACAAATAAATATATGCATTCACTTCCTGAGTACCTAAAATTCTGCTTGTTACCAAGAATTTAATTTCATTCCTTCCATATTTCAGTCCAAGAGCTTTTAACTCCTCTGATGTAGGCCTTAAACTCTTCTTTAGCACTTTAAATTCACCTGTTGGATCAAAAACTTTTGGCTGGCTAGTCACTCGGTTCACTTCATTGTTAATTTGAGAGGTACTTGGATTCACAGCGTCAGTACTTGCTGTTGCTCCTGGCCTTGTCCAAAACCATCGCCAATAGGTTTTTTCATTCTTCTTTTGCAAGTTTGGATCTGATAAGTTAGGTGGTGGTGAAATAGGAGTAATGGTAACAATCGTTGGCTTTGTGAGTTCCATTGCACCGTTAGTTGTTGTAAGAGCTTCAGTACTGAGCGTTTGAGTGCTAGTATTATTTACAGAAAATGTTTCAGGAGAACTTGATCGACTGTTACTCGTGGTTGATGGAGGAGAAATTTGTCTTTTTAACTTGCTCAATTGATGTTGTTTAAAAAGTTCCTCAAATGAAGTTGAATTTCCTGGAGCACTTTTAGAAATGGGACTATTTTGTGGCATGAGTTCAAAATGATTGTTGGTTCTCATATGTGGTGGGAGTGATGGTTTCAGGGAAGACAAAGATTCATTGTCTGAGTGATAGTTTTTTTCCAAGTCATCTTCTTCATCGGTTGTTGTTGCGTCATCGTCAAAGTTTTTGTCCATAGTTATTGCTTTTTGATCATCACTTTCGTTGGGCGCAACGTTTGAATCTTTGCTTTCATTATGCTCCGAAGTAAGTGCATCATAGGATAAATCATCATCCGAAGTATCACTAATTAAATTTTTACAGGAATCATTCCTTGGAATTGATAAATTATTGTTAGATACTTGTTCAAATGGTGGAGATTTAGTAATTGAAGGAGATGGAGTTGTAACAGGATTATTAATATATCGTCCTGAAAGAGCATCATAATTGTAATGCTTAGCCATTACCTCAAGAAATTGCTGTTCTACAAACGAATTATTTCCTTTCGTTTTAATTCCCTGAAATTCATCTGTGTCATTATTCGATTTAAATCCAAACCAAGAACTTAATCCACTCCTAAAAATATATGGATACCGATCTCAATGATGTGTAATGTTAAATAAAATACTTACGCCCATCCCCAACCACTCTTTTTTGTTGGAGTTTCTGAAGGAGGAGGTTTTGAAGGATTTTCTATTGGTGCTGTAACTGTAGAGGAAATTTCACTGGCTCTTGGAGAAGATGGAGATGTTATAGCATTCATGTCTCTCATTGTTTTTGCGTCAATATTAATCGTTGGTGGGAAAGAAGTGTTAACCAAGGGCGGTGGAGTTGAATTTAACATGTGACTTGTTGTAATACCATCTTCTCGTTTCTTTTCTCTTTCCAAATCCACAACTCTACTTGCATCTTGAGTAACTCCTGCTACTACACTTTCCTCTTCATCGGAATCAGAATCATCAATAGGAATAAATTTTTCGTAAATGACTTCTTCGTCAATGTCAAAATTTGGTTGGTAGTGGGGTTGATTTGGAGATGATGATGAAATTGGAACAAGGTTAGGAGAGCCTATAGGTGAAGTAATTGGACGAAAATAGGCCTGTTCAATTGGCATGCTTGTCGGAATAAACGTTGGAACTGTTGTTGTGTTCGTTGCTGAAGAAAAAGGTCCATTATTTGTTGTTGTTGGTGAAGAAGGTGATGAGGTGGTTGTTGTGCCTTGTGATTCTAAATTATTTGTTGACAAAGTTTTTGAAGATAAAGAAGAGGATGAATCGGAAATTAGACTTTGTGTCAGGAGTGAAGAAGAATTATCAAATGAAGGAAACGACTGACTGGACCAAGATCAATCGGGCTTGCTACTAAATCTCTATCCACGGGTCCCTATTAAATATTATTTCATTAGAATTAAATTTAAAGATCAGTATGAGAATGTTGTATTTCCAAATATTAGTAAAATTATTTGATCAATTAAAATTGTCATGCACCATCGGAGGTTTAAAATTGTTTGTAAAATGAAATAATATATTAAAAAACCTACACTAGCTTCATGTACAAAATAAGCCTCACCTGTCTCTCCAGTCTTCATGCACAACTCTGTTAGTTTTCCGTTTACCATTATACGAATTACTTTCTCTTTAGATCTTAAGACTTTCAGTCTTCCGAAGCGTACATGAAAAGGAGTACATTTGAGTGATCCATCCGGTTGTTCGACCACCACAATATCAATGGCTCCACTCGCCAAGTCCGTGGCCGTGTTCATGCCACTGAAAAGGCCTGTGATGAGAGAATAGGACATTTTTTTTACGGAGAATTCAACGGAGCGGTTTTGGAAACGATTAGCAAAACATGAGGTGAAAGAAAGAAAAGTAATAAAATGTTTGAATTTAAGATCCTCATAAACGGTTAATTCTAACGTTAAAAAGAATTTTATTGCGCAAATCGATGATTATTGAGCTGAGAAGAAGTTCACAATGCTGTAATCATGTATTTTCAATCGAATCCAAACCAAGATCAAATTCGAGTGATATAGCAATAAGGCTCATCACATAAATCTCCATGAAAGTTAGGTTGGATTCATGACATCATGTTACCAGAGACATAAATGGCAGAAATTACTGACAGCATTATTATCAGCCAAATGTTGCTTAATGAAGTCATAAACAAGCTAGCAACAAACGACGTAACACGAGGTTGATGAAAGGAGGATGCTTTGGTGACTATTGAGGCGAAAGGGTTTGAAGGACTAGAATTTGAAGCACTTGAAGGAATACTGAAATATGCTGTAGGTGGATTTCCAAACTCCACATTTGTTGGAACTTCAATACTTTTGTTCACACTCGCTCCATTCTGTGAAACCATGAGAGTATAATTTCCTGGTGTTAGCAACCTAAAGAAGACACCTGCTGAGTTGGTGGTAATTGTTTTCGAATTTCCAATCACTTTAACAGTTGCATTTGGCACTGGATTTCCTTTCGAATCAGTCACCACTCCCATTACCATATATTTCATTTGTTCCATGTACACAATTAGAGATTCCTTATTGGCGTTCCAAAATCCATCAAGTTGAGATTCTGGTGGATGCTTTAAGTCACTCAACTCTACTGTAATTTCAAAACAATTATTGCTCCAATAATTGTAATCTTGCATTCCTCCAAACAAGACATACCAATAAGCTCCATTCGTAATTCCTCCTGTAAATTCACGACTATTTTTCATATCGGGATTAGCGTCTGCATAAGCTTTAGCAACCATTCGGAAAAAGGTGTCATCTGGGCTTGCACTGTAATAAGCATATTCAGCGTTTGAAACAGTTGGAGATACGGAATCAAAAGGATAACTTGCAACCACAGCACCTCCATGAAAATTCACTGAAAGAACAAACTTGTCTTTTGCAAGCCAATCCATAACAGCCTTTGTTTCTGGCTGATATGTTTTAGAGAATGAACTTGCCACGTATTGGTCTGGGAAATCTCGATTTAAATCAACTCCATTGGCATTATAACGATCATCCATTTCAAAGCCATCAGGATTCATTGAAGGCATGAGATAAATATCCATGAAATCCAATAATTTACGAATTCGTGAATCTCCTTGTTGATACTTGCTCAATAAAAACTCAGCCAAATACAATACCAATTCTCTTCCAACTGTTTCATCACCATGCATGTTCGCCACGTATTTAAATTTTGGCTTTTGATATCCTAATTTTGATGATTGATCAGGTGCTCCTATGGTTGTGTTTGAGAACAATTTTAAAACCCATAGCTCTCGTTGAGCAACGGACTTTCCAATGGAGAAGAGGCTTGTCATGTTCGCATATCGTTGATGTAGATCAGTTAATTTTGCAGTCAGAGAGTCATAACTATGATAGGTAAGCAACGAATTTGAGCTTCGTTTTAGTAAAACTGTAGGTTGCTCCCTGTATAGTCGTTTAAGGTAAATTTGTTTTGCTGCTGTTGTTGTAACCTGCAATTTTTGATTGTCCTTATTTGATGAAACACTGGTTGATTCAATGTTTCGTACAAGGTGAATGGTTTCAATTTTTTTCACCAATAAATCTACTTGTTTTTCATTGTGCAAATAGACAATAAATGTTGGCTCAAATTCTCCCATTTGACTGCGAATCTTTTCGTTTTTTGGGGATGTATCAAGTGGTGATTCTAATTCCTCAATTCTAAATTCTGAATACTGGGCATTTAATGGTTTGATTGATACTGGATAGGTCATTGAGGAATGATCATATAACACGGATTTGAGAGCGGTGAGGTCCAAGCCTTGAATCATCACTGGAAGGTCCGACGTTTCAAAGTGGGGTTGGGTTGGATTCGAAGATATTCGCATGTCATTCGAGTTGTTTTGTTTCTTCCTTATTATTCGATTGTTACTGTTAGTATTCGGTGTAGTCAGGTTTGCCATCACCACATGTATGTAGAGAAGAAGTGTTGTGATGATGATGAACGCATTAAATACATGGATAACAGCAATACAACCCATGCGCTGTCGTTTTGATGAAGCTGCAGAAGGCATTGTTGTCGTCAGTGTTGACGCAGTTTTTTTAGTGTTGTTCGATTTGCGAGTTCAGCATAACATGATGTTGACAAAAAGAATAATTACCCAAACGTGGCTTGCTTCGATTGAGTTCTCTAACATCTGTTAAGCAGATTTGACATAATAAACAATACAAAAGAAGACTTCCCAAATAGTCATTATTAATAGTACATTCATTTACTACTGAAGCTAAATAAATTATTTTCCGTACTTTTGGAAGTCCCATTCACAATTGCACAAAGGACAAACGTGTCTGGTCTTCAACCATCTCGAAATACAGTGGAAGTGGAAAGCATGGTTACAAACTCCCCAAGCGACTGTACATTCTTCACTTGTAGCCGATTGTTGATTTGCAGTGCACTCAATACAAAGTTCCATGATATGGTTACGGCAAATAGCACAAGAGTCGACGACTATACGGAGTTAAAAGTTGCCATCGTAACGATGTTCAAATAATAGTGTTATCATTTGATGATTGTTTTTTGAAATTGAATCACACAAATAAATCACATCATCATTCGATCAATTCAAGTGATGAAATAATTTGATCAATCAATAATAATAATAACATGCACAATCACACAAAAATTACAATTAGTGAAATGTTGTTTGATCAGAAGCACACACCAATAAATATGGACGATCACTTAATGATACATACCGATATCCCAACCCCACAAAGCAACAGCGTTCCACTTCTTCACTTCAAATCGTTTCTTACCCTTCAAATCAAAGGTCTTTGCTGTAGTAGTTGTTGCTTTTGATTCAGTGGATGCCTCTCCTCCTTCTGTAGTTGTAGTTGCTCCTTCAGTGGTTGCGGCAGCAGACTCAGTTGCTCCTCCTTCTTTGGCTGCCTTGCTCTTTTTGAGAGCCATAGCCTTCAATTTAGCAGCTCTGAGCTTTGCTTCCTTCTTCAATTCTTCTTCAGACTTGGTTGGTGCATCCGATGTTGGTTCTGACATGTTGTTGATGATCTTGCGATATTTTTTGTGTTGGATGACACCAGCCCTTTGTAAAAGCCTAAAAATAAATTAATGTTCATTCGCGATGTCTAGAGAACTCTGAGTTTTTTACTTGAAAAATTGAACCACATGGTTTGCCCAATCACACGAAATGAGCTCTCCAAGAACAACATTCAAACAAAGACCATTAGGATAACAAATTCTATCACTTCCAAAATCGTTTAAACAAGCAATAAACGTTCCATCCTTAGAAAATATTTGGATTCTATGATTTCTATAGTCTCCCACTATAATGTTCATGATGCATGATCCACTGTGAGAGAAGAAGGCCAGTCAAACTCACGTTCCAAAGATCCTCCTCTTCCAAAAGTTGTCACAAGATCGATTTGAAATGTTGAACTTGTTGTACGGGTCAACCTGAAAATTTGACATTGGTCGTTACCATTCTTGAGAGTGTTTGACTGGCTCACGATTAAATAATCATCACCAAAAAAATTTGCAAATTCAATTCCATAGGGATGAAGTGAAAGGGCGATCGATTGTAACAATTGTCCAGAGCTAGATTTTAAAACCTTAATGGAACCATCGCTAGCATCACATACAAAAACATGTCCTGATTTGTTTGAGCAAGTAATTCCTTGACTATTTTTTACAGCAGTCGAAGCCCAAAGATAAGGGGCGACGATTTTTCTTGATCTGAACATATTAATTCTTTACCCAAGTCAAATTTGAAGATGGTGCTGTCAGAATTACATCCAAAAATAATAGCATCACTGTTCGAATGGTCGTAGTTTTCTTCAACAGCTAAATACATTGGCATGGCTACGGCCGTACGAATTGATTTCTTAAATTGTTTTGTGTACATATCAAAAACTTTGATTTTTCCATTTGATGAATCCGATATCAATATAATTTCAAAGTTATATGATATCTTTACATCAAAAGGATGGTGAAATAGATCCGAATTGTCACCACTTTCTGAAACTTTTCCGAGAGTATGAACCAGTTCAAACTTCATTTCAAATGGCTTTACAATTCGTTTTTTTCCATTTCTCATCCTTTCCTTGAGTTTATCGAATAATTCAAAGCGCATAATTGTGTGATTTGTTTCATCAAACGAAGCTACAACAAAATCGACAAGATGAAGAGTGGTGTTCATGTCTGAGTCTTCCATCATCATTTTTTGTTATTGTCTTCAAAAATTTATTTTTAAATTAATTGCAATTAGAATAAAAATGATGAATCAAACAACAACAACAAGCACTCCACCATCGGATCTCGAGCGTTCCATGAGCTTTGAACATACATCATTGGAACCCATGAACACAAATTATGCGGAGCCGACATTTGAGCAGTTTGAACAATATTTCAATTTTATTCCGAAAATGATGGCCATCGTCGAGGAATTACCAAACAGTGAAGAGTCTGTAATTTTAAAAGTTAAAGATTTATATGATGCCATGAAAGGGGCTGAGAATTTTCTCAACTCTTTGGAAGGAGCCGATCTCACACTGGAGCAACAAACAAAAATTTATTCGGAAAATCTTGTGAAAATCAAAGAAAAATCGTAAGTGGATTTTGAAATTGACAATACAAAATAATTATGGGAAAGAGAGCTCATTGAGAAATATAAAACTCTTGAAGTGTTTACTAATCTGCATAAATTAGAGGAAGATTCTTTCAATGTGGTACAAACAAGCGAAAATCAAGAGCAAAAATAACATTTTCCAAAGATGGTCGAATCATGCATCGACACCATCCTTGAGCACATTAAGCTTGATCCAAAGATCCATTACTAGAGAAGTTAGTTATTCAAGAAAATTCAAATTGGAATGATGAAAATAAATAAAAGCTTTTTTATAGTTCTAGTTGCATTTCAATATTGGTCTGAACGGATTCAGAGAGTGGGGAGGAGTCTTTGGTGGATGCTTTTTCTTCAATGAGTTCCTTTGCGCTATCGTCCTTGTATTCTTCAGTCATGTCATCATCGAAATCTTGGAATGCATCCTCTAATTCTTTCCTGTCGTCATCAGAAATGGGAGTATGATTTGTGTTTGATATGACTCCACCAACCAAAGAAAGATAAGAGTCATCAGAGCCCATTTGTCTTGTTTCAATCATATTCCTCTCGGAGAGAGATGTTTCCACAAATTCTTTCCATCCAGAAATATCTTTAGTGAGAGAAGCAACAGTTTCATCAGAATTTGCTGTTGAAACAATTGTGTTTGAGATTATTGTTAAATGTCCCATATAGCCCTTTCGCATTTTGCTTTCATTTTGAGCTTGCTCATTCACTTTAAATGCCTGTAGAATACGCTCAACTATTGCACAATCAACGAAAAGATGTTTCTTCAATGGTTGGCTTTCACTTGCCAAAATGAAGCTAATAATGTTCAATAATAAATTGTGAAGCATATTGTTAAACTCGTATTGGAAAAAAAGGTTAACAATTACTCCTAGAACGTTGCTTGATATTAGAGCCTTTTCAACAACTTCACATCTAATATGAAAAAGGCTTGAAAGAAATTCAATGATTTTAAGCCTTGTTTCACCTAAAGGAGGATTTAAAACCCAAATGTTAGTGTAAGAGACTGTTGAGCAGGTGGGCTCTCTAGTAATTGTACTAACTGGGGTAATTTGGTGAGAATAACTTTGATAGCACTTGGTAAACATTCGTCGAAATCTGCATCCATCAAATCTACACTGGTGTCTATCAAAGTGTGCAACAATGCAATGCCTTCGTTAAGAACATCGGTCTAAATCATCAATTATTCATTATCGTTCAAGTAAAGAATATCATCATTGAACTTACATTTTCCAAAAGAGTGTCCATTAATTTGCATAAAACTGAATCAGACAAAATGGAGGTAGCGAGTGGATTAAGTTTTTGAATATCTAGATTATATTGTAAAGATCGTCTAATAATTTCACTTAACACTCTTGTCACGTTAATATGGCACTCTGAAGAGTATTGTGGGGATAATTTTTCAATAAGTTTGAATGGAACCTGTGCATCAGTCCACCATTTAACTGAGCTCTTAATTACATTTGTAGCATCAGAGTTATCCCTAGCATCAATTAATCGAAGTTTGAGTTGTTGTTTAGCTGATCGATTAGTCTCTGCAGAAATTATCAAGTCATACAATTCACATGAAATGAGCTTCAGTAAAAGTTCATCCATTCCTGGTACTCCGATATGTTTACAAAAGTTAAGTACGAAAGACTCCCCTTGCGACATTATAAATTTGTGTACTTCTATGGGTTTTCTTTGAACCAAACAGGTTACAACACGAATCCAATAATTAGTCAGTTGAGGGTTCAGTGTCTGTTTCTCATGTGAAATAAAATCAAAAAGAGATGTTAGCAACAACTTGTCAGATGCAATGGCCGTATAAAGAGCATCAATATCGCAGCATAAAATCTCTGCTGCGATTCTTGGATATTTGAATATTCTCTTTTGTAGCTTTTCTTCATTTAAATGAACTTCTTCAGATTCTGTAGCGTCGTCTGACTTTTCAGTTTCCTCGCTCTTTGTTTGATTCTTGAGATTTTGAATTTGATCGAGAGGAATCTCAATGGTAATGTAGTCAATCATCTTTGTTAAGTTCTCGCTCTTTGAAAGGAAATCTATCAATTTTCCATAATGAGCTTTTGCTTCTGAAATGACATCTTCTTCATCAAGAATTTGCTCTAATGTACAATCGTCATTTTCCAAGAGCAATTCTACAGGTGATTTGTTATGAAATCCTAATTTAAATAGCATGTTAGATTCTACGAGAGACCACAGAGAAGAAAATATCTTTGTTTTATAAGTTGAAAGTGCTGCTGATGGGTTATCCTCCTTCTTGGTGTTGCTATTATACTGTAGTTGTTGTGAAAGATTTTTAGTGTCTTTGGTGGAGGTGTCAAAAGTTGACGAATAGGATGGCTGAGCGGAAGGGGATGCCTTTTGTGGATTCTTTTGTTTGTTCTTTGTGTTGATTGTCTTTCTTTCAATTGAACTTGTTGTTAATTTGAGAGAATTGGATGTTGTGTTGTTTGGTGAGCCAGGAGAAGGAGTTTGTTCGGACAACTTTAAAGATGGTGGTTATTGTTAAAAGGTATTGGATGTAAACGGAGAGTTGCAGAAGGAATAGAAGCAACTCAAAACGTCGTTGTAGCAATGTTATGGTGTTGATGATTGTAACAATGTTATGTGGTTACAATTATTACAGTGAATATTACCGATAATAATAAGACTATCTAATACATAAACTCTGTCCACAACACAAAATACTATTACACGTATCCGAAATTTAAATTTAAAGGAGAATCAACAACTATTGTTCCCTTGAATCAAGATGTGATTGGAACCCTCTTGATGTGGCCAGATTGTTGATGACGTTGATTAAATGGCTGTTATTGTAGCTAGCCTGTGATGATGAACGAATTGTACCACAACCACCGAGAATATTTTTTAGAATGGAATTAGTGAGGAGCTTTTTCAGAAATACTGTGCAAAGGATAATACATTTCAGGCTTGGATAGACTGCTGGAATGCCATGGCAACTTTTATTCATTGACAGGGGTCTGCCTATTCTTTGTTCCTTTTTGGGAAATAATTTAATTTACATGTATATTAATTTTCAAAAAAATATTATCGCGCACACCAACCAGATCGTAAAACTCTTCTCTCCTTTTGTCTCAGTTTCAAACGCTACCTAGAGACTGAAATCATTTGACTTGAAACTTTCGGAAATCGTTTCCGCATATTCGATATTTTCCACGTGATTCATTGGCAAGTGGTTTTCAGGTTGTGTGCACAAACATGAACAACAATAGTACCAACCCACCTAATTATTCCGATTTTGGAAAAAAGACGATGACTCGCCGCTCTCTCTTTGATTTGGGCGAAATAGTTTCAAGGTATATTCGAGACAAAGATCAGCTGTTGCAGGCTTTAGAGGTTTACTTTGACAAAATGAGCTCAGACCACGAAAAGCAAATACAATACCTTCAAATCCAAAATCAAGTCCTAAAGGATTTAATCATAGAGCTAAAGATCCGCCAGGATTCCACAATATCTTCTGTCTCTAAACCTTCAGTTGATGAAGAGGAGCTAGCTGTGTTGGAGTTGTCAAAGTTAAATCAATCAAGTCAACAATCAAGGAACATGGCTTCTCAAATTGTCTACGACCAACAAATTATGGCTTCCAACAGACCAAGAAGAACACGAAAAAACCATAATTCAAATACATCAAAGCAAACTACAGACACCGATACAGATGACGATTTTAGTGAGGAACAATGCTTATTCGAACCTAAAGATCCTTCAGCTGAACCATATCATGACTCCTCTTCAAGCAAACAAACTTACCCAATGGAAGATGTTGATGGAGAGAAAACTGATGAGGCGACGGACAATGAAATGGATGAAGGTTGTAGTGTAAAATTACTAAATTTACCGTCAACGAATCATAACACCCTTACTCGGCCTCTGCAAGACAATAATTCAATCATGAGGGATCCAAAACCAGTCTCAACTATCAACAAACCAGTTACATCTGAGTTCACCTTCATTAACCATGATGAAACACCCCCAAAATCAAAAAGAGGAAGAAAAAGAAAGTTAAAACCTGAAGAGAGCCTGAGTAAGGAAATGATCTCCATGACCTCAGAGAACACTTCTACAGCCAATAGTTCTGCTGGTAGTGGTGTTATGTTTTTCCAGAGTGATTACATACCCGTAGTTACATCTTCGAGTGCTAATCAAACACCAGCGACCATTCAGAAAATACCTAAGAAGCGAGGCCCAAAGCCTGGCAGCAAACGCGGAGCAAAAACGTCCTTCACTGTCTATTCCAATGATTCTTTTAAAACTGTCTATGACGCTAACCTTAGCATGAATGGAAAGCAACCCAATAACTCATTCTTCTCCGATTCCAAGTCGTTGACAAAAACCACAACAAGCGTTCCCGATTCAAACTCTACAAGCAACTCTTCTCCCCAAAGTAGTACAAGTCACAAGACCTCTGGTTTGACAGTCACAAACATATCTACTACAGCCTTAATGGCACTCAGTGGCTCTTCAGAAGGCTCTTCCACTCCCCTCTCGACCTCCAAACCCTACTCAGTCACTTCTCGATTCGTTTCCAAATGTATTTCCCCTCAAAGATATTCTCTATCTCCCACCGAAGAAGCTGCAACAGCTATGGTGGTGCAACAACCGCCCAGTGTTGAGAATCAGGCATTCACTGCCCAACGCATACGGTTAGCTTCTTCTGCGAGCGAGTTATTGTCTTCTCCACGCATGAACGTGCAGTGATTCTTCTGTTCTGAAATTAAACCTTGCTAGCTTGTTACAAGTATCATCAAACCCTAGTCGGTGAAATTAAACATCGGAATTTTCAGGATCCAAGAAACTCTATTAAGAGGCTAATAACCTTGGGCTTACACAACGCACATACACGGATTGAGGCTTCCAAACTTGTTTGCTCATCCGAAACCCTATTGAAAAAAATTGAGACAATACCTCGTGCGAAGCTTCTCTTTGAGCGTATAATTGAGGGAAATAAGGAAACGAACGCTATGAACCCTGTACCGCAAGAACATGATCTTTCCAACTCACAAGCGTTGAATGGCAACACTACACACAACACACCAGGAACGGCTTCCCACTCATCCACATCTTCCAACGCGGTAATCAGTAATACCGCTTGTACCACTATTCCAGTCGTTGGTCCCACCTTTCAACAACAGCCTCAACAGCACTATTCGGGCAACGTTCCTCATCCTCATCACTTTATTCTTCATCATCATCGTCCAAACAACGGAACAGAAGAAGCATACCAAACTCTGGTACTGATGCAAGACCCAAATACTTCTGGTTATCACAACCCTACCACGACCTATGTACATCAAGCTTATCCTTACCATAATTATGTTCCAACTACCTGTCATCCATTCACTACCACCATGTACGACCCTACTTCCAATCACCACATCGTTCGGTACGAGGCATATCAAACTCCTTCTTATCACTACTCAACTGTTTCTCCCGTTCTTTCCCAAAACGCTTATCATTCCTTACCCTCTCATCCGCAACATGTAACATTAGCACATCAAACTCCATCAGTTTACTCTGTGCCTTCCCAAGCTACGTCATTACCACAAGCAGCTGTTTTGGGTAGCTCAGTGAGCACCATTCATCAGCACCACCTTTCCTCCACACCAAACCAATTAACCGTTGTTTCTCCCCTTAGTAGCTCTCAGACAAAAACCTCTCCAACTAACTCCAACATGATGGTTCAAAATAACAACACGTCATCGATGAGCAACAGTCCTGAATGTTCGAGTCCTCTCGAGGTTGCTACATCTCCGAGTAGCGGTAGAGACATGCTTTCAGACCATGAAACTTTGTCTCCAATTTCACCGTTTTCATCTACAAAAGAACCGAGTCTTTTGGAACGAATTCATTCATCATCCCCTGCGAGAAAAAGATCGAATTCGCACAGCTCTGTAAACGGGAAAGGTACCAACATCAGTAAGGTTAAGAAAAAACGATCATGCGCTAGATGGACGGAGGAAGAAAACAAAAAGTTGTTCGAGGCATACATCAAGTATGACGGAAAAAATTGGAGCAGTATTGCAAAAGCTGTTGGAAATAAGACAAGTGATCAATGCAACCAACATTGGTGGAGAGTATTAAACCCGGAAATTTGTAAACAGCCATGGTCTGCAGACGAAGATCAACGGTTGCTTGATAGAGTGCAAGAAGTAGGTGAAAGTTCTTGGAAAAAGGTTTCCCAAGGTCTTAAAGGTCGGACAGATCTGCAATGTAGACACAGGTACAACCAACTGAAAAAGAATAAGAAGTCTGCGTCAGAGAGTACTCGTGAAGAATCTGTTCTTAATTCCGCTTCAAACCAAACCTTAATAGATGATGAACAAAGAAGCATCACAGCAGAAACAGTAGTGCAACAGGGAACAGGCTATCCCGAGTTTTATTTTCAAACAGCTCCTACATCAGTTCAGTATCAACATGCTCCAATAGAATATCGAGAAACTGTGGTGGCTGAAGGCGAAGTACCTCCTCAATTATTAGTCCACCAATATCAACCCCAACCTATACAACACCTTCAACCCATTACCCAACATGTTCAACCAATTCAAACAATTCAAACCATTCAACCAATTCAACCTCTTCCTGTTCAATCACTCCACGCAATTCCTGTCCAGACAGTACAACCAATACATGCTGTTCACGCAGTACAACCTATTGTGCCTCCAACACATACCAATATCTACCATCACTATATTCCAGTGTACCAACAACCTGTGAATCCTCCTCCTCCAACATTTTACCAAGAGGTTTCTGCCACACCTGAAGTTCAACAAGAAGACGAATTTTTTGAGCCACTTCCAGGTCAGTCGAGTTTAGATGAAAGTACTACAGAGCTCGATGTTGTATTCACCCCAGATTCAAGACCGGAAAAGGATGCCAAAGATTATGTAGCAGAGATTTTTGACCATGAGCAACGAGACAATGCGTTTGATTGACGAGATTGTACAATAAGACTGTTTGAACCAATTTACACCGCAAGCGGCGAGTACTTTAATAAATATATTTAACTACCTGTATTACTCAACCACATATGCTTTAAAATGTTGGGCCTTCTTAGTAAATCTCACAAGTATTTACTAATCACCAACATCTCCCACCTTTTGACCATCTACATCAGTTTCCTGCAGTCTTTGAAGTCTTGACATCACTATTTGGTCAACTTGTTGCTCATTATTTAACGCCTTATTTAAATCAACAATTTGAACAAAACAAACAAATCGAACAAAGTGCTGATCTTGCAAGCAAACACTCAAAGAGTGAAAGCCAACGCACACAAGGTGGGAAGACCAACACATCCTCTCTACTTCTCTTCATTCGTTGAGATTAAGGTTGTTGTTGATTTTTTTTTTGAAAACCTCAACAAGAGTTGAAACTTTATCAGTATTGAATGACTTATCAAATTGAAACTCTATCAATTTGAATAACTTGATTCATTCTTTTCGTCCGGCCTTGACAATTCCTTATCCACCTCCAAAACAACACTTTTGATTCAAATAATGAATGAATGGTTCGTCAAGAACTGACTGTTGTTGATTATATTGACTTGTTGAGTTTGTAATAAACCTTGCGTCATCAGGACTGTGTTTTAGTGATGGTTTTTGAAAGAAATTGCTGTACTTGTTCATTTGGCTTCAACGGTTGGCCGAACTAACATGAAGCAGCTCTCTCGTTTTATATTTTGTTTTAAATAATTCTACAAGGTACGGTTCTCCAACCTTTTCCATTGTATTAACGATTTCAAGCTTTTCTTCTTCTGTAATAAACGGTTCTGTACTTAATTGAGGGTCCTCGTTTGTATGCTCTAACACTCCAATGTTGTTGGTAAGTCAGACTCAAGAACAGAATGCTTCGGCTCTGACGGTTCAATTTCTTCCATACCAATATTGCTCATGCTCCCAGTGCTAGAGGTTTTGAATCGATTGTAAAAGTTGTAAAAGCTTTCTTTGGTTTCGAAAACTAATGTAACTCCAAGTTGAGAAAGTGATATTTTTCTGGCAAATTTAGATGTATCTCGTTCATAGGACTTGAAAAGGTAGGCATCTTTGATACTTTGCCTAGCTGAATAAATATCGTCATCGTTCAATAAGAATTCTAGTTTGTTTTCCAACAAGGCTTCTTGTGAGTACTTTAACGAGACGTCAACTGTGCCATTATGATGCGAGTTCTTTTCACCGCTCTGGTTTGAGCTTGTAATATTCGTGAGTTTTGAGGTGCTAGTTTTCCTGCTTGTCAATGATCCTAGTTCTGAATCTCCAATGCTTCTTGTAGATTGAATTGGAGCTGACGTTTGTCTTGGTTTTAAAGTAGCGGAAATAATGATGGAATACTCTTTGTTTGATAATTTTGCGAATTGTCAAGGATAAATGATGAGTGATTTTCCGATGGATCTGCAAGTTTCCGAGAATTGACTTTCACCCCTCCTCTAATTTAGCTGGAATCTTTTTGACCACCAGCGTTGAAGGAGTCATGCGTAGTTGTTGAATGTGTTGTTGGTTCGTCCTTGAAGATTTGAGTTGTTGTTGTTGGGGTGGTGGTTGTTTCACTAAATAGATCGAGAGCGTTTGTTCCATTTTTAAGAGATGTTTGAATCATGAACAGCTTGCCCTGAATTCAACCAGTAAGACGTCGAGATTTTTTCCCGCCAATTACCTTTACAGTATGTAGCTACCTGCTACGCAATTTTTCAAAAATCAGTATTTCTAGATTTTCCAATTCCGTAAGAGAAAGTAAGTGTTGGTGAGCATAAATTGATCTCAAGAATGTCAAATATTCCATCCAGAAAACATGTGATTCTTGCTTATGAGTTGAGATAAAATGTTTGAAGTCGTTGAACGTTTGAACCTTCCTCGGCGTTGTGTTAATTTCTGTAATGGTTTCAATTTGTTGCTCTTCAAGTCGATGATGTGATTGATGTCAATACATATTTTTATCGTTAAAACAATTGTTAAACAGTATAATTGCATAACAATGGAACAATTGTACTGGTGTTTGAAAGATGTTATCAAGAACTTACTGTTCACATTCTCTTCTGTTTTTTCAATCCATCGTTTCATTTGCAACTTGTAGTTCTGTGTAATTTGATCTTCAAAGGAAAAATTGTAAAACAAATTCACAGCTGCAAATGTTAAAATGTTCTTGGATGGCAATTCCTTGAAGGTTAGCACGTCATAGAATTTTTGATTATTTCGTGTCGATGAAAATGATTTGGTAAGGTTCACTTCAACCACAATATTTCCGTGCAGTGTACGATCAATATTGAGAACACAAAAATCATTTACGTGTTCATACATCCAATGTTCCAATAATAAATTTAAATTATTCCAAATTTTCTTGCAATTAAAACAATGAAAATCGTATTGTATTTGAACGAGAGTTTTGTCATTTTCATTGATAATTTTGATGTGACGAGCATTGAGAATTTCCTTGTTTGAGGAAGAACTTGGTTGTTGCAATAATTCTTGACTTGAGTCAAAATTCAATAATGAAGCATCATGTTTTAATACCATTTGCGGATATTTTCGTTTTAATAACACAAGTAGTACTTCATCGATGGTTAATTTGGGTACAATCCCTCGTTGCCTGATTCTGTAGCTTCTTTGAAATGTTTTCGTGCATGTTGAATAATCGGAAGGTGATGATGAGACCGAAGTGGTCATCTTGCATTTTCTTTGTGTGAAAAAGCCCTTTTTGTGGGTGTTCATTTTTTTTGGAATGCAGTTTTCGTTTGTTTCAATTTATTTACAACATCATCATGATAACAGCTGTTAGATACAAGAATTCTTCACAACATTCTCTGTACCTTAATGGTTTGGAAATTGACCATTGAAAGCAATTTCGTTTCAAAAGAATCTTCTTTCGATATCATTGGGTTCATCTGGGTGAATATGTCAACAAAACAATTTTGTCATTGTCTTGCTTGCATCAATATTCAACGGGTACAGTTCAAGGTTTTTGTTTCTTTTTGAGTTCAATGTTTTCCTCTTCCAGCTCACGAACTTTGTTTTCCAATTCTGCCACTTTTGCTTCCAAGCTTTGAATGTATTGCTTCTTTCTTTCTCTAGATGCTTGTGCTGATTGACGGTTACGAACGAGTCTCCTCTCCTTCTTTTTCAACTCTTCATTTTCGTCTCGTACTTTTTTTCGCTTCTTTTCACTTTCGTCTGATTTTGTTGGAGAGTCTTTAGTTCTAGGCTGCTTCTTTTTAACTTCAACATTCGTACTAGTAGCAGGTGGTTCCTCATTTTGCTTACTTTCCTCAAGAGGTTTCTTCACGACATTGCTTAGAGCTCTTTTTTTGATTGGCATTGCCGATAATACATTCTTTTTAGGATCTGAATGGCTTTCGGGCAGGATGACCTTACATTCAGATTCACTGTTAGAGCCTCCGTCGCTCAGTAAAACATTGCTCTTCTCCATCAAATTGCTGCCACTACTTGAATTTGGAGAGGTATAATAATGTTGGCCTTGATGAGGGAACGGAGGAAAATAATTTCCGAAAGGGTTATTGTACATCACAGATGATGGCGGATTGTAACCGGGAAGAGGTACTGAGCTGTAAGTGAATCCATGTAGTGGGTATTGTGTTTGCGGAAAAGGATGAGTATCTGTTGTTGAGGCTGGTGATGATGAGGGAGAAACACTTGCCACAAACATGTTGTTTTTTGGTTGGGCCAGTAGTCGTACTGTGAGAGGTGGTATCGGAACGACTTTCATTGCACACCATCACCTTTTTATGTTGAGAAGAGTAGACCAATTTTGGAGGGCCAACACTCCCTTCATTTGCGGTTAATGATGCCATCACCATGGTTGGATTTTGGTTGAGGTCGTTTGATGGCGTTGTCATCATTATTCAAATAGTCCAATAGATATCACTAGTTCAATAACTAGGAACAAAATGAAGTAAGTAGTGATCCGTATACCACAATAATAGTTTCCAATATTCCAATAATTTGGAGTTGATGATTTTCAATATTCCGCAAGTTTCGTTGTTGATTTAATCAAACCGAATAATTTTTGTAAACACTGAGTGGAAACAGATAACTAGTTCGAACGGTTGGGTGAAAGAAATGCAATTGTGCAAGTAAATTCAAAAACAAGGAGTGTGTTCAAATAACAAAGAAATGCAATTTGTTCAATTTTTTAGAGAGGAATATGAAAGAGCTAAATTAAACTTGGCGCCACAAGCAACTGGTGCGTGTTCTTTGGTTTTTGATTGGACAGCCTATTTTACAATGAGGAAATCAAATAAAAAAAAAGTTGTGGGTAGGATATTCATTCCTAGTTTGAAGACAAATCCTTGTGGGTCTGATCAGAAGAAACAACATTTTTGTAAACACAGTGGAAACAGACCAGTGTTTAACATGAAACCTGCATTAGTTTGCCGTGGACTGGGCCCAGTTCTCACTCGTCGCACTCAATGACGGACATCCCATCAAAAATTAAAGAAACATGTATTCACCGATCCATCAAAAAAATGCGTCAAAATAGAGCCTTATTATTGACTGCTGTTGTTTGCAGCTGTCTGATGATGTTACTCGAGGCAAGTCATTCCGTAGAGGCAGCAACCGGACATCAAAGTGATGACGGTCGTGATATGTATTCAATCTCAAACATGGTATTCACCAGCGGAATTGCAATTTTAGTGATTTTACTTTCTATTTTTGTCGTTGCAACCTACAAGATTTACAAAAGTTATTTGAAAGTGAAACATATTCCTGGATGTTGGCAGTACTTCTTCTCTCCAGTAAAAATCCCCTTCTTTGCTCCATATTTTTACATGGGAAATAATTTAGATACAATCCGCTTGGTGAAACAATTTGGAGATAAAGAAAGCAAAGTTGTTAGAGTCTCAATGGTTGACAGGAACACTGTATTTATTGTTAATCCTGAAATGTTGAAAGAATATTTCTTGACCAAGGGCAATAGTTTCGAAAAACCTGAATTTGTCTATCAAATGTTTAATGTTTACGGAGAGAATATTTTGTCAGCTCTTAACACGGAATCATGGAAAAAACATTTTCGAGTCTGTAGCCCTGCATTTTCTTCAAAAAATTTGGAATACATGTGCAAAGTAGCAACACAATCTTCAGAACTACTTTTCCAAAGATGGAATAAGGGAATTAAGGAGAATAGCCCATTTATTTTACCTCTTGGTAACTTCAGTGATGTCACTCTTGATATTTTGGGAAAGGCAGCTTTTGGTGTGGATTTCGGAGTGTTCTCAACTGATGTTGAGGGTACAAAGTTGAGAGAAGCTATGGAAAATGTCATTAACTATGGAGTTATTGTTCGACGATTTGTTGGTGATCAATCCATTTTTTATCCCGTGATCAGCAAGATCTTGGGACTTGAACGGGCTATTAACTTTTGCGGAGATAAATTAGATGAAATTATTCAACAAAGAAAAGAGATTATTAAGAAAGACGGAGTTGATAGTGTCACTCAAGATATCTTGAGCTTGTTGTCGAAGCCAACATGGTAGAAAACTTGTTGACAGATAATGAGCTCAAAAGCAATGCATTCATCATGTCGTAAGTAGTTCATCATTTAGGAGTGAAGTATTATTTATGACATTACCAAAGACTTGCTGGTCATGAGGTAAATATTCATAACATGTTATTGATTTGGTTCATTGTTCAACATTTATTGACTTTTTAAAGACAACATCAACTCTGTTGCAATGGACGCTTTATGAGCTATCAAAGCGACCAGAAATTGAGAACAAACTCTATCATGAAATAACTCAAGCAATTGGATCTCGTGATCCAACGTATGATGATTATGGAGTTCTATCCTATGTTAATTCTGTTATTATGGAATCTTTAAGGCTTCATCCACCAGTTCTTTCAGTTGTGAAACACGTTGCCAAAAAGGACACAACCATTGGAAAATACAAGGTACCAAAAGGTACTACCGTTGTGGGTTGGATTGATGCCGTTCACCACGATGAAGATGTTTTCAAGAACGCAGAAGAATTCATTCCAGAAAGATTTGACAATCCCGATGTCAAAGAAAGAGTTCAGCATGATTTCACATGGGTGCCTTTCTCAATGGGAAACAGGTAAGTTAGTAACCACACAATTTATATCATCATTGTTAAACTATGTTCATCCCTCAATATTAGAAAATGCATTGGTTATAGGTATGTATATTCTCAATAATGTATTTATTTCGTGGTGCAACAACATATTTTAGATTTGCTCTTCTGGAAGGATGTATGATTTTAACCAAGATGGTCCAAAAGTATAAATTCAAACTGCTCAACGACGAGTCTGTAGATCCTGTTGGACCAAAACCTGGCGTGACGAATCGACCAACGACCAACCTTAAAATTGCAGTTTCTAAACGAGAGTAAGAAGAAGAAATTCTCGAGCCTTGTCATTTGAAACATACATCGACTTGATGGTTGAGGCGTTCATGATTCAAAGACGCACATAAAAATTACTTGGAATCGATCAAATTGACTCTTTTTCTCTCCGCTACCACATTAAAAAACAAACTCTACAACCCATTCATTACCGTTCAACGAGACAGGTTCATCGCTCTCTCTTGTAAAAAACACACGATCAGCAAGAAGTGGCATCACGGTTCATCTCCTTGTAAATATCTCATTCCGAAAGAATTTGACAATAATTTCTTGCTTGATCACTGATTCACAATTTTATTTGATAATTTTTAGTCATCATTCCAAAATAATATTCATCATATTAGTATTCGGGTCAACGTGACACGTTCCGAATCACTCCCATAGCAAAAATGTCCTCCTCTCTACCAGCATCATCGTTCCAATTTTGGGGTTTGAGTGATTTTTACACAACACTCTTGACAGCCCTTGGAGTCATTCTCATTGGATATTTCATTTGGCTCTTCATTGGTATTTACTCTCAATGCTCAAAATTAGGTCACATTCCTGGAACTTGGCAAGTATGGTTCGCACCTTTTCGAATTCCCTTCTTTGCTCCTTATTTATATTTGGGATCTATGGGTTCAATTCCTCAATTAGCTCAAATGATGGGAGATGCAGAGACTCAAACATTACGAATTTCTCTAGCTCAGAGATCGATCATTTGGGTTTCAGATCCAGAAATGTTAAAAGAACTTTTAGTGACCAAAGCCAATAATTTTTCCAAGCCAAAACAAATCTATGAAGTGTTAAATCCTTTTGATAAGGGAAATAATGTGTTGACAGCTCCTCATACCGAAGAATGGAAGAAACATTTTAAAATTTGTAGTCCTGGATTCTCTTCAAAGAACTTGGAGTACATGTGTAAAATTGCTGTGGAATCGACGGATTTAATGTTCAAGAAATGGGATGAAAAATTACAACAATGTTCACAGTTTGTTTTGAATGTAGGAGATTATTCGGATATTACTTTGGATGTTTTAGGTAAAGCAGGTAAGTAATGATGTATATATGGTATGAGCGTGTCACGACGATTGATGTCAATATTCCTTACTGAAATGTTTTCATGAATGTGAAATGTTTAAATGTTTAAAACACTCGATTCAAAAAAATGACGAAATTGTCACTGGTAGGATTTGGAGTTGATTTTGGTATCTTTTCTTCTAATGAAGAAGGACGTCAACTCAGACAAACCATGGATATCATTATGAGAAGAGGAATGATTTTAAAAAGATTTGTCAGACATTTACCACTCCTTTATAAAATTCTTTCCAATTGGTCAGGAGCAACACAAGCACTGGAAACATGTTCCAAGATTTTAGACAAGATTATTAATCAAAGAAGAGAAGAAGTGAAGAACAGAACCAGTTCAGATGTCGACGATGGAAAGAATGATATTTTAAGTTTACTCGTTGAAGCCAATACTATTGAGAACTTGTTAACTGATGATGAACTCAAGAGCAATGCATTTATTTTGACGTATGTTTCTAATTTCCAAAACACGAGTATTCTTGTTATTTAAATTTTTTAACAATTTTGCTTAATATTAAACACTCTGAACAACCATTTTGCTTAATATTGAACCACTCTAAACATCACACACCAAATAGATTGGCTGGACATGAGACGACCTCTACTCTCTTACAATGGACCACATTTGAACTTTCTAAAAGACCTGAAATTCTGAAAAAACTACAAACTGAAGTCACTCGAGTGTTAAATGGAAGAAATCCAACCTATGACGATTACAATTCACTTGAATATGTCAATGCTGTCATTATGGAGTGTTACGAACTCATCCACCCGTAGTAGGAGTTGCTAAACAAGTGGCAAAGAAAGATACTACTCTTGGAAAATATCAAATTCCAAAAGGATCTTTTATTAATGCATTTATTCTTAATGTTCACAAAAAAGAATCTATTTGGAAGAATGCAGATGAATTTGATCCAGAGAGATTTAAAGATGCAGAGACCAGAGATCGAGTTCAACATGATTTTACATGGATGCCTTTCTCAATGGGAAATCGGTAAGTTTTAACAAGTGGAAATTGTTTCATTGAATCATTCAAAACGTTTTGTATCGTTTTCAAATGAATGGAACTTTTAAAAACTTTGATCAATTTCAGAAAATGTATTGGTTATCGATTCTCATTATTGGAAGCATGTATGATTTTAACCAAACTTGTTCAAAAGTATGATTTTGTGTTATTGAATGACGAAGAGAAAGATCCAGTTGGATGTTCTGTTCGTGTCGTACAGAGACCAACTAATTTGAAAGTAAGAGTTTCAAAGAGAGAGCATTGAGAACAAGTTTACAGCAGAGATGATGTTCCATTACAAGCGCGTCACTTGTCAATTATTTTTTACTTGATTACATTCTGATAAAATCGCATTATTATAATCAGCAACACAAGAAGAACACAACCTCGCTCTGTGTGCTGCAACCTTCATCCGTAAAAAAATTCAACACTAGCTGCCAACTGTCATCATGAAGTCATTGATCATCTTCGGTCTTTGGCCATTGTGTGTGCCATCATGATTCACACATCATTCGCTCAACAAGCACCTCTCACACAACAACCTCAAAAAGTACAACAATTCGTCCGTAATGTCAATTCCACTCTCTCTGCTACAACTCCAAAGAAACAAAGCAAAGTTCGTTTCTTGAGACAAATTCTCAAAAACTTGAAGGAATTAGGTTTGTTGAAGAATACTTCCGAACAAGCTCCATACAATGCACAAGATGCTAAAGTTACTTTGAGAAAACTCTCAGTCATTGTGGATCATCTCTTGCAATTGAAGAAGGACGGAAAGACTGACGATTTGAAGACTCATATCGAAGAGTTGAAGAAATCACAAAACTTCCATGAAGTGGTCCGATTGGTGAGAAGAATTTTGAGAAGATTTTTGAGAAGAAAGGTTAGAAAGTTGGCACAAAAGATTAGAATGATGGCCAAGCAAGTTCACCAACAACAACAACCATCAGCAGCAGCTACAACTGTTGCTACTCCTGTCAATAAGAATGTCAAGCCAAAGAGAGTCAATAGAAGATTCCCAATTGAAAAGTTCTTGAAGAGACTTGAAAATCTTGTCAGATCTGTCAAAGTTGCTTCTGTTTGGAAGAAGAGATTCCCAAGACGTGTTCCAAAGAGAAATCAGAAGAGACGTTTACCAAGAAGAAAGCGAGCTGTCAGAAGACCAGCAGCTGTTGAACATTTTGATTTCCTTGCAAGACTTGTTGAAAGACTTGAAAGAATGGAAAAAAGACGTTCTCAAAGAAGAGTTCCAAGAAGAGCTCCAAGAAGAGTTTCAAGAAATAGAAGACAAAGAAGAGTTTCAAGAAGAGCTCCAAGAAGACAAGAAAAGCCATTGTTTTTCGTTCACAAACAATTGCTCAAGAATGTCTTGACTACTTTTATGAGAAAGCATTCTAGAAAGCCAAGAAGAGCTTAAATGTGTTTCGTTCAATAAAGTTAGCATATGGTTCAAGTGAGTTTGTTATTCATTGTTGTGTGAAATCGTCAATAGAACAGCGGAATTACATTTATTTTTCGTTGCTCAGTGTTATAATCCTAAGACGAGGAATTTATTTCTTTTGTAAGCTCTTCCTTTTTGAGAGCAAGAGCATCCATAAGAGAAGAATACAAAATTTTAACCTTCTTATATCTTTTCGACATGTACTGCATGACATGAAGGTCTCTTGATATTTTGGAAAGCTGTTCTGTTTGGGTCATGTCACGGCCGTTCAAATCAAGTTGGCAAGCAATGGAAAAGCAAGAAAAATACGCTGGAATAATGGCTCCCAAAGCTTCAGGTTCTTCATAACTAATTTTCATAAAAGCGTCAACCTCTATGTAAAGTCTTGAAAGTACATTGTTGACATTTGGATCTTGATTGTTAATAGAGGAGAGAGTTATTGTGGAACTACTATCAAACGATGAGTCGTGTTTGGACAGAAAATCCAAATACTCTAGCAAAATCATCGCATATGCTGTGTGTTTGTAGCCTTTACCTCCATGGATTAGAATGAATTGTTGTTCAACATCCAAGTTATAGGATTTGCTGGAAAGTGTAGCCATTTCCAGTGTAAAGTCAACCATTTTCAAGAAACCTTCAAAGGTTGTTCCATCAATCTTCTGTTCTAGAAGATTTTTGAATTCTGGATGAGTGACTTGTGGTTGGTTTGTTCCATAAATGTAATACTTTTTGATTAACCTTCTCAGTTCAACTGAGCGTCTTAATTTACCTGCCTCATTGGTGATATCAGCAGCAAGTTTAAATTTTCCCAAAAAGAAATCTCTGTCCAGCTCAGATGTTGGAATCCAATATTGAATGAGCTTATTCATTTCTTGCTCGTGAGAGCTTACTGATGAATTTGTGGTCTTTCCACTTGTATTCTTATTTTGAGAGGTAAAATAATGGTCAACCAAGTCCAAATAAAACTTGCCAGTCTCATCGTCTCCCTCGCTTGAATGATAGATCGAAAGAATACAATAAGTAAAGGCAACATGGTAATTGTCGTATCTGTCAAATACTTGTTTGAGCAACGCTCTTGTTTTTTCATAGGCGATTTTTGCTTCTGAGGTTAAACCTTTTCTCTGACACATGTGCAAATACATGCTATACAATAAGCACAACTTTTCTAAAGGAATAGAGTCTGATGAGGGATATGTGAGGTCAGAATCGGTTGGAGGAGACATGGAATTCATGTCCCTGACAACATTGGAAGCATTGCATAACCTAAGTATTTTGTAAGCATGTCACACTTTAAAATTGAATACTTACGAAGTGGAATGGGTGTAATCAAATACAACAGTACTTCTTAGTAGATTCTTATTCATTCGTTCACAAAAATTTAAATGATTTTTGAGCAGGACAAAGAAGCTATTGAATGGATCATTGGAAGATTGGTTCTCTGCAAGATCGAGCTCTTTCGATACATCTTTATCTTCGTTCTCTAATTCATCATTGTCACAGAGTTTTACTCTCTTAAACTTGTTGACACTTTTGGATTGTTTGAGACCTTCTGTTTTGACGTAGAGAGATTGAGTTTCGAAACTGAGTGGAGAGGTTTTTCGTTTTCTAAAACTCTTTGTGCCGTCTTCATCAATCACTTCTTCTTCAATAGTGACAGAAGATGTTGATGTATTCATGCATGAATTATTGGGTACAACAATTTGATGACTGAGAGAATCAAAACTAGTCACCAACTCATGAGAGAGAACAGAAGAGGGGTTTGTGTACGAATTTGGAAAATGGAAAGAAGTTGTTAAATTGGAAAAATCTGAACCCAAATTCGTGTATTGTGGTGTTTTAGAAGAAGAAGTGGATGTGTTGCTGTTGACTGGTGGTATGGAATAGTTATTGTTGTTGTTATTATTGGGGAATGACGTCGTTGCAGTTGTTTGGTTGACATTGTTGGAAGTGTTACAGCTCGAGGAGGAAGGATACAACAAGGACAAGCACTGCAACACATTTTGGTAGGTTGGATTGCTGTGTGGCGTGTTGAGAGGAGGAGTGGTTGTAGTGCTGTTGGAAATCGATGAATTTCCGAGGAGAAGAACTTCAAGAGGAGTATGAGCTGGATTCATCACTACGGAGAACGCGGATGATGAGTTTGATGAGATGGAAGATGCATTCACGCTCGGCGATGGAGCTAAATGAGAGGAGCGTGGGGGGTAGAAGAGGTGTTGGAACTAGTTGTCGGAAATGAAGAGGAGGAAGAGCTCATGTGGTTCATCATTGACAACATGCTCGAGTAGAGGTTGTTAGAGGTGTTTCCGTCAGGGTATATGAAGGAGTTTCTATCGCTTGGCCGTTTGTTCTTGTCATCATGATGATCATTATTCGTCATGGTACTACTCGGTAAATGAAATGTGGGTTGAACTTTACGCATGAGTGGCTAGAAAGGTTTTTTGTTGTCGATGACTTGAACTGCTTCGGACCCAAAAGAACGTTCGTTTGATTGGTGTATTCTCTCTATTTCTCTTCAAAACAACCATGTACTCTACGGAGAGTGCAGGATGTTGTTGTTGTTGTAGTTTGGTAAAGAGAGTGCACTCAGAGAACGTGTTTTGTTGATGTTACTGTGTATCTATGCACAACAATCCAGAGTACGGGACAATGATCTCTTCTTTTCTTTTCGTTGTTGCTTCCACTAATTCCCTTCGCACCTTACTCTGTGTTTGGCTTCTTTCGTACAAGCCTGAACACCAAAACCATCTAGAAACTGCGACTGAAATTCATGGCGCGATGCAATAAAAGAGAAAAAATGCGAAGCCCACCGAATTTATGTGGTCGAGCACGTGCTGGTCATTGTCAAACGAAGAACAAGCACGACAGTGAATATTCTCAAGCCACAGAATCCTATTTGCATCGTGGTTGTTGTTGGGAGATGATGATTTTGGTTGACAGTAACAACAGTGGCATTGATTTGGTGAACTCGCACGAAGGAAGAGAGAATCAAAATGTATTCCGATGATGGAAAATTGCGATTTCTCTTGGATGGGTCATGACAGCAACGGCGGCATCAAATTACAACCAGCAAATGTCACGCTTGACTTGTCTAAACAAGGTCATAGTAGAAAATTGCTTCTATGCAAAGTATTAGAATATTTGACAGTAAAGGAAGTGCTATCAACGATTATCCATGTCTGTAAATTATGGTATTTAATTGGAGGGTTCGATCAAAACTTGTGGAAGCATTATTGTGATCAAACATTCGGACATGCAACTAGGTGTGAGAATTTTTTAGTGTCCTTTGGTATTTCATGCAATAATCTGGCAAATGGTTTTCCAACTTTGTACGAAAGACAAGTTGTTTTCAACAAAATAATCGAAAAACCCTAGCTCGAAGGTATTTGCATGATCTTCAATTATGGGCACTCAATAAGAAAATTACTGATGGTAAGTGACACCTTGCTGCTTGTGTGGTTTCATTTGGAGTATATATATTAATTTTGGATGTCGGTCATTATTGTATTCCTTTATTCATACATGTTGTGAAAATACACACACTCACACACACATTGTATCAGACGAAAAGCAAAATGTATGGACCAATTGTTTTTGGTTTAGATTTTATTTTCAAAAGAGAACCATGTTAGAGTTAATTTATAAGGTGAGTGTATTTTCAGTAGTAGTAGTAGTATCAATGATTCGAATGATTGTTGGTGTGGGTGTGTGTATTCACAACACTATGAATGCATAATTTCCTAAATAACTCTAAATATTTTCACACATTGCTGTATAGAAAGAAGAATCTTCATTCAATCTTATCCATCTCATGAAACACGCATTGCAACATTATGAACGTTCATTCCAACATGATGACCTTAATCAATTAACATTTTTAGCAAATTTAGAGAAATTCAAACCTCAATTGCAACAAGGATTTGTCCACTCATGGCTCAACAGTCCATATCTCTACACTGAAAAGCACATTCGAAAAGGTATTAAGAAATGGATCATGAAACATGCCATTCCAACCTTTTTCAAAGTTCTTCCTCTCAACACCATCATCCCATCATTGTGACTGAGAAGAATTTCGATACCATGTCTTTTCAAATGGAATCCCATCTTGTGTTATTTCCACCTCATTCTCACTCGCACATGATTCATGTTTATTTTGATTTTGAACGAGAATTTCATTGTATGGACATACCAAACCGAAAAGTATCAAATTCCTCCATGCAAAGAACCTCCCTAGAGACGACAGCAGAATTATACTTTTATGTTCAGACCTTGTGGTTGCCATCTTCATCATCATTACATCATCACTCCCTTAAGAACAATCGTCATGATTACAATGAGCGAACGACACAACATGGTGCAGAACAGCAGCGACGGCCATCATGCACCGAGTTCACGACAATTCCTCCTCAGAACATGTTGAATGTTGCAAATGAAAGAAACGAACAGATGCAACAACAACCTCATACTCCGTTGGACCTCAGAGGTGGCATTAATTTCCCGTCCAAATCTGCAATAGGCAAGCGAGAGATTTCGACGGAAATTACTCCACAAAACGCGATTTCTGTTCAACTAGTTCACACAGCTACCATTTCAAAGAATCGTCTCACAGCGGGTGGACAGGATGAAGATGGTGCGAGTGATGCTGTCTACTCGAACCATGTATTCTTCTTCGGATGATGACGACGAGTACGAGGAAGATGAGTTGAGTCATCCCTCAGATGGAGAGTATGAAGTTGTGGACATTGGTGATGACGAAGATTCATGTGAAACAGAAGATGATCTTCAACAAGACGAAGAAGAAGACCCTTGTGAATCTTCCATACATTTACCATTGCCAACGTTTGAAACTCAATTCATTTTGGACCACCACAAAAGCATTCAATCCAATACCAAGCACACATTACTAAGCTTTGAAGAATGCAGTGGAGGGTATTATCATCGAGAAAACACAAGTCGTGAATCACAAGTCGATAAGACCAATTTGAAACTTTTAGAAGATTTATTTTTCAACCCATCCTCACTGGGCGATAATGACAGTGAATACAAACAATTTGTGAATCACGCTATTGAAAACAAACTGTTGTATTATTATTTATTGGTGGTACTTTGTGGCAATATTGGATTGGGTGTTTTGAACAATTAAATTGTAAATAAATACACTGTTCGTCACGTACGTTGACAAGGTTTAATAAGGAAAATTGAAATGTTAGAAATAAGAAATCTAATAATTGAATTTATCTACTGGTTTTGGATTTTTTCAATGGTTGTTCATCTTTTCCTCCATTACTTGAATCTTGGTTGACATAGCCGCTTTTCTCTGGCGAGCGGTTTGTCCTGACAATGCAGTCAGAAAGTCTACCATCGGAAATTCTTCTTTGTAAATTTGCAAGTAACATGCTTAAACTTTCAGTATTTGGAAATTGAGACTCGAGACAAAATAATACAGTCGAGGAAGCACAACGCAACCCATATTTCAGCCAAGGAATAATTTTGTTAGTTCTTAGCGTCATTCGTCTCCATGCACCAACCTCTTGAACATCAGATGACAGTCCAAGGCTTCCCATAACGTTACTTCCACATACAAAATAATTACTTCTCTTGGATATCATATATGATGAATAAACATCCGCATAAATTTGAGAAATATTGTCTTTTAGTTTCTTCCATTGATTTGCAAGAACTACATTCTTTTTCGTGCCCACCATTTTATCTTCTCCGCCTTAAAAAAGATGCATTCAACGTTGATATATTTAGCATGTCATACTTACATCCATAAACTTCTCCTGTTGTTGAAAGTGTTAAGGTATGTTCATTACCAGTTACTATTTGCTTGAACAAACGATTTTCGAATGGAAGAGTAATCTCAGTTAAGGCTCTATTTTTCGAAAATGGAAGACCGCCTCCTAACTACAAACACTTATTATCAGTACATGACATTTGAATGTTATGATAATATCAATACATTACCTGTCCTATATATTATTGATCAAACGTCATTCGATTATTATGATGAAATTATCATTAATGCATACCTTGTCGATTGTCACCCATTCCAAAACTCTGTTGAGGTTGCTGACAAAAAAGCAATGGTTGGCACAACAAGCAATGTATTTCACATATTCATTTTCTCCCAGCTTATCAGAAAATAATTGTGAAATGTCCTCTGACGCTTCTCCATCGATGCGATGTATGGTGTTATTATATCCAATAGCATAGGTAATTCTTTTCGTTGATTTAATGTATCGAATGCCTCCATTAAAAATTAACTCAAGTTCAAATGTTAGTGGGTCGAGTTCTAAAGTATATAACTTTCCGCTGTTAGTTAGAAAATACGCATATTTTAAAGTAATTTCAATATCTTCCACATATTCTGAGGACTTTTTGAACAAATCATCAATACATTTAAAGTTACTGGGAAGTAGACATATTTCAAGTTTCAAACATGAAATACAAATGACGGTCATACCTGATATACTCTATTCCATCAATTTGTATCTTCAGTGCCTCTTCCAAGCTTAAATGCTTCTTTTGATTCAAAAAAACTCTATTCTTTGATGTCAGTATCACAAATCTGATATTATTTGCGCAAATCTTTTTAATTCTCTCATCAGAATCACACTTGATCATATCAAACAGTTCAAAATGCATTCGGGTTGGTTTAAAATATACTTTGGGAGTTTTCGTTAAAGAAGTCGATCCTGTGCCAATAATTCGTTGTCCCGAAATTAAAAAAGCCTGGTGATGACTCTCACTCTTTTTCAAATCAAAACAATCATTACTTTCCGGATCCATTGGAATGGTATCATACAATCCACTCTTCCACAAATGAGCCTCCTTGGTATGTTCTCTTGATTTAATTCTGGTCTCAAAATCCGCGTACATGAATCACACAGCAACAATATCGATCATGAACGAGAATATTTTTTGATGAATTCTGAAGCGACCACAAGCAAGTTATCTAACAAGTCAGTAAGCGACCTCAGACAAGATTGAACGTTTCCATCACAATGTAGTTGCCTCAACACGCCCCCTCGCATAATTACAGCAAGAACCCCTCACCTCGAGATTCACTTGCCGCATGCGTTAAAAAATTCATCGCTAGACCATCATCACCCCGTAAAAAAATCATGCAAACCAAAGCCTTGCTCGTGCTTGCCGTGTTGGCTGCGCTCCTTGCCTTCTCCGTGGTATCGACTGCTCAAAGAACTCCAAACTTTGTGTTGGACCAATTGAGAGGAGCTATTAACAGAGAAAGAGGTGGTTCTTCTTTTGATTACTTTGTAAGTACTGGAATATAGTACGCGATGATTCTAAGTGATATTATCTTTGTGATGATGAAATTTCTAGGTATTTTCTCTTACTTGGCCAGGAAATGCCTGCCGTCAATTGCAACCATGTTATATCCCATCATCTACTTCAGATTTTACGTACGTAGATTGCTTTGCTTCTCTTTACTGAAGATAATGATCTAATTGTCGCTCGGATGCAATTGTGTTCATAATTTTCATCACACATGTGATTACGATAATGTCATAACAGTATTCATGGTTTGTGGCCTAGCCGTAACACTGGACCACAAGGTCCATTCTTCTGCGGAGGATCCTTTGACTATGGTCAAATTCAAGATTTAGTCCCTGATTTGAACAAGTATTGGACTGGTAAGTGTAAAATGCAATGTATTAACTGCTGAATTGAATTTCTTTTAAATGACTATGATCATCACCATGTTTACACTTTTCATTACAATTATTTCACATAACACGAATATCAACAATTCAACCATGGCGATAACGATGTTTTCACATGCTATCATTCAACATATCATCACATTACTTACAACCCATTTCACAAACAGATTTCAAGAATGAAGTTCCATCATTTTGGCAACACGAATATGAAAAGCACGGAACCTGTGCTGCTTCTCTCCCACGTATGGACACTGAATACAAGTTCTTCAAGGCTGCTCTTGATTTAAGAAAGAGCATGTCCGTTCTTCCAAACTTGCAAAAAGGCGGTGTCACTCCATCTGACAGCATGGTTTATCATATTCAACAACTCAAGAGTGCCATGAAGGCTGCTGGTTATGGAACTCCTGCTCTTGCTTGTTATCATGGTGAACAATACATTACTGAAATGAGATTCTGTACTGACAAGAATTTGAACTTTATTGATTGTCCAATCCGTGATCAATGTCATGATACTGTCTTGTTGAATCCAATCAACCCTAACAATGCCAAGAGAAGAAGATAGAAATTTAAATTTTGAATTGCCAACGAGTGGCAACAAATCATATAAATTAATTCTTAATTTATTGTTACATTTGAGTCGCTATTAATTATTGTGTTGATGCCTTTTCACTCGAAGATTTGAAACTGCCGTCATTTGTCAAATCCAACTGAAAAAAATGGTTTTTACACTTGTGTATGGGTATGTGTTATCACATTAATAACAGTTTTTACCCATCATCACACAACACGCCAACACGTTTTTGTCTCGGTGTCATCTGTTGCTCCTATAGCCTCGGAGAGAATATGGCCCATCAATTGTCCAATGACAATGATGAGAGAATATCTACTCCGAAAGAAGTTCTTCGTTTGAAAGACAAGAAAGTTACCAATGTTGGATGTGGTGATAAATTCACAGTATTATGTACAGGTATGTGAATTCGTTCCATCAGTATTTTCATTGATCATTGTTACTGAATGATGGGCAATTATATCTCATCGAATGATTGGCTTACATCTTTTACTTATGAAATGTCCATGTAATAATTATTGGAATAACGATCATCATTGCTCGCTCTTTATTGTTTCAACAGATGATCATCTTCTTTACACAATCGGAGACAATGATTATGGCCAATTGGTGAGTTTTTATTGAAAATAAGTATTGAGAAAGCAAGGACTTATTCCATACATCATGACATTCAGAGCTTGGGTCATTTCCGTACTTGTAATTCTTGGACAAGTGTTAATTTAAGTATTCAAATTGAATCTCTTGTTTGTGGAGATTATCACTCCATGCTCTTATCTGATAAAGGGGAAGTTTATGCATGTGGACGTTCTGATAAGTATCAAATTGGGTTTTCCTCAACAGACTCTGTTGCAGAATTTAAACGAGTGCCTATTAAGGAAAAAGTGAAACTCATTTCCAGTGGAGCTAGTCATTCAATTTTTGTAACTGTAGATAATGAAATTATTGCATGTGGAGATAACACATATTCTCAAATTTCTTCGAAAAAGAAGGAAGTGGTTAAGAAGCCTGAAAAGATAAAAATTGATGAATTGAAAGGAAAGAAAATTAAATCAGTTTCATCAGGATGTAAGTTGAGACAATATTGATCAAATATTTGGATGTATAATTATTTTGAAAATACACACACACGGATATATATACTTGACTATTTGAACAACCATTTACATGTCCTATAATGAAATTATTTATCATATTTTATTGAAATTGTTATAACAATAACAATTATTATTATAATTCTACTTTTCAGATCAACATACCATCTATTTAACTGAAGAGGGAAACATTTTTTGTTTGGGAAACAATACCTTTGGACAGTTAAACATTTCTCTCGTGAGTATTAATAAGGCAGGACAAGGACAAATGATTGAGAGCGTTTCATGTGGAAGTTTTCATTCTGTAGTAGTGACAGATAAGGGAGAGCATGGGCTGCTGGAAAGGTAAGTGAATGATGAAATTCCAATCCTTGTCATGTATGAATATCCTAAATTTCACATGATCCAGAATCGAAATGGTGAATTAGGAATTGAAAATGATGGAAGTAATGTAAAAGATGCAACCAAAATTAATATTGGATCTGATGTCAAGATTGACACTGTCAAGTGTGGGTGAGTATTATTCATTAATTATTCCATTTGTGAAATGACAATCCATTTCATCAATTGATCCTTCTTGTCAAATGATCATCATCTTAGAAATCATCACACGGTCTTGCGATCGACAGAGCAAAGAATTTACTGTGCAGGTAAAAACAGTGGAGGTCAATTAGGATTAGGTCATCTCGACAAGACATTCCGTGTGAATGAAACAAAGTTTTCATATCCTGTTTCAAAGATTGGTGCTGGTGGATGTAAGTATTTGACAACTTTAAGAATATGAATTCACCAATGTCAATTTTACTAAAAGATCATTCTGTGTTTCTATGCGAAGTTGCCGATGACATGATTGATAATAATTAAATCTCTTTACACTTCTTCTTCAAACTTTATATTGTCATGTAATAGAGCGTAAATAAGAATAAGCAACTTTGGTGTCTGACTTAATCTCAAACAATGATGCCATTGATGGTATAATCATCATTGAGAATTACGTTCATCATCATGTTCTTCTTCACTTCGACCCACTTCCTTGTCCAATAAGTGTGTTCGCAATTTGAAACTCTCAATGAGATCTGACCTCAATGAAGGTTACTTGAACCACCCACACTTGTCCAGATTGAATTCAAATCTCTATTTGAATCCGAGGTATGGTAACCTTTCATATTTGAAATGCCACCTTCAAGAGTGTTGTTGGCTCATGATTTTCAAACCATGGTGGTGTGTTAACGATGTTCCAAGGTGAAAGGTCAATTTGGAAGCCTATAAATCACTCAGTAACCATTGAGCCTCTGTCAACTCCATAAAAAATGTTTGAAACGCTTCTTGCAGAAACCACCGAAGCGACAGCAGCACTTTCCAACATGAATAACAACCATTCCACTACATCATTGGCCTCTTTGACTAGTCTCTATTTTTTAGTGTTTGGTGTTCTCGGAGCTGTTTTTTATTATATCAAAGACTCTTTAGAGGATATTGTACTGAGAGTTTTCTTTTATCGATTGGAAATTTCAGATTCAGATGAAGAGTTTTATTGGTTTTCTTGTTGGTTTTCATTTCATCCTTACACCATGGATGGCTCCTCTCATGTCAGACCCTTTCAGAAAAAACTAGCCAAAGTGAAGGAGTATGACGAGAGTCCCAGTGAGTTTGATGGTTTTGACTTGGGACGAGATGAATCGTTTAAAAAGACAAAATTTGTTCCTTCGTATGGATATCATGTGATTTATGTTGAAAATGATCCACTCATTGTGCATTTATTTTCATTTGTCAATGATCGTGGAAATGCATCCAAAGTGCGTGAAAGTGTTGAGATTTATAAGGCTAAATTTCAATTCATTGATACCATTTTAAGGTACTTGTTTAAATGCACGAAAGAAAATAATTGTCCAGATCCAGTGACCATGGCCAAGAATTCGGGATTGAATACCTCCATGATTTTGACTAGTCGATATGAATCGAGTCATGCTGAGAAGAGCAATAAGAAGAAGGAGTTGTCTCGACCCATCACCTCCAATAGCTTCTTTTTAGAATTTATTGCTAATTGTTATTATATTAATACTGTGTTTATGAAAGAGAAGACCACTATTTTCTCATCAAGCTATGGAAGATGGGCAGCCACTTGTGTGAAACACAAACGAAAAAAGGAGTCTGTCATTTTGGATAAGGGAGTTTGGGAATCTTTATATTCTGATGTGGAACAGTTTTTAAATTCAAAAGATTGGTATTTCGATTATGGAATTCCTTACCGGTAAGTGGATAAGCTGATTATAAGCCGAGGTGGATAAGCTGATTATCATTATAAGACGAGGATATTTATTATATGGACCTCCAGGAACTGGAAAATCAAGCTGTGTGGCTTCACTTGCTGCTGCTTTCAATTTGAATATTTGTTTGGTAAACTTGGCCTCTAGAGACTTGAACGATGAAGAACTTGGATATTTGTTTTCGACAGCACCATCCGATGCCGTTATTGTCATGGAAGATATTGATTCATCCTTTGCCAATGACGTGATGGATGCTTTGGCAACAAACAACGACAACAATAAGGGAGAAAATGAATCAAATTCCTCTGAAAATGATGATAGTCATTCCAAAAAGAATGAGAACTCTTCAATGACTGCTTGCAACAATGTTATTCCAACCAAGTCTCAAGTCACATTTAGCGGAATTTTGAATGCTATTGATGGTATTGCAGCCCAAGAGGGAAGAATCATTTTCATGACCACCAACTTTAAGGAAAAACTTCCACCCTCCTTAATTAGAAATGGACGTATTGATAAGAAGATTTTTATTGGGCATGCCACCGAATATCAAACCAAAGCTTACATTCGAAAATTCTATGAAAAATCAACCCAAGTCACACCACAAGAATTTGAGGATTTAATAGAACGTTTTTGGGATAAGGTCAAACATATGAAGATTTGCATGGCTCAACTTCAAGGTTTTTTATTATTGCATCGAAATAGTATTGTTGAATTGGTGGAAGCCGCAGACGATTTTGAAAAATTCATGAACGATAAATAATGGTCCAGCCATCATTATGTTCTATAAACCAGAGGTGGTATATGGACCTCCTGAGCATACAGCTGAAAATAAGGAACTAAATACTTTTCAATCTCGAATGCATGATTATGTTGAAGGTAGTGACATTAATTCGAAAGAGCAACTCCTTGATACTTTCAACCGCATGGACAGTGAAGCAAAAAAAGATTTGGTAGAAGACATTCATCAATGCTACTACCGTTAGATTCTCTTGATCTGTTTAAATTATTTGTCTACAAACGCGTTAAACCCAAACAAGCCATCAAACGACCTTTCGAGCTAGTAACTCATAGTTCTGCCACAAAAGAACGAGATCCCAAAATGGTAAAGCAGGCTGTGGCTGCAACAGACTCGCCAAGTGGTGCCACTTCATCATTGCGAACGTCACCTCTCAGCATACCAAATCCAAAGCAGTTGGCTCAACAAGCGAGATCTCTCAATGTTAAAGATGCGTCAAGACGAGTCAGTAAGGGCTGATGAAGAGAAAAATATTCACTCTAATACCACATTTTCAGTAGGTTCTTCAAAAAACAATGCGTCTGCTTCTCCAAAACCTTCTAGAGCTTCGAAACTATTGGCCGATTCTAAGAACCATAATATCTTTCAAGACCAAGATATTGACTATGAACAGATTGAGCTCAATGAAGCCATTGCATCCAACCAATCGATCGTGAGATTTGAAGATGTAAAGAAGAATCAGTGTCAGGTGCTGTTTGCATTTGGACTTGTTGTGCTATGAAATCGGACTCAAGTAGTGCTGTTTCATTTACCAGTGTAAGTGCTATTGTATCTCCAACGGCATGCAAAGCACTAAAGTGTAAGGTGTAAGGTGCTAAAAGGTTTCCCAAATTGTATTACACTCTCTCAATCAAAGATATCTGTGACGGAATGACAGAATATTTAAGACGAGTATTAAATCCAGACAATGGTTGTGAGGATATTGGAAGAAAGTTAAAAATACTTCCAAGTGGATATCCCAAGAAATTCAGTCATCTTGAAAGCAAATATAAAGAATACTCATTGCAACAGAAGGAAGAATAAGCGAAGCGTTGTACCAAATAAAGAAATAGTTTTTAAATTCAAAGCGGAATTTCAACATTTAAAAAAAATATTCGGTTGACCAGCTTTGTGTGGTGAACGCTTATTTGAAAATACGATCATGATGAATGACGATCCTCGTCTTCTCGGACTTGTGTTATACGATCTCTTTAAAGAGATTTTTAAATTATTGAAAAAACAAGAACAACACGACACCAAGAGCACCGAATGGTATGAATTGATCGCTCGATTTTTGGTAAAGACTTGCAATGTCAATTTTAAAACATATTTACCTGCACAGCACGATTCCCAAAATTTTGATTTACATTCTTTTAAATCCAGAATGCAAGACTATGCAGAGATTGAGAATGACCATGTGCCATCCGAACAACAAATTATTTTAACTCTTCAGGACTTAGATACAGACACTTCAAACGAGATGATTGCTGACATTCAGCAGCTGTTAATTCCATTATCAGAACTTGATATGTATAATTTATTTGTTCATAAAACAGTCAAGAAAAGCATTAAAAGAAGACAACAGCAAGCAAACAAAAGACCTGCAGAACAAGTGTTGTCAAGCCAAGAAGGTGAAAGATATCCAAAGACGATAAAACCAATTGCGAGTTCTTCAAGTGAATCAAGTAGCTTTAATGACGAGCAGCGTTTATGCAAGAAACCAACATTTGCGCTACCAAAAAGAAACAGCACAAACAGTACAGAACGATCCTCATTAAGTAATGACAAAGACTGTGAAAAATCAAGCAACGAAGACGAGACATTTAGTGACAATGAATCATCGCAAAATACTGATGAAGAGGATGATTCCAACAACAACCTGCAGGATAGACTTCCCAAAAGGGAACTAACGCATTCAGCCCCTTCTCATGCAGACGAAGAACTAACTTCCACAAAACGACCTAGAAAATCTAAATTAATGGCCGATTCAAAGAATCACAGTATCATTCAGCAAGAGCAAATCGATTATGATAGAAAAGAGATCGAAGAAGCCATTGCATCCAATCAACCAATGATTCGATACGAAGACATCAGGAAGAAATTAGAGGACTGTGCCAACACACAACTCGATCCTTTTTCACACTTTTCCTTCTCGAAGCAAAAGGCTGCTCTTGTGAATTATGAAGCGTTTCTACAGGCCTCAAAAAAACCCAATACTCAAACCATTGGATATTTCAACAATTATTTCGATCGATTCCCAAAATTATTTTACACTCTACCGAAAACAGAGATCACAGGAGCGACCATCTTCATTAAAAGAGCACTCAATGATGATAGTGATTCTGAATTGCTCAAAAAGAAGCTAAAAACACTTCCGATTGGGTATCCCGACCAATTCAAACTCCTTTCCACGAAATATGAAGAGTATTTGCAACAGCAGAAGAAGTGAGGTAAAACGATTCGAAAAGAATTCTTACCACATGTCATAAACGGAAATTGTAAATTTTTTAGGCGGTTAAAAAATGAGGCAACAAGCCATTAACGATTATTATGAAATTGGAGACTCTGCCAATGGCGATACCGAAATGAACAACAATACGGATGTGGAAGGGTCTGCCATGGTCATGATGGACGACACCTATGAGGAAACAGATCAAGACAATGAAATTTCAAGAATGGAAAACGTGAGTCAAAGGATTTTGTTTGAGGATCAACCCGAAGATGTGGATGAACACTATTTTGCTCAGGTTTTAGATAAATACAATCCTCATTTGAAAAACTCTGAGGATGTTATAGAAGAAACGAAAATAGGTGAGAATGGAACGAAATCAAGAGATGATGCAGGATCCTATGAATCCCCACTAGAGAAAGATGAGTATGGAATACCTCACGTATCGATCAGCCTACAAAAAACTCCCTCTCCATCTCAATACAAAAAGAGAATTGTGTTCGGAGCATCCACTGAAGGAGGACAGATCAACTCTACAAAAAATCCTTATTATTCTGGAGGAAAGGTGAAAACTCCCCAGAGTGCTTTGAAACAGCAGACATCGGAAGAGAGCAACAAATTCCGCTCAATTTTAAAAGGACAGGAAGGTAACACGACTCCTGAAGAGGAGGGCCAACGAAATCCTTCTTCCATTCCTCAACCCTCAAATGTTCCAATTTCTAAAAAAACAGCTTCTCCTAGAGTCAAATTTGAGGGTGCTTCTGTAAATTTAGTTGAACCATCTTTGCAAGACAACACAATTACGTTAGAGGAATTCCAAAAACGATATATTGAGCGTGCGTCGTCTCCTCCTCCTTTTTCTGTTATTGCCGAAGAAAAACTTGCAAAAATGCAAGATGTTGAAAAGGTAATTGAGGACGTTGTAGAGAAAGCTCTTGTTAAAAACATCGAAGAGCTAAAGGCTCACTATGAATATTTAAACAATGGTGTTTATCAAATGCTGGAAACACAGTTCAACACCATGCTAAATTTGAGAACGAATTCATCGATTGGATTTGAGGATTTTCCAGAATACAAGGATATGGCTGAAAAGCTTGGTTTCTTAAATGCTGAAAACGAGCATTTAAAACTGTTACTTGAAGAGAGAGATTTAGAAATTCAATCACTAAGAGAGCAAGCAGAGCTGATGAGGGAACGATATATTATGGATATCGATAAACTTACATCTGAAGTTGCCAATTCCAGGATTGCACCAAAAACTCTCGAAGAGGAAAAGATCGAAGATCACATTGACGAAAATCCAAGAACCAACTCTCCACCTAGATCCAGGTCTCCTCCGCCTCAACCTGTTCAACAGCCATATTCAAAGCAAGAGGCAAGAAGAAGTTTAGATTTTAATGCAGCTGTCCGAAATGCTTTGCACAATATGTCAAAGGAACAAGCCAATCCACTGTCAAAGTCCTTTGACTCTAAGCAATTTAAACTTAATAACGAAAAGCAGAAAGCAGTTTCTTCTACTGAGGAACACCCACAAGAAGAAATTCAACAAGAGGATAAAATTAGAAAAGCCAACAAAACTCTAGATAGTATCACAGAACGAATGCTGAGATCGTTAAAAGGACCGGTGAGAGCAGAGGACAATTCGAAGCAAATAGATAAAATGGTCATTGACATCAAGGAGCAATTTAAAGAAAAGGGGGTAGTTCTTCCACTTAAACGAGTCAAAGATTGTGTATATGCTTTTGGAGAGGGTAAATCTGAACGAAAAGTACACCTCAACATTGTAAATGGAGTGTTGAAGGTTAAAATAGGAGGTGGATATGATGATTTCCTAAAGTTCCTTTCTCAATCCGTTCGACTGTTGCAAGCAAAGAAGAAATAAGTCATTTTCACATCAATTCCATTGTATTATGAAATCTTTGTTGTATTAAGCAAATAGAAATCTCACAAATTTACATGATATTCCAAAATCCAAACCAATTAATCTTCATCAAAATAACAATAAACGCAATGTCAAGTAAGATATAGAGCAAGTATAAGATGGAAAACACCCATCCACTCACCGTTCTAATCTTAATTCTCACAATGAGTAGAATGACCGAGCAAATCGTACACAAGGCAGTGAGACATATTGTTACGAGTGGTACCACTAACAAGGCATACCATTGTTGCCAAATGCCAAAGATCAAAATAATATTCAATCCTTTCAATGCAGCAAAGAAAAACATGCTTACAAGGTTGAATGAAAATACAGACACAATGATGGACCACTTCTTTCCTGTTGCCATCTTGGTGTTGAGTGAGGCATTCTTCTTCTTCTTTTTCTTCTTCTTGTTCTTTTCTTGGTCTTCACTCACTCGGAATGAATATCTACGGAGCGAATTCTCAACACCATGATCATCGAGCTCTCGATCCGATTCATCACTCTCTGAATGATAATCACCTCCAGATAACATGATATGAGACAAATCCACATTGGCCAAATTCGAGTATCCATTCTTGACTCGATCTCTCACTTCAAAAACAAGGAAAAACAATTGAACAAACGGCAACACAAATCCAACGACAAATGGAGCTCCAAAACATAAATAAATTAAAAACATGCTAATGCCATCTTCAAATCTTTCATAACGTTGAGTATCATAGGGTCCAATCAAATACATGAATCGATTTGTGGAATCAGATTTAAATGTCCATGTCACATTTGAGACATAATTATCGAATTGTGCCATATTATCTGAAAGTAATTTGTGTCCCATTCGGAATGAATCAAAATCTAAATCCTGCAGGAGTATAAATTCCTCACTAAATACTCTCGATTGACTATTCGGATTATTCGTATCATAATTATAAAATCTTCCAGTGAGCATTTGAGAATGGTCATTGCTCGAGTCAATACAAATCATTTCTTTCATGCTAAAATATTTTCTAAATGTACTGTGTGAATATTCAGTATTCATATAACAACCTGCATACTTGTTCTTATTTTCCATAAAATAGCTCTTCCTAAAGAATGGTTCTAAATTCACAAGAGGTGTCGTGTAGACGCATGACGTCTTGTCACTACTCAGAGTCATGTTTAAAAATTGAGAACAATTCACATTAGGAAGCATGCGATAAGCAAAATCTTGTACTAATTGAGTCACTTGATTCAATGAAACAGAGAGACCAGTCATGGATAGTACTAAATTTGATTTTGGAAATAAGATGATTGCTGTCATGTAATTTCCTTGCTTTGACATTTGATAGTAATACGTTTGTACATTATGACGCATGTAATTCATCAAGTTGTAATCGATCCATTCCTTCTCTGAGTATTGTGACATGACAAGAGCTCCAACAGTATTCAAATCTTCAGCAGATGTGAATACCGAGCTAGTGACTGGAAAAATTGTAAAATAAGGAAATGAAGTGTCCTCCACAAGAAAATCCTTCTCTTTGGTTGCTTTGACAAATTTGGAATTATCTTTCATATCTGAGGAGAAGATTGGAAATGTTGACTTTAAACTACTGGACCATTGAGATTTGAAAATTTCATCCATTCCCATATTCGAATTCATTTTAGACAATAAATAACCTAACAATGCAGTGCCGTCAATGTCCATTCTGCTTTCGAAACGATTGGCTTGTCTCACTCTTGGAGCTAATTTTCCTAAAATATTATTTTCAATTAATTCTAATAGAGAAGTACTGGATGATTGTGGGTTATTCGTTTGATATAAATCTTCTGGAGTTCTGTAATCAAAACCTGATTTGCCTTGAATGATACTTTCAATGGTGACATGACTGTTAGAATCGACCATTGGAAACATTCGAGACCAACTGACATAATCACCTAATATGGAATCTGACAGTTGTACTTTGGATTGTAAAGATTTCAATATTTCATTCATAGAGATTCCTCTTTTTTCTTTTGGAATTAATTTGAGAGAAATTAATTTTGTAAATAATTGACTCATAGTTGGACCTGTCATGTAAATAGAATCCACACCAATTTGGGAATTTGATCGATAATTTTCATGGACATAACTTTTTGAAAATAATATTGTTCTGTTGTTAGAGTTGGAGGAGGTATCTAATTGAGATAATTGTATGGCGATGTTTGCAATTCCCATTTTGGAGATACCCGAATAGAAATTATCAAAATATGAATGATAATCATTTTGACAATTGACAGCACATGAAAGTATCATGATCATGAGAAGGAAGAGAGTTGTTAATTGGTTGCTCATGGCAGTCATCCGCTGTGATGCCGAGCGTCGGAACCCAGCCACCATGTGAAGTTGTTGATTTTTTTAATTAGAAGTGACAGTTGGTAGCTTTCCAAATTAGAAAAATATTTAACACCCACCATCAAGAACATGTTCTTTCCTCTTCTCAATCTATACTTTTACATTCCGAGTACTCTATTTTTTGGTATTTCAGTTTTATTATTTAATTTATTATATCGGAAATTACGACTGAAATACAAAGGAAAAATTAATTCATATTTATTCCGAAACAATTCTAGTGATTTAGATTGTCGAGAATTAGCTTTTGCAACCACTAATTACATTCATGCAGTTATTAGTGGAATATGGGGATTATATTTATTTTATTATAATTTTGTAAATTCTCCAAATGGAATGAACAAGACAAATGTTTCACTCGAGTCCATTGTGAAACAACCTAATCATTTCTTTTTTTCATATAATGACTCTATTTCTAATTTAATGTCATTCACATTAGGATACTTGACAGTCGATTTATGTTGCTATTCATTTCTTGTTGTGTTAGAACAAAGTAACACAATGAATGCCATCTTTCATTTTGTCATTGTCATTGCATTTAGTTTATATTTTGTGAATGGAACAGGAGCAATTCCTGCCTTGTTTGGAGAGATTTCAGAAATTGCTTCAATTTGGATTGGTCAAGAAGAATTGATGGAAAATTTAGTGCATGAATATTCTAAAAAATTATATTTCGTCATTCACTCTATTTTGAATACTTTGAGTTTTTTAATGACTCGAACATTGATGAGTGTGTATTTAGGTTATCAATTCTTTTCAAATATTTCAGAACTTGTGGAATTGAGAAATGTAGATTCTATTCATGCGAGTGTCATTCTGATTGTGTATATTCAATGCATTCTATTAGTGTTAGTGATTGTGATGAATTTCTATTTCACGTTTGATTGTTTGAGATTTGCATTAAATCCAATTAAGAATTATTTGAATAAGGAAAAGGAAATGTAATGCTGTGAGTAGATTCTTGTGAAGAAGGCATTCACAACGATGTGAAAGAAATACATAACTCCATGTTATGATATATGTTTTTTCATTTAAGGAACTTTAGAAAATTCTCTCTTCTCCAAACCATTCGACCGAATCATGATCAGAATCGTCAAACTATGAACATCCTTAACAACCTATGAAAATAAAAAAGATGTCGTTCGAAAACAACTTTTAAATATTTATTTACAGAAATTCTGAGAAGAGCTCGGAAAAGTCACTTGTTTCTGGAAGGTCAATTAAGGATGAGGAAGAAAATTCAAAATCAGTTGGGTTATTGAAAATTGAGTCAAACTCTGAGCTTTCCGAAATGTCATGACTCGAAAAGAAATTTGGCACTGCTTGTTCTTCGATTATTTCACATGATGGATTTGTTTCACACGTCGTCTCAGTTGTTGATGATTGCATGAATTGTTGAAGAGTGATCCAACTATTCATCAATTGTTGATATTGTTGTTCCGTGGATGAGTCCAACACGGCAGAAGATGTATCGGAAGAGTTATTTTGGTTTGAAATTTCAGTAACTTTTCGTTTCTTGGAGTCACTTGTCACTCGAGAAGATTCTTCATGATCGCTGCCAGATGTCGAAGAAGAATCATTTTCCTTGCTTCTCTTCTTGGCTGCATTTCTCTTCTTCTTTCCTGAATCTTTCGTCGTTTGTGTCGTCGTACTGAAAACAAAGTAATTATCCTTGAAATTTTCACATGACTTCAATTGTTTTCTTAATTTTGTATATCGTTTGGAAACTTTCTTGGTCGATTTCTTGTCTTCGGAATCTTGGACGAAGGTAATTTTTGATTCCGATGATGGACACTGTTTCTCCGAGGTTTGGGATGATTGTTGTGGACATGATTGAAATTGCTGTTGTAGAGCTTGATAGCTGTTGAGAAAAGCATTGGGATCGTTCATGGCACAAGCATTGATCATTTCGAGCATGAGTTGTTGAAAATTTGGAGACAAGGTTGTTGTGGTTGACATGGTAGAGTGGATTGTATTGAGAATATTAGATTGTGTTGTTGTATTTTTTCTTGTTGTGTATCCTGTTTGAAGTTTGGCAGATTGCATTTTATTCTGGTGAGTCCAGTTTCTCAGTAATTCACCTTTTGGGGAATGATTGACCGCCAAAATCAGATTCTTCGCTCGATTTGTCGATGCCTCTTTCCTCACCAAGAATATTCTTTTCTTTCGCAAATTGCGCACACGAGAGGAGGAATGGATGGCATTATGGCGTGTGTAATTGTTCTAGGACAACATTTCAAAAAGGAAAAGTTAAAAACTGAATGAAGCCAAGCTATGGACAAGACAAAATACAGAAGTGTCACAAGAATTAATCTCACTGTACTATGGAAGGAACACCATGAACAGGAGACTGTTGAAACAATCTCCAATACTCACCAAAATTCCACAGAGCAGAGACAACAGACGCAGTCGAAACAACACTGTGTGTTGGATCAAACATTCTTAATATTAGTTAATAAACATGTTTCGCTGAATCAATTTGATGTGATGAAAAAGTACTTGCATTTCATTCCGTGAAGAATTTCCAATCCATTTCGCATAAAAATCTATTACTATCTACAACATTTTGATACATTTAGTATTGTAATCTTTATGAAAAAAAGGCTAAATTACAATAAAGTACCTCTATTTTTGAAATAATCTTCAAATATTGATCTCTAACAAAAGGAATGCATTGTATTTAGAAAAATATCAATACCTTATCCAACAGTCAAAACAAAATATTGTATTAAATTGAATATTGTTGATCTTCCTTGGGAATAAAAATCGTATCAAGAATCAAGATAACGGTGCCTTTTTGTAAACCAGTCATGGTCTCAAACAAAAGAATCCTTTGCAAATCCAACAACTTCTACTTTTGATCAACACTACTAGTCCTATCGTTAAAAAGAAACAACTTGTCTCATCAAAATGATTACAAGTGAGGTACCCTCTACTCAAGCTCCTCGTTGGTCTCCAACAGAATACACGATCAACATTCGATCGTTCTTTCTTCAGAAAAGAGATCGTATTGTTTTTCTCTCGCTTGTAATTATTGCTCTCACGTTGTTGATACCTTTGTGTAATGATTTTAATATGTATTACTACCATAATGAGAATTTACATCAACCTCAAGAATTATCACATAGTGCGCATGGAATCGATGATGCCTCATTACTCTTTGAAGAATCGATGAATGAGCAGCCCGTCGTAGGAAAGCAACAATCATCTTGTTTCGAGAGCAAGCCTGTAGAAGAGACAATTCGAAAACCAGCACAACAACAACAGGACGCAAAAAGCTTTCCTTCCACAGCTACCTCTGTTTTGGGTTCATTCACATCAATTAACAATACCAACAAACGAGTGAAAAGTTTTCAGAGTAGTGCTAGTCCCTCTTCGCCTTCGTACAACACTACCTTAATGTTTTCCTTGGAACCCATCATTCAACACCTTTTGATCAAGTACACTTTCAAATTAATCCTGTACACAGCCCTACTTGGAGCCTATTGGAAATTTCATAATGTTATGAATTTCATCTTTAGAAATGTGACCACTTTGAGAACTACCTCTCAGTTGCCTAATCCATCCATGTTCATTTCGTTCCTTCTGAAACTCTCACTCTCCCCTCGTACTATTCTTCTTCTTTCAGAAACGACAAGGTGTGCTGGCTCCACTCTTTGGGTCATGTGTGTCCATTTGGTTCTTGGAAAACATTCACCTGCGTATCTATGGATTTTGGTCTATGCCTGTTTGGGAAGTGTTGCTATGGAAATTTCTCATTCTGAGGCGTCCTCAATATCAACCCATTCGACCACCTATATAACCATGTCCTTCATGGTGAGTGGAGATTTATTTATCATGATCTATTTCTTGGACCATCCGTTGGGGGAATGCTTGAGTGTGGCTGTTTCTGTGCTCATTATTCAAGTCATGACCATTGAATTGATAGATTTTATGAGGAATAATTCGATTGCTTTTGTACAGAAACGAGAAGTAGAAAATCTCAAACGTATGATTCATCTCTACAAGAATTTGTATATGAGTGCTCCTGATACTTTTATTTCGTGTGTGTATTGTCCTCCAACCGATCAGGAGGTGGGTCTCTACAGATATGAGAACAGTGCTCGTTCCACTTCTGGAAATGAATTGTTGAGCAATGATCCTAATAGTGGTTTGGGTACAACACAAAAGAAAAAGCTTCTCCCAATTAGAAGAGTATCATCCTCCTCAGATCCATGTAGCAGTGGAAAAGGAGCAAACGGCTGTTGTGAGGAAGCCTTGGAAGATCCGCTTAATACCAAAAAAAAATACGATGAAAATACACCCACCGAGTCTTTTATTCAAGATGATGAGACCCAATCACGTTCAAATTCATCCTCCCTCTATGATGATCCGTATCAATGTTTGATTCATTTCAAAGTCATACAATACAACCATGCTGCTTGCGACATGTTGGGTTATCAATCCGATCCAGTCAGTAATAACACTATTACTAGTACAACAATATCGAACACTGACAGCAGCGGTGGAGCACAGAATCCATCATCTATGGACGCAGAATCCCTGACTCTTGCAGATTTGATATTGAATCCCAATGAACGTTCCAGCGAGGAGTTGAAATCAGCAGTTCTCGGAGGAAATGATGCAACCATCCATGAATTACAACTCAAATCCATCACTCGATTGAGAAATATACTATTTGATATCTTGGATGGAAGTGTTCACTCTGCATCACCCTACTTTCATGATCGAATCATTCCGCTCTTTATTTTAGGAAAGAATGGAAGTATCATGACTTGTTCCATGAGTGTGTCGAGAATTGTCTTGTATGATTCTCCCAATGCTGTTTCAACTTCTCCTCACAAGCCTACTGCTTCCATCTATCCCGTCTATTACAACATGATACTTCATGACTTGACTCAAAAATACAAATTATTGGACGAGTTGAATATTGAAAAGGAAAAGGCAGTTCAAGCCAATAATGCTAAAAGTCAGTTCTTGGCTCAAATGTCTCACGAATTGAGAACACCATTACATGGTATCATTGGTTTGGCCGATGTCTTGTTACAATCTCCAACCTCTGCTCCACCATTGGCCTCCTCTTTCATCAACAATTCCACTTTCATCAATCATTCTTTATCTGCTACACCACCCTCAAATGCTTTTTATGATACTACTAGTTCGACGGCAACTGAATCTAATAGAGTCTTTAAAAAACAATACTCTGTCTCACCCATTGAAACCAATCAAGCACAACAACAACAGTACACTCAATTTATTAATACCCTTCAAACTATCAAGTACAGTGGATATATTCTTCTAGCTTTGATCAATGATTTATTGGATATCTGTAAAATTGAATCCTCCAAAATTCAGTTAGAATGTAAGACATTTAATTTGAGAAGGGCATTGAAGCATATTCATTGTGGCATCTTCCAACACCAAGCTCAACAAATGAATTTAAATTTCAACATTGATATTAATCCCAATGTTCCAACCAATGTGATTGGTGATGAGAATCGATTGGTACAAATTTTAATTAATTTGGTGTGTAATGCCATCAAGTTTGCAGATCAGGGAAGTGTGTCATTGAGTGTTGAGAGAGAGGAAGAAGAAGGTATGGCTCAGGAAGGATCCAATTCCAATACTGCTCCTGAGAATAATGTCATGAGTAATTCTGCAACACCTCCGTCAGAAAATACCATATCAAAAAGTGAATATTCAATAAGTATATGTAATGCAACACCTAACATTCAAGAATCTTCTCAAAAGGAGCCTCCATCTTCTCCTGCACTTGGCACTCCACACTATTACAAGATCAAATTTAAAGTGAGTTACACTGGAATTGATATTTCACACAATGACATGTGTAAATTGGTAAGACCATTTTCACAACTGCATGGAAGTATTTCCCGCCCAGGTTCTACCAACGACACTCTCAAGATGAAAAAGGTCAATGAAGGAACACGTTTAGGTCTCTATATCTGCAAACAATTGGTCGAGTTGATGGGAGGAGAATTGAACGTGAAAAGCGAAAAAGAAAAAGGATCATGCTTTTATTTCACTGTCAAATTAGGAATGGATGAGAGTTCTAATATGTCTAAAGACAGTAGTTTGCAACAACATTCATCCGTGCAATTACCTTCCACTTCACAACACATGACTGAAGCTCCTTCATTGACCAAACCCGCCAACGAAAATTTGAATATTCCTGGACAACTTTCAAAAGATGTCCTATCTAAACTTAATATTTTAATTGTTGAGGATAACTCTATTAACAGAGTCGTACTGATCAACATGTTGAAGAAGATGGGATGTCAGAACATTGACAGTGCTAAGGATGGTGTTGAAGGATGTGAGTTGTATACATCATCAACCTCACAACAAGATCATAATGGTTCATCCAAATATGATATTGCTTTTATTGACCTCTACATGCCTCGAATGAATGGCTATGGAGTGGTTCAGCATATTTTAGAATCTGAATCAAAAGAAACAGCCGTTAAAACAACCTCTCAATCACCACAGGTACAAGTAGAACATCAACCTCGCCGACATCATACTATTTTAGTGGCTCTGACAGCAAACGGATTTGAAGAAACTAGAATTCACTGTCTTTCAAATGGTTTTGACATTTTTATGAGCAAACCTTTCTCCATGAGTGATTTTTCACAATGCTTGGCTCAGTGTACAAAGCTCATGGAGAAATATAATGGTTAGATGCAACCATTCCCTTACTTATCATTTTAGCTTGATTGCCAAATTATCCACCCCAAATAGGAAGCGTAGTAGTTATGCTCGAAAGATTTCTCTCATATGTACTTTTCATACTAGCAGGAACACTGGTACAGTTCAACATGAAATGTTTTGTCTCCAAACGAATATTATGCAATTCTTTACTATGACAGATCGGTAATTGTGAAGGGTTTGTTGTGGTTGGTTTACTTTCACCTCCTGATAGATAGCATGAAACGTTTTTGAAAGTGAAAGAGTGTGAGAGATGCAAATCCGTTACACAAAGTCCATTCGAATTCAAACCCATAATTATTATTATTCATCATTGTCACCAAAATACATGGCCCAAGTAGGATCCAACCAATAACATGCTTCACATTTCATTGGAATGACTCCATAAAAGATTGGGAAGAATAAGGCAAAGTAAATTACCAGTAACACAGCTGCAACCACTCTTGCCACAATAATTGCAAATTTTGCCCATCGCTTTTCCAAATCTGGTTTTTGTTTTCTTGCACACAACATGACACCAGAAAGAAATCCACAAATAAACCCACCAATATGTGCAAATTGATCAACGGTTGGTAATAAACCAATGATAAAGAAAATTAACAATTGCATAATGACACTAAATAATAATTTGAAAGGATTAAAAACAACATCCCAGTTCAATATTAATTCTGCCAAAGATGCTGAAATAATTCCAACAATGCATGAAGTGGAACCAGTGGAAATTTGATCATAACTGAAAACACTACTCAATAATCCTCCTCCAATACCAGAGAGCATGTAAATGACTGCCATTCTTGGAAATTTCCAAACTCCTTCTGTTTTTCTGACCGTTGACAGTAACCACATGAGATTGAATAATAATATTAATACACTTTGGTGAATGAACATGAATACCAAAAATCTCCAAAAATCAGCACCATTGGCTCGTATCAGAGAATTGACTTTAGCTCCGAATTGTATCACAATTTCTTGTTTTGGTCCAATCATTGGATTATTCTAATCAACAATATATTAATGCGGCAAAACATGACAAGTACGTGTACACATGGACCATTCATTTGTTTTCAATTCGAAAATATTCATGAATTCACAATTAAATTTTCCATATTTGTATATCGATCATGAAATTGCCAAATTTGCATGCCATACATGGTACAATTTCATTGAACCCAATTAAAAAAATAATAACAATAATAGCATGATAACAATACAATAATACACATTCGAATGAACATACCAATGGATCATCAATTCCCTTTCCAACAATACACATTGCCACAAACACTGCCACTTCCACCACACATGTAATTGCCGTCCAATATGGAAATGAAATTATTCGATCGGTCATTCGATTCTTCTTTTTCTTTTGACTTTCTCCATCGAGTTGCGTTGGGTCTGTGGTATGTTTAGATTTTCCTTCTCCAAGGTCCATCGGATCCTCTAAATTGGGATCTTTGGTAGTATCATATTCGACCGCATAGTTTTGAACGGGTTTTCGTTGTTGTATGGAAGGTTGAGATTTTAATTCGAAGGATGAAAAACTTGTATTGTCGAGCTCGTCAATGTATCGCTCGGTGAAGGCATCTTTGTCGAATTGATTGTGGGATTGATTCGTTGTGCCGTTATTTGGCTGTTGTGCCATTTTTTTTTGTGTGCTTCTTCTTTGTTTGACAGGTGACAGTTCAAAAGGAAGCCACACCAAGACAAAACACAATCTTCTAATTCGAGAACTGCAGGATCGAACACATAATTTACTATGCCTTCTCTTCTGGCTCTACCTTATTCGATGGACTTTTACAAGTGAAAATCATATTCACATATTTCGTCAATGTCTTGCCATAGGTCATTTCAAAACATGTATCATTAAATGTAATGTAAGAGGAAAGTGCTGTAACAGCGGTCAAACCAGCATCCATGAATTGATTTCTTGCCAGTCCAAAAAACACGCTCAATACATCATATCCAAAAATGTAAGTCACTAACATTCCAAGTGAAATAAGCCATCCAATAAAGAAGAGTCCTGTCACAGCTAAAATGAATTTTGTGAATCGATATTCCATAAAGTTTTTCTTCTCTTGTGCAGTGGCTCTCAAGGCAAATAGAATTTTCACACCATAAAAGGTAAATCCAATAACAAAGGTGAATAAATAAATAAGGACTGCAAAACTGAGAAGAATCCAAGCAGTGGCATAATTTTTCACAGCAAGGAATATAATGACAGAAATCACTCCAACTACAATGACACATGAATAGAAAATGGAAAGAATGATCATATTGAGTTTGGAGAGACCTCTTCGATTGGGTTCTGCTTTTCGGTTGGCCAAATCAATGACATGACTCCAACAAATCACTAAACTTGAATATCCACAAATCATGAAAATAGCTGCCAGTCCTCTAAATATTCCTGGAAAGTATGCTTTGTAAACTGGCATGAATGCTGTAATGTTGAAAGCAAATCTTAAGACATTTTCTAAGAATCCAGTGATAGTGGCAATGGTTAGCAAGATTGGAGGTTGTGTGACAATGTCAAAATAATGTCGCACGAAATAGAGAAACTTTTTGAACTTGGATGTCTCTAAACCAATTTCACTTCGTTTCTTAAAAGTTACAATTCGCTCTACAAATCGAGGAATGACAATAAAGAAGGCTAAAAACACGGTCACTAATGCATACAGAATGGCATATAGGACTGTTGAGATTCTATAGGCAAAGATGATTTGCCAACTTTGATAAAAATCATGACATTGAAATCCAAATGATTTTCCATTCTCAGATTCATAATTGCACCAACAACTGATTGGAATATTCAATGGAGCCGATGGTAATTGATTGGAATCCATGGCAGCAAATAAATCATTGAAATAAAAATTGAAAAGAGTCGACAATGACACTGATCTCAGAGCACTATCTCCAGAAACAATGGTTTGATTCAACTTTTGAGTGGAATAATCAGTAAAGGTTTTTCTAAAGTACTGAGAAGTCAAAATATTGTAATCAAACAATCCCAAATGAGCCCTTGTTGTGCCATGATTGCAATGATGTTGTGAAATGGCAGTAAACTTGGTCACAAAATCAGTGGCTTGTGCACTTGGATTTTGAGCCACTGTTGAGAATGAAGGACAAGAGTTGTTTCTCAGCACTTCTCGGAATGTGTGAGAATTAGTATTATTACAATGCAAGCAATAATTAAATAAAACTCCTAATGAAGCTAATTGAGTTTGATTTGTCAAGTCCCATCTTCTCTCAGTAGAACATAGAATATTTACACATGATGAGGACATGGTTGAATTCCCAACAGTGTCATCAAAGAGAGCAATTCCATTTTTGTAAATTTCAGGAGGTAATGATTGTCGATCATTGATTTTACAAAAATCATAATATTTAGTGTCATAGGTGTACAGAAATGGATAATAAAATTGATTAATAGGTGCCAAATTCAAACACTCGTTTGATGGATAGATGAAACTGTCCAATACTACTGTTGTTACATTCATACTCGATTGAGCATGGATCATTGATGAGGCAGTGTTGAAAATGCCACACATCAAACAAAGAATACAAAGGATGATGTGAAATTTAAAGAGTGGAGATGATTTGAATAAATTCAAACGATGAGAGCTGTTGTATGATGAGCTGTTGTTGAGAGATGGAGACATGATTGTGTGTTGTGAATTTTGTTTTTGAACAGTTGAAAATTTCATCATGTGAAATAATCATCATCTTCTGTGAAATCTCATTCAAGTTCACGATGTGTGTTGCCAACCCATCATTCAAAGCTGAAATCAGTAATGAATAACAATTCAGTGCTCTTCTCATGAGACCCTCAGTCCGACGTTGTAAATATTGTTGAATCACAATTTTTCCGTGTTCTCTCCACGAGAGTCATTGAATTCAGCTGACAGGACTCGAGTGGTCGACTGCACAGCAATTAGGACAATTTCATTTCATTATAAACATTTTTTGGTCATGTATTTCTTTGCAGATCAATAAATTCACATCCCAAGTCAAATGTCATAAAAATGCCTGTACTTGTATCGAGCCAAAACGTCTCATCAACAACAACCAACAACAACAATAACAACAACCAATCAACCAATGAATCCAATCTGAAAACCATCAAAATCCCCATCGAACTCCAAAAATCACTTCTCCCTTCCAATCTCTTATCCGAAAATGAACATTCATCCTCCTCAGGTGTCCTCTTACAGGAACAAGTCATTCAACAATTAATGGACTATCGAGAGGAATCATTGGCGAAGGCCTACATGATGCTCAACGTTCCGTTACCACCCAACTTACCCACACTAAAAGATTCCTTTACCGCCAATGCTCAACTGATACAACCGACGACGAACAATTATCATCATCATCATGTAAAAGAGAATCATACTCCCACACAAACACTCTCACAATTTTATAATGAAAATCCCAAAGTTGAGAAATTGAAACCAGCCACACAAGATAAATTCCATCAAACTGAATTGAAGAAGGTAACCAAACAAATACAGAATCAGGTCGAGAAGGCTATCGTGAACAATGCTGTTGCGTCCTCACAAACGGAGAGTGCAGCCTTGTTGGATCGGGAACAATGGATGGCACGAGCTCTCAAGAGAAATCCGAATGTGTTGGCTCTCATGGAGAGAATGCGTCCATTGAGTAAACAATCCAGTCATAGTGCTACTTTGATGCAACACAGTGAAACTGGAGGTTTTTCATCATCTTCAAAGGCTTCTTCGACTAGTTTTAGAAAATTGAAGAGTCAGGCTTCCATCAGCTCCGATCCCAACTCTCCTCGGGTGAGTACTGGAGCGAATGGACCATTGCAGAGAAATCCAAGCGAGACTAATATTGGTGGATCCATCAATATGAATTTGTTGAATGGTGCTCCAGGTACTGGCTTTGAAGCTGGAACAAGAGATTCTGTGCCTGGTGGTGCTACTGGATCCACGAATTCGATTTCTGCACTCACCTCGAATCCTGCAGGTCTCTCACTCTTGATGGGTATGACAGATGGTAACGGAGACATGACAGGAGCAACCAATGATCAAGAGAAACAAAAACGAAGCGCTCTCGATTACGCTGATGTGTTGGGAACTGTTGAAAACAGAGAAGTGTTGTCTCGTGAGGTACTTTTACAATTGGTCTATCAACATTTATCACAACGTGGATTGTATGAAACTATTGCAGTCATGGAAGAGGAAACTGGAATCAAGTACAATGGACATAGATCGGATAAAACTGATACCAAAGATTCATTGATTACAACTCTGCTCTGTCTTGGCATTAAAGATATTGAGAAACCATATGTATTGCCTCAGTCAGATTTGATCGATCTTGACACAGATGTTGAAGTTCAAACAGCCAGTATTTATCATCACTTTGAAGAGGATGATGTTGGTGACATGAGAAAACCATTGTGGGCTGAATTATTGAGCAATGAAGATGATAACATTGATTTTGTTGGATCCGAATTGAAGAGTGCTTCTCTTAACAAACTAATTGAAAGATTGACAAATCCAGATACAGATGCCAGATTCATTCAATGCTTCCTTGTAACATATCGCTCATTTACAGTTCCAGAAATTTTACTTCACAAACTTTGTCAAAGATATCGAGTTCCAAAGTGTCCAAAACATATTTCTCCTGAAGTATGGAACAAAAACAAGGAAACCATTCAAATTAGAACAGGTAACATTTTTACCAAATGGATTGATGAATTTTTCACACTTGATTGGAATGAAAACATGATTCGTGAGGTTACTGTCTTCATTGAAGATTTCCTTCTCAAGCACAAACAAACTAGCAAAATGGGTCTCAGAATTCGAGGAAGGCTTGCTCAAAAATTAGCCAGCAGCAGAAATAAGGAAGAAAAGCTTAGCTTTAGCGAGATACCTGTTCCTCCAGTCGTACCTGCTACTGTATTTTCACCAAAATTATCAATTTGGGATATTAGAGAAGATGAATTGGCAAAACAAATTACGTATATGGATCACAATTTGTATCGTAACATTGAAGCTCACGAATTGTTGAACTGTTCATGGTCCAAACCAAAGCTCAAACACCGTTCTAAAAATGTCATCAAAAGTATTGACTTCTTCAACAGACTTTCTAACTGGTTTGCTACACAAATCACTCATGAAGAATCTTTTAGAGAAAGAAAAGCAAAACTTGCCAAATTGATGAATCTTGCTAAACACATGTTTAGGTTAAACAATTTCAACAGTTTGATGGCTTTGAATAGTGCTTACGAAAATTCTGCCGTTCACCGTTTGAATATGAGCATTAACGAAATTGATGAGAAGTTGAGGGAAGAATTCACAGCATGCTGCAAAGTAATGGCACCAGACTCTTCTTTCAAAACTTACCGTACTCACATTAAGCAAGAAGTGAAACCTCCATTGAACATTTATCTTGGTATTTATCTCACTGACTTGACATTTATTGAAGATGGTAACCCAGATATGATTAAACATTCCAAGACTAACAGAATGTTGATCAATTATAAGAAGAGACAACTCGTTGCCAATCAAATTGCAGAGGTGATGCAATACAAGAATCCACCTTACAACATTCAACATGTACACCAAATTCAAGAGCTATTACGAAACACTCTTCACAATCACCAAATCATTGATGATAAGGTTCTTCATACTAAATCAGTACAAGTAGAACCAAGAGGCGCAAGAAGAGAAGATTTGAAGCCATAATTGTGCATATTCATACTTTTATTGTATTTATAGAATCTAGCTAATACTGCTTGCATAAAGACCAAGTATTTGTCAGTTGTATTGCACATTTCCCCAGTCATTAACTACAATTCAGTTGAACAATAAGCATTGTTAACGAAGAGAATTAATGAGGTTGCATCGCTGAAATGAGTTTTCACAAATAAAGAATTCTTTGATTGAGTGATGAAACCTGCATCATGTGTGATTTCCCAACTCATGAGAATCAAGTCCAAGAATGAAACACTGTATGTCGTTCTCTTGACATAAAACGATTTTTTGCGAAGGAGTTTGCTGATTGAAAATTCAAAAAAATGGCTCAACCATCATCATTGCTGGCATTGATTTCGTTACTATTCATCATAGTCTCACTGTTGGGGAATTTAGTCTTTGCCGATGACTTTACCGTGTACTTTGAGAAGGGATCGTATGTGGTCAGGCAAGGTTATGATTTGAAGAGTGGTATTGCCGCCGCTCATTATGATGCTACTTATGAGAGTCGCGGATGGGATGTCTTGTCGTTGGAAACCAATGGAATGGTGAAGGATGATATGCAAGCCTTCGGAGCTGGTTATTTGGAAGGTGTCATTACTAGACAAAGAATTTACAATCACTACATGAACATGCAATCTTATTCTTGGGCTGAAATGCCAGATAAAAAGATGCCTGGATATGTGAGAGACTTTTTTGACAAGCAACGCAATTGGATGAAAGACCAAAGCACAAAGTATGCTTCTGATCCATTTTGGCAACAGATTAAGAGCGTTTATTTGCAAATGGAAGGTCTTGTTCAAGGTTATAATGATGCAACTACTAATCCTAATGAGAAGATTGATTATGCTTCCATGCAAACAATTAGTTCATTTGGTGACATTTTCGATATTTTGAATGTAAAGCAAGAAAATAGACCACAATTCCACAAGATGACTCCACAGCAAATTATGACATTCGTTCAAGAGAATGGTCACTGCAGTGCTTTGTTTAAAGTTACTCCAGATTATAGTAACATCTACTTTGGGTAAGGATTAATCATTGACTTTCTACTAATTTGTGTTTTATTAACGTAATGAAAAACAGACACACCTCATGGTTCACATTTTCAGCCATGACAAGAATTTACAAGACATATACATTCAATTTCAATAACAGACTGGTTGCCTCTCCTACTGTAACCTTCTCATCATATCCTGCCAATTTGGCTAGTAATGATGACTTTTATGTCACCAAGTCTGGATTGGTTGTCATTGAAACATCCAATAATATCTTTAACACCTCGTTATATGATTTGGTGAAACCTGAATCATTGTTGTGTTGGCAAAGAGTCATCCTTGCAAACAGGTAAGTGTAAATTCATTCATGAATGTTTGCATTTTCTAACTCGGTTGAAATGACAGACTTGCTTCTGATGCCCCAGAATGGAGCGATATTTTCAGTGAATATAACTCTGGTACATACAACAATCAATTCATGGTTTTAGACACCAAGAAATTTACGCCAGGAAAAAGCTTGAATAAGAATTTGTTCTGGGTCGTTGAACAAATCCCAGGAAAGGTTTATGCAGCTGATCAGACAGAAATATTATCTTTTGGATATTGGCCTTCTTATAATGTAAGTTAGAGGTGGATTTGCAATTTTGATATTCATTTTTTGTCACACATTTCTCAGGTTCCTTTCTACAAAGAGGTTTTCACAATTTCAGGTTATCCAGAAATTTTAAAGAAGCCAAATGCAAGCGATATGCTTTCATATGAGACTTGTGTCAGAGCCAATATCTTCAGAAGAGATCAATCAACGGTGAACTCTATTGATAGTATGAAGAGAATGCTCAGATATAATAATTATCGTGTGGATCCACTCTCTTTAGGAAACCCAGGTTACGCTATTGCCAGCAGAAACGACCTCAGACAACAATCCACCAACTTGGACAGATCATGCAGTGGTGGTTATGATACTAAGGTTTCAAGCATTGCTGATATTCAAACTATTCACATTATCAATGGTCCTACCTATGACAATGTGCCAGCATTCCAATGGGCTGGTCAATGTCCAGCAAAGTTTGCTCACCAAGGCATGAGAGACAATTTTAGATACGACTGGATGACAGTAAATTGGAGAAACTAAAGAATACGATCGCCATTAAAACAATACTATTATTTATGACAACCGTATCCTGACAACGTTGGTATTCATTGGGAGACAAAGCTTTTTAGTGAGTGGACAGATGTTTTTTTAATTGCATGCATTCAAATAAGGACCAGCGTAAGAAATATGGGGTCTTCTCAACATGAAAGCAGTGCTTCCAACTACGGAAATTGTGTAGTCCATTGTGCAGTCAAACATGACAGCAAACACTCCACAATCAAAAGGGTCCACTCTCACAATCACCTTAAGCTTAATTGCAGGACCAGTCATATCACTTTTGGAAATGTATACTTGGATCCATGGAGTGAACAACATTTGATCGGATGTATGGATAAGCCTGTCTTCAATGTACACATCTACAAAGAAGTTTTTAGCCCAAAGTGTAGGGGTGATTGTGATGGTCACAAATTGAGGCTCTTTGATTGTCATGACATAGGTGTCACCGGCAGAGTTCGCTGAAGAGCTCACCATGAATGAGGTGTCCAATAATCCCTTTCTGCTCAATTTATCCACAAATTCCTTTGTATTATATTTTTCAAATAGTGGCCACACTACTTGCATGGAACTGTTGTAGTAAGCTGTTAAGGTGGTCACAACTTGACCTGTCGAGGGATCCACATACTCTCCATTGCCATTGACATGTAAGAGATGAGGTCCTCTGGGTCCTAATGGCCCAAGGGGTCTACACGTTTTCATATTTTGTAGAAATTATTAGTTTAAATAGATGAATCATTCAAATGGATTTGAGAACCTTCATACCTACCCCAAAGCACCAAGTGGACCAATTGGTCCCAACACTGAAAAGAGACCCAAACCTTGCATGTGTTTTGTAAAATCATTGATGTATGGCATCACATCCCAGAACGAATCCCCCAGAGGACCGGCTTCAGATAACGGATTGTTTGGTTTGGTAAGAAGGCCGTTATGAACAGTTCCAATAATGGAGGCAAGGAAATCACTGAACGAACCGTCTAACCATACGAATGAGCTGTTCGTCATCCAACCAACAGGGCCTAAAGGACCTAGAGGTCTACTCCAGTAATTTCAATGATGTGTGAAGATCATCACGTATATGAATTAATGGGATGGTTCATGTAGCATCCAAGAACATTTCTCCCAACACAACTCATTCCAATACTTACCCCAAGGCACCAAGAGGTCCATTATAACCCAAAGCACTTGAAGATAATATGTACAAATTGCATCCGAGTGGACAATTTAATGGATAGGGAGAAACACCCGAAAACTTCCTTGCATGGCCGCTATTAAGGATTGAGAAGAGAAACGAGTACATCTCACTCGAGGAGGAGAAGCACTCTTCGATGAAGATCTTATAGCAGCCGCTTCTGCACCTCCGAGATGTTCATCCATTAACGGAATCAGGATCATTACGATCATGAGGGTCATCACAATCACCGAATGCAAAAGACCCTTCATGCTCCCACGTATCATCATTCCACTCTCCCTGAACCAAAAGGAATCGTATCTGGACATTCACTTTCTTCACCTCTAGAGCACGGCAATCGATGATGGTGATAGGACCGGTTGTGTTTTTTTAAGGAAAATTATCGCTTATTGGAATTTTGAACGGAGTACGGGCCTGAGTGTTGTTCCTTACATGCACAGGAGTCATGACAGATATGATGATTTCTCGCCAGAATAACACGTTGGTCTAGGTTGTTGTTTATTTGATGAGATCCTTCAAAAATTGCAACACAACATCATCTTGATCATATCGTGCAGGCTTGTGTTTGTTTTGAGATTGCTGTTTGGCTTGGGATTGAGCGCTTTGAGTTGATGTATCCGCTTGTACGCTTAAATCTTCCTCTAAACGACTTGATTCTGGTTTCTCCAAAACTTCTTTCCAGGCCTCATCGGATGCAGTCATTTCTATTTCATGTTGTTGTTCGGCAGTTTTGTGTACATTTCTATTTTTCAATTCTTTTAAATATTCTAAAATGTCACTATCGTCGTTGTCATTAATGTTGGGCATTTTCGAAGTTGGGAATGCTTCTGCTGCAAGTTCCTCTTCTGACATTTCTAGCGGAGTGTTTAAGACTGAGCTTTCCACTTTGGTATATTGCGTGAAATTAACTTGTTTTGCAGAAAATGGAGAAGTTGTGGATGGAGGTCGTGGTGTTGTTGACGAAGAAACATCTCCTTCTTTTGCTCTCTTTGATCTCAATACAGTAATCAAATCGTCCTCTGGCTCTTGCTTTGCAAGTAAACCAATGGTTGCCTTTGGTGAAATGGAGAGAATCGCAGAAAATATCGAGTCAATTTCTGGATCTGTAAAGGTTTAAGTATGAATGGAGGAACCTCTACTTTTTTGCTTTTTCTGCCTCTTTTTCTTTTTTTGTTTTTCTCTTCCTTTTAGTTTTTTCTATTGGGGTTGATGTTTCGGATTGTGTTTGATGTTGTCTAGTGGATTCGTTTTGTTGAGAATTATGATTGAAAAGTTTGCCAACAACTTCTCCCACTCGCTCCTTTCGCAAAGCAATTGTCTGTTGTTGTTTAAGTAATCGGAGCTCTGTTGCGTTTGCATGTTTTTTTTGTTCTTTCATTGGAGATGTTGATTGGACCTCTACTTGCTCCGACAATTTTATGGTTGGCTGGTCTGATGATGGTTCATTATTTGTTGGTGGACCTAGTTCGTTGGTGCTTGTTGTTTTCGTACTGGCAGCTTTTTTCCTTGCGTAGAGTTGAAGAGAAAATGAATGGTAATTTCTGTTGATGGTTGTTAATGTAGTTAAAAGATGAGCACAATTATTATTGGAGTTGTGATGTTGGTGTTGTTGGCCAAGTTTCAACATGTTCCGAAGGCACACTGTTGTTGTGCAATTGTGAGGACACAAAGCTTTGGCTAGAAACATTTTTTTTCTTTCGTGCACTGGCCAGGAAAGGAAACTCCAATCAAAATTTTATTTGAAGGATGGGACTGGATAACTTGTTGGATCATTATTTTCTGGTCTCCCAGACGAAGGAACGCTTGTTGTTGATCTTGAGAATGTTCAACGATGAACGTCTTTGAAAATTATTACAATTTGCAAGTGCTGTTGTGCTATGAACTTTGGTAAACTTCAATTCAAAAAAATTTCTATATCATCCAAATACGAAATTCTTGGCACATTCATCATCCGAGTGCTGTTTCAATAACGAATTATCATCATCATCAAAATGTTGAATCAATTTAAAAGCAATGGGATGAACTATAATTTTAAAAGTATTATTATTGCTTCGGAGCCGACTACAACTGCACCACAAGTAATACGAGCAGTAAAGAAAAGATTGAATCACCATCACTCATTCCTACTTCATCCTCTTCGGAAAGCAATGTATGGAGGCCATACGGAATTGATAATTTTGCATCAGTGGTTAACAATGATAACAACACTCCTAACTCTAACAACAACAACTGCTCCAAAACCGGCTTGATCAGTAAGGAGAGTGTTGCACCTTCCATTTTTCCTCACCTGCTACTTCCTCTGTAATATCTCCCTTTGATTTTCTTTTTATTAATACTGGAATCATGTCTTCTCCAATACCTTCACTCATGTCCCCTTCAGAAGAACCGTTGGTGAGTAAGTAGTTGACCCTATGAGTGTCTATGCCAATAATTATGATCGGAATTAATTCCTCAATAATCGTGACAGTACAAGGAAATATATTTGGTAAGAAAAGCACATTCACTGTTGGTCCAAATGGATTAATTCCTGGAGAAATGTGTAAAGATCATGTAAATATTCCCTATGATGATTTAGAAATTTGTGGAAAATATATTGGGAGTGGAAGCTTTGGCCACGTTGTAGTAGCTCGACATCGAGTTACATCTAAAAAGTATGCTTTGAAAATGATTTATCAAGACAGTGATCAATTAGAATTTTCGCAAAGAATGGAATGGGCAGAATTTGCTGCAATTTATCTTTGTAATCATGAGTCTCTAATTCGAGTGCATGAATGTTATTATCGAAATTTGTGTTTTTACATGTTATTGGACTACTGTAACTGCGGAAGCTTGAGAGATATTTTCAAAATTGTTCAAGCAGAACATCTAACGGAGAGAATTTTATTTGTCATTGTTGAGAAAGTATTGATTGGATTAGATTACTTACAAAAAAAGCACATTATCCATCGTGACATCAAGCCAGAAAATATTCTTGTTAGTTATGACAAGGAAGAAAAAAAGGCTTCTATCAAGATTGGAGACTTTGGATTATGTGGCCACAAGAAAATAGAAGCTGGGTCAACCTTTTTCAAAACTGTTAATGGAACATTTGTTTACCGCTCGCCTGAACGACTTTTGGAAAAATCATACAATTACAATTGTGACATTTGGAGTCTGGGTGTTATGGCTGTAGAATTAATAACTGGTCGCCATCCATTAGTTGAAACAGACATTAGCGGCGAAAATTTATCCAAACTTTATGAAATTCCTCAAAAAATTATTAACGCAGCGACGTCTCACAAATCTGGCAAGAATAACGAAAAGGTGTTGAGCAGTGAATTTATTGACTTTGTAACAAGATGTTGTGAATACGAACAAGAAAACAGACCTTTTGCACGTGATATGCTGGAGCATGCATGGATCAAGAAATTTAAAGATCGTGACAATGATAGAATTTTCTCTGAATGGTTAACGGTATTTTTCATTAGAAAAAAAGCAAAAGGTGATGTTTAATCTTCCACTTTTTGTCTGGTAAAAGCTTCAGTGGCAACCTCTAACAATGAATAAAAATCAACATGCCTGTACCGTCCCCACATGCCACATGTTCTCCAAAATTCTACATTAAAATTTGGGCTGGAAATACCTGTCAAAATTTTTGTCAACACCTTGGCATTTGGAATGGTATCGTATTTTCGAAGTAGAACACAACAGTCAGAGTGAATGACTGATCTGTCGTTACCTTTGAGTTCTGTTTTTACAACATCAGCCTCGTCCTTCAAAAAATCTTGCTCATTTTCACATGTGAAATACTCGTCGATCAACCTTTCCATACCAAGCTTTTTGGTTGGATTCGTTTTTTGAGCCTCTTCATCAGAAACAACAAATTCTCTTGCCAGTTTAAACATGGCTTGCACTTTTGATACGTTCACCTTTTCTAACAATCTCATTTCATCTGTGATTATGGTAGACAATTCAATAACATTTGTTACATTTTGGAGTAATTCCATGCGATATGCCTCAGATTTTGCTTCATACTTAATTTCTCCAATTTCTTTGAGACCAATAATTTCTGTTTCTAATTGTGAAAAAGAAATGGAAGACTCCACAGCAATTTTTGCAATGTCAATTTCAAACTTTGAGGTTGCTTTCGAGTTGGACATGGCTGTCTTGAGCCAAGAGTGTTTCTTTGCCAATTCGGCAGGAGTAGTCTTCATGAAAAATATCGTATAAATGTGATTGGTGTTCGAAAGGAGCTTAATAAAACCTTTGTTGTGAAGAATGGTAAGAAGAGTAGAAATTACTTCTTCTTTAAGGTCTAAATGCTTTTCTAATTGTTTCATTCCTAACACACACATGTGACCTTTTTCTGCATTCTTTGAAAATATTTTCTGAATCAGTTTTTTCACAGTAAAAATATCAACGTAGTTGCTGTAGCACAGAGATCGAGAAATTACATAATCGTCTTCATCAAAGAAGATGTGGCATTGAGCTGGAGAGCCATCTCTTCCTGCACGTCCAATTTCTTGCACATAGCTCTCGATAGATCTTGGTAAATTGAAGTGAATAACCGACTGTACACCTGAAATGGATATTCCCATACCAAAGGCAACTGTGGCAACAATAATATTAATTTCTTTGTTCATGAACTGAGTTTGAATTTCTTTTCTCCTGGATGCTTCAATTCCTGCATGGTATGGTATTGCGTGGATTCCATTCATTATTAAATGACTGCATAGCTGTTCAGCATCTTTCCTTAGCATGGTATAAATAATAACAGAATCTCTATATCCTTTCATTCGATCGCTGTTGAGGAGATTGAGAACAGCGGTAAATTTGCTTGGTAATCCCAGAGAAACAGTTTTTACAAGATTGTGGCGTGCTAGTGTTTGTCTTGAAACATTCTCTGCAGGAATGTGTAAATAGTCACAAATTGATTGTTCTGTTGATTTTGTAGCTGTTCCTGTTAGGGCTAATATGGTGGATACACCAAGATCCTTCTCGAGAACATTTTTCACGCTCAAATATGAAGGCCTAAAATTATGTGACCATTCTGACATACAATGGGCCTCTTTTTCATGTAAGTTACTATCATGAAATAATTACTTGCACTTACCATCAATACAGGCAAATGAAATGGGAGGAAGTTGTTTAGCACTCTCAATAAACCTAGCATCACAAAGCCTTTCTGGAGAAATAAATAGTATCTTTACAAGTCCTTTTCTGATATCATTCATGATTTTTGAACGTTGTTGACTTGATTGATGATTGGTCATCAATGCCCCTCGTAAGCTAGGTATAAGGTTTTGCATTTGATCTTCCATTAAGGAAATTAAAGGTGAAACTACAATAACAAACTCTTTCTTGGTACATGTTAGACACAGAGCAGGATACTGATAACACGTCGATTTACCACTTCCAGTGACAGAAATCAGCAAAGCAGACTCTTTTCTCAAAATTCTTGAAATTGTTTCATATTGCCCCGATCTAAATGAATCATGTGAAAAGTGTTCCTTTAAAACTATTTCAGCAACTTGCTTGGAGTTCAAGATATCTTCCAGTGAATATCCTAAAGAGAGACTAGATTCAGAAGGGGTGGTGTCATTCGTTTCATCGTCATTCTCACTATCATCCCCAATTATTTCATTTTCATCATCAATATTGTTGTTATCTTGATCTTTCAATAATTCAAGATCTTTCTTTGACAATGCATTTCCATACTTTTTACTGCTTCCTTTAAACCTTCTTTTCGACTTGAAAGTTTTTCTTCTCAAATTTAATTTAACATAATTTGGCTCCGATTTGAAAACATTTTTCAAAGCCTCCTTCTTTTCCAATTTTTCATTAAAAGCCTTATTTTCCTTCTCAATTTCTTCCTTCTCTTTCTTTTCTTCTTGGTATTGGCATTCCATTTCTTCCTGAACTTGATAAAAATCCTTTCCCGATAATTTTTCTGTAACATGATGATTGGATTTTAATCGTTTTTGTTGTTGCTGTTGTAACATGGGAACAACGAATGAATTACATGAATCTTCGTTTGTTGCAGTGGTACTAGATTTCAATGTAGAACCTTTGGTACTAGAAGACGTTTCAACATCGGATGATGAAGAACTCAAAGCCTTTGAAAATATTGGTTTCGAATTCATGATGATTTGTTGTTGACTTACTGTTGTGTTCATTCCAGCAATAGTGAAAGGCATGGAAGAGGATGCAGAGGAATGATTCCACATCAAACCCGAATTTTCATGGTTTAGGGCTTGCAATAATTGAAGTTTTCGTTTTGACATTTTTTTAAGAAAAAAAGGCGCCAACATGTTTTCGCGCCATTTTAAATTTTTAAACGTTTTTGGGTGAGCAAAGACCAAAAAAAATTATCTTCCTTTTCCGACTGCTGTCACTGTATGGTACTCAAAAAACTGCAACAACTCTGACACCACCAAGTGAGAATACTCTCCTCTTTCATTCCTTCTTTATAATTGCTGGAACACCCCACAGAACAGTCACTTGTCATAATTTTTATATTTCAAAATCTTCATCACTTTATTAATAACAAATTCTTCATGTCCCACCCCAACTCGCCCACCACCACAACTGCTCTTTCCTACACCAATCCCATCATCAGTGTCTTTGAAGACGATGGTTTTCTCACCTCCAAATCCCTCTTCTCTCAAAATCATTTGGATTTTCATTCTTCTTCATTTCATCCCTCCGAGGAGGACTCGGAATTTCTCGTCCATATGGTTCTCCTCGAACATTCTCCAATCTTAATACAACAATGTGTGCCACAACTACAACCACACAATCACACTCTCATTTTGATTTTCCTCTCAAAACTTCTCCTCATAATGATGATGTTGTTGTCACTCCTCCTCGAAAACCTCTACGACGAGCACTCATGGATAAAGACCTGGATCATCATAGTAACAGAACACACATTCAAGACGACGACGACGCAGACGACAACGACGAGATGAATTCCTCATTCTGCAATTTCAAATCTTCAGAGATTTCATTCCTATCATCCACGACATCTTCATTATCCACAATGATGGAAAGTAGTTTTTGTACAACGACAACGACGACCCATTCTTCGAGTACAACCTCAATGAGGACCATTTGTACACCGAAAAACAATGTCACAGAATTATTGGAACCAATCACCATGGAGACACCTTTTGCAACAATGACGACGATACTGACATCAAGAGGATCTGAATCAAGTTGTTGTCCAACGATTTCATTGAGTAATATCAAACCATCCATGTGTAGTGACCATCATGATGATACATTTGAGGAAGATGAAACTTTGGAATTCATTTTGGTGGATTCTCCTTGTAAACAAATCATGACTCAAGATTCTGAAATTTCTGAGCAGTTTCGTCATGTACAGCAACAACGAAATTATGTAGCGGATTCGAATTGTTTGTCACCTCCCATGTTGAAGAGAAAAAGTCAAAAAATCAAAGATTCAGAAGAACTCATCCTTTCCAAATACGGACATCAAGATAGAAGAGCAACGTTGACGCCAATTTCATCAGCATTTCTCACACAACATCAAACTCAACGAAACAGTTTGTCAAAGAAGGGAAATTTCATTCATCGACTTTCGATTCGAAAATTGAATGCAACACATGATGTGACATTGAATGATCATCATTCCATGTCACCACTCATGTTTCTGAAAAACCTTGTTACAATTCAAAAATCCAACAGAACAAGTCCATCTTCTCCTTCTTCTGTCTATCATTCGAATTCACCACAAATTAGTAACAACATTCTTCATCAAATGATCACAAGTCATGGAGTGAGTGTTTATGAGCTAAGTCAAACCCATGATGTAGTTCTCATCTTTTTACGAAGTTTCACATGTCCATTTACAAAATACTCCATTTCTGAAATGACCAAAGAATATCAACGATTGATTAATATGAATACTCTTCCAGTATTTGTTCATCCAGGAAGTGGTTTCTTGGAACATGAACCTTTGGATAGAGTTATAGAATCCAAATGTGAAAAAAAAGGACTCACTAGGTTATGGCGAAGTTTCTATAAGAGCTCTTCTTCCAGCAGTGGTCACAATTCATCTCAACAACGTTTAGCATCTAGTAGAGACAGTCTACATACCATTTTTGGAGCAAATTGTGTACAATCCGATCAAGAGAGTTTCAATCTTTACAAGAGTATTATTGAAGATTACCATAGAGTTTCAGATCCTACGGGTTACTTATTTTTCAACCATTTTAACATTCGAAAACTGGCCATGAAATCTCTCATTAATCTAAGCTCATTATTTTCTGCAATTACCATGACATTGCAAGGATACAGTGTTGGAATTTGTACGAATCATTTGTCACAAGTGCATCGATTACCAATCATGTTTCGTGTTTCCAAAGGTGAAATTTGTGAGCAATATTCATTTGTGGACATGCAAGACAAACCTGATTACATTGATTTTCTTGTAGATGCCAACAGTGAAGAATGTGTGAATTTGGATTATGAATTTTTATCATTGTCTCCACAAAAACCAAATGCGACCAAATCAGAAACAACAACTCCACAGCCGCACAATGAAATTTCTTGTGTGACCATTCATCCTGACAAGTATATTTACTCGAATAATATTTCTTCAGTTCCAACAGATCAATTGAGAGACATGAATGACAACTTTGAAAAGAATTCTTCATCCAACAAACTTCGAAAAACATTTTCATGCTTTTTTGGAAGTAGTTCACCATCAAGCTCACCAAGAAGGAGAAATAACACTGGATCGAGTATGGAAGATTTACTTTACACTGCAAGAAGACCAAATTTACAAATTTTGACAAGTACTGACGCGTTGAAATCTGCTAGAAACGAAATCCAATCTTCTCTCTCAGATATTTTGAATGATCACAAGACGAGAATTGAATTCAAGAATTTTTGTGAAACATCACTTCATTTGAATACGTTTTGTTTGTATGAAAAATTGAAGTTCTATCAAACACTTTTCAAATCCATGGATCCAAAGACTCAGCAGCATGCAAGCACTAACAATAGTCAAACTCCAAAGTGTGTTGCCTTAACTGTTTTAAGAACGTTTTTAAATGACGAAAGTAAGGCGTTTGTTTTTTCCGTTCAACCACAAACCATTGAGAAGGTGAAGAAAATCTATGAACGGAAGGAATTGTGAAAACATTGTTTGATTCACTTTTGAATGAAATGGAGACACACATCTTACCTCCTCTTGTACGAAGCTTTAAATATCAATAATAATCATAACAACAAATTTGTAAAACGAAACAATGTTTTGGTTGTAAACTGAATTCGGTGTGTGTAAAATGATCGATAGGTTGATAAATCTAAAGTTTAGTTGGTATTGATTAATCATACAATCTCATGAGCTTCTTAATTCTCTCCATATCCAGCTCATGTTCATGTTCAGCTTGATAAGTTGAACCTTGCAATGATGACTTCATCCGCATGAATTTTTGAGTCATCAATTTGTGGAATGAATTAAAGTGATGGGAAGTAAGGGCCTTTTCCAATACTTGCACATTTCACCCTTCCAATAAATCAAAGTAAAGTATGGCTTTGCCAAATTGATTCTATTGTCCGTGAGCATGGAAATATCTTTGGCATAACCTTGCGCATGGAAAACTCGAATAATTGCAAAGTTCACAGAATTTGGTTTCAAATAACTCTTAAAGTTTTGAACATCTCCTTCTCCATGAGCTGTCACTTCAATTTCATCAATGGAATCTTTGACATAGCTCATGAGAATCCAATCAAGTTTTCCTTGAGAGATTCTCTTGTGATTTCTCCATTCTTCATTTTCTTCATCTTCATCCTTTTTCTCATCATTCTTTTCAAGATAATCTTGCAAAATCATATCTTCGACAAGGTGCATCAACGTATCTTGATCCTTGACCGATAATTTGCTCTTCTTTTCTTTACCTAGACCTTCAAACTTCTTATCCTTCTTTTCTAATTTCATTTCATTTCCACGAACATTGGATCCTGTAATCTTTTCCATCACAAGCTTCAATGTGACATGTTCTGGTTTGGTACATCCCTGAATTTCACCAGACATGTACAATTCCTTGTGAACGAAATTGTAAATGGATTGTCTAATTTCACTTGCCTTGGCCTTCAATAAATGTTTCACATCATGTCCAATCCATTGAACAAAAACATATTTAGTCATCATTCCGTAACCTCCTTCAGATGTGAAAAGTCCAAACACAAACAAGAGACATTCATTAGAATTTAAATGATGTTCTCTCCATTCATCGTCAGAGCATTATCTCCAGATTCCTCAACCATGACATCACGAAGCTCCTTTCCAGTGAGTTTCATCTTGATGTAATTCACACTTGCATTTTCAAGTGCCTTATCATGTTGTTCATTTCGACACTTTTCAGCCAAATTTGCAAGAGCTTTCTTAATGTCTTCTTTGCCATTGAATTCAATATCTTTAAATTCTCCAGTGTATTGTTTAGCGTCTTTGACTTCAATGGTTGGTTGAACTTGAACAATACGTTCTCTTTCAAAGGTTCTTTGTTGTTGAATCTTTTCTTCCAAAGCATCTCCTGCATTGTCATTCTTGGTTCCAGTAATTTTAGAAAGTAAATCTTCATCGGTCAAAGATTCAGTGCTTTCGGGTTGATATTCACCACCAACTGAGATTTGTTTTCTTGTAAATTCGTATAAATTAATTCTGTGACCACCAGAGAGAGCTTTTTGGAAACTTGGAGCATTTTCACCAACCCATGTCACAACAATGGCCTTTGCAATATCAGAATATTCCATAAATGTCAAACGCATGACCACATAACAGACAGTGTCATTGGTGAGATATTGTTTAAAGTTTTTCACACCTCCTTTTCCTCTGTGTGTCACACTCACTGTATATTGATTTCCAGGAACATATTCAAACAATAGCCATCGAATACCACTATTTCCTCTCAATTCCTTAAATGCCTCAAGAACTGCTTGATCATCGTCAAACTTTAAATTCGAATCTCTACCTCCAAAGTTGCCCTTTGAAACAGCTGTTGGAGCTGAAATAATGGCAGAACCTGCAACTTTCTTGTGAATCAATTCTTCTTTAAGTTCTTCTCTTTCAAGAGCTTGATACAATGCAGCAACAGGTGTCACTTTCTTTGTGATTGATTCTAATTCAAGTTGATGAGTAGTAGCTCGAGCTTTGGCAGTACCAGCCGTGACTCCAGTACCAACCCAAGTAATGAGTGCAATCTTGGACTGTGTTCGACATAGGTCTTGTACAAGACGTAACTCACAGCATCATCGGATAAATGGTTTTGGAATTCATTCAAACCACCTGTACCTTTCTCTTCAAATTGAAGAGAATTTGATCCATTATAACCAAGTTTGATCCAATTGGTTGGAGTGTTGTCATCCTTCAAATCTTGAATGGCTTCCATAATGGTCGTTTCGTTGACTAGGGTCAAAGATTGACTCTTACCACCAAAGGACTTGGAAATTACACCAGCAGTTGCTGAACCCTTTGATCCTCCAGAAACTTTTCCAAAAATCGAGTCGTTATCTAATTCATTGATACTAATTGGTTGATATTCACTTGACAAGGAGACATGACGTAAGCAATACTTGAAGAGTGCAATACGGTGTGGAGTGGTTGATGCTTTAGCCATTGGTTTCACATCTTGACCTACCCAAGCAATAAGAATTGCTTTTGGAGCTCCTCCCAATTCTTCCAAAAATTGTTTGTACAAAATGTAAAAGACCTTGTCATCTGTCAATTTAGATTTAAATGATTCAGCAGTACCAGTTCCCTTATCTTCCAATTGTAAAGTCTTGGAATCCTTGTAAGAAATCATGACCCAAGAAATGTCATTGGAATCACTTTGCAGTTCCTTCATGCTATCAATCAAATCATCTTCATTGAGAACCTTTAAGCCACCTCCAATTCCAGTGTCATAACCTGCCTTCTTCATGGAAACTCTTCTTGCTGCACTGCGATTCGAAGGTGAAGTCACTGGAGTTTTCTCACGTTCAGCTGCTTGTGCAAACTTTTCCTGTAATTTCTTGACAGCAACTTCTGGCTCGAGCGGTGTACCAGCACTTTCGAGTGCAATTTTAGCATCTTTCACAGATGTGACTTCTGTGAAAACAAGTGGCTCAGCATCAACGTTTGGAATGACAGCATTAATAGATGAAGAGAGTTTCATCGCATGGTTCGTACAAATGGCCTTAAAATAAGATCTAACTCCTTTTCCTCTCCAAATGATAATTCTGAATTTGGCTTCAATTCTCGAATTTCTTTCAACATAGTATTTGTGAACAAAATATTTGACAGCATCATCCTGTAAATGCTTTTCAATGGTCTCCGAATCGTTTGGAAGTGGTTTTGATCCACTATCAGCTACTGTTAAAATATTGAGAGATTTCTCATTAGGATATCCGAAAAGAACCCACATGGTATCCAATTCAAGTGGCTCTTTCAAGTCATACAATTTATCAATGGCTCTTTCCTCATCCTCAATTCTAATTGAATTTTGACCATAGACCAAAGCAGTCACTCTCTTTGGATCTTTCTTTTTGATCAAATTTCTAGTGAGCTTATCCATATTGTCCATCGAAAAGTTATGGACACCTCCTTTGTGAACGGATTTTTTCCTTCTTGCGCTGTTGGGAGAGTCCGTTCTGGATGTTGGAGATGGAATGGTACCCTCATTGGAAGCATTTTGTGAAGCATTGGTAGTTGTCAATGCAGGGGGTTGATCAACATCTTCAGGAGTTCTCACCTTAATTCCCTTCAATTTACCTTCCTTATAACCGAGTTTAATCTTGCTCAAAATTTCACTTCCCTTTCTTGGTAATGGAGCAGAAGAAGAACCTGAGTCAGTAGAATCTGTGGTTGTAGTGGTGGATGTGTCCTTAGATTTCATGGAACTTTTTCTTGGAGATTTAAGATGAGAATCCTTTCTTGGAGATCTTAATGGATCGCTTCTTGGAGATTTCAATAATGGAATCTCAGTGTGAATAGCTTCCGATGGAGGAGGAACATACTTTGGAGTACCCCAATCAGTCACAGCAACAGGAACAGCACTTCTGTTACCTAACATTAAATTTTGAATATAATCTACAGTTAATTCATCTTCATTGGTAATGGTGACTTCACCTCCCAATTGGAAATGTTTGTTAATAAAGTCATAAACTTCTTGTTTGTGTTGATTCACTTTACCACGACGAACCGAGTTCACAGCACTTCCAACAAATGACAAAAAGTAAGTCTTTTCAACATCTCCTCCGTATCCAGTATTGGACAATATCCATTTCAAAATAATGTATTGCATATCGTCTTCTTTGAGTGCATCAAACAATGCGGAAGGAAAAACATTTTGTTCTTGGCCTTGTCCTTCTATTTGACATAATCCATCAGAATTGTATCCCAACAAGAGCCAAGCAAAGGAACGAGATTTCAACAAGGGTTGAATATTACTTTCATCAATTTTTAACACCTGTCTCATGATGGCAGCAAGTCCGAGTTTTGGTGGCTTACTACTTGTACGTTGATGTCTTCGATTGTGTAAAAGAGCCTCTTCAGAAGAAGAGCTACTTGATGACGAAGCAGCTGATACCGAAGGATTGTAACGATTCATGAGAGTGGATGATTTTTGAGCACTCTGTGTGGAGCTGTGACTTGAATTGCTAGTGACACTCGAGCTATTAGTACTAGTGGTCATGCCAGCACTACTGTTCGATGAAGAAGTTGCAGCAGAACGAGGAGAAGTCACTACTGATTGATAATTGGAAGCAACTGCAGAGAAGGTAGAGCTAGTACTACTACTACTACTCGTTGGAGTCTTGTCTTTCATATTTTCAAATTCAAACTTTTGAGATTCTTCCACAATACGAATCAACTTGTCAAATTCATCGACACCATTGTGATCGAATACAAAATTCATGGAAAGCAACTTTTCTGCCAATGATTTAATTTCCATTCGATGAGTCATGGCACGAGTTTTCATGAGAGTTTTAGTTTTGGTTCCGATCCAATTGATGAAAATATAACGATTAGCATCAATACGAGCAATAAAGTAATTGAAACTGAAAGGTGTCAAATAACCAGTGATGGATTCTTGAGCAGAGGATGTATTGCGAAGTTGTTCGAGTTGAGTCTTGTCAAGAGGTTCATGTCCTGTGCGTGAGATTTCAATCTTGTTGGAAACTCCTTTTGATTTGTTATTGTTGTTGGAAGCATCTAATTCTTGATAGGCAAAGAAGAGCCATTGGAGGGTGGAATCTGATTGAAAGTTTTTGATTTGTGTGGAGATGGCCTCTTTGGATGGAACGAAATCAATTTGATCCATTTTGTGTGTGTGGAAAGGTTGTATGATGAAACAGATAGGATAATAAATTCAAAATTGGACCAATTAAAGGGTGTCAAGAGCTGTTATTCACACACAGATGATGACGAGTTTGTTGTAACAGTATGATTGGAGAGCAATAACAGGACCAAAACAAATTGGGTGAAAATTATTGCCACAGCTGTCAACTCGTTTTTTTGTGTGAAGATGCAGCTGTTGGTGATGGATGAAAAATTTTCGTCTCCCATCTCTAGAAGCGTCAAACGTCATAAAAATTGAGCTCAATTAAAAAGTGCTTTTTCTGCATATTCAATTATTAAGATTTATCGGTAATTGTTATGAGCGATTTATCAATAATTATTATGAGCAATACAATTTGCTTGTAAATGTACAAGCTTGAAGGAGATGTTTTTTGCACGATTGGTCTCGAGAAATTAAACCAAGTGGTTGCTCTTTCTGTTTGTCCATCTCCGATCGCTTACGTCAACATCACTCTTACTTATTCAAAGGCTTCACCTTCTTAACTCGTCCAACACCAATAGTTCTATCTGAACGTAAAACAAATCTTCCCATGGAGTTCAAAGTTTCGAATTTCTCAACGCACACTGGTCGTTCAAGTCTAAAAACAGCCTCAGCAGTATCCTTATTTTGAATGAATTTTGGAACTTGAGGCAATGGCTTTCCAGTCTTCTTATCAAGTTTGTTTAAGATCTTTGTAATTTGAATAGTTTCCATGACAGTGTGGAAGTGAGCATTGGTAGTAAAGCCAGAACAAATGACGTCCACATGTTCAGAGCTATCCAAAATGTGAATTTGGCCAATAAATTCTTGAACTGGTTCTAATAAATGTTCAGGATCACAAACTACGTGACCAGCAGCAATATTTTCATCGTCGCCCTTCAAGTATAATTCAACATTTTCACCAGCTTCGACCACTCCTCCATGGATATTGATTTCGTGACTCTTCAAAGCCACAACTTCGCATACAGCTCTATTTGGCATGACCACAACCTTTTGACCAATTTTAATTTGTCCACTCAGAACTTTACCCAAAGCGACTGTGCATCCCTTGTCTCTGTATCTGTCGATGATTGGCAATCGCAATGGAGCACTGCTGTCGTGAGTCACTGTGAATTTGATTTCATCCAAAGCTTCAATCAATGATGGACCAGTGTACCAAGGACATTCAAGATTTCTGGTCTTAATATTTCCTCCAGTGAGAGCGTCGATTGGAATAAATTGAACTTGACTCTTTAAATTCCATCCGATACCCTTCAATGTGTTGCTGACCTTTGTAACAATTTCATCATATCTTACTTTATCTCTGTCAACGGTTGGATCGGCCATTTTGTTGACAACAACAATTAATTGGTCCACACCCAAAGTTTTAGCCAAAATTGTGTGTTCCAAAGTTTGACCACCTCTGTCGAGACCTGCTTCAAATTCACCCTTTCTTGCTGAAATGACCAAAATACCAACATCGGCTTGCGTAGTAGCGGCAATCATGTTTGGAACGTAAGCCTTGTGTCCGGGAGCATCAAGAATTGTGTAACGTTTCTTTTGAGTTTCAAAGTGTGCACGTCCGACTTCAATGGTTTTACCTCTCTCCTTTTCATCTTCACTACAATCCATGATATAGGCAATATACCATGACTCTCTGTTGTTTTCTTTGGCTTCCAATTTAAATTTTTCAATCACTCTTTCATCAATCATGCCGGTATCCAACAAAATACGGCCTGAGAGTGTGCTTTTACCAGCATCAACGTGTCCAAGGAAAATGACGTTTAACGGAGGAGTAGTTGTGAGCAATTCCTTGTTTCCCTCGTTGGTATCAATGACTGCTGGTGAATTTTCAATGAGTTCTTCCATTATTCTTGTTGAAGATGATGGACGTATTTGATGAAGATTTCAAATATTTTTTTTTCAACAATTTTTTTTAATTGAATTCGCTATCCTTGGTGTTGCTTCAGAACAAAGATTCAAATTGAGAGTTGAAAGATATTATTATTAATAGGTGGAATATTATTGCCCAATGAATCAAAACCAACTGCTTGTACTACCACCAAACTTGTTCTGGCTTCTCATTGGAAGCAACGACGTTCGTTGCATTGTTATGACCATTCTAAACATAATCTGCCCTCGCTTTTACAACGATGATGAGGATGTATTATTGCACCAGCTGCACAATCAACGTTGTATGCTGTTGGAGATCCTTCATTATCCATCACTACATTTTCGAAACCCAACCATCCCGAAGCAGACCACCATCCATACAATCATAATTAAAAAATGAGTTCATCCTCCAAACGAAATTCCAAACGTTTGTCCAACGTTGAATCATCAAGCCCAAGACAACCATTAGGAGAGACGTATTTTGGTGCTGGTATTGTTTTGAATGATGTAGGAAAGGATGGACGTTCATTGGCTTGTGCTAGTGGAGGTGGATACTTGTTTACCAATGAAGAAGAAATTAAAGAACAACGAAAAGGAATTTGGGATATGGTCAAAAAGCTGGGAGGTGCTCTCCTTGAAGGAAAAGATTTAGTATCGGTTTCTTTGCCTGTATATATTTTTGAAGGACGAAGCTTTTTACAACGTTTGCCTGATTTGTGGGCATTCCATAAATTATTAACCAAGGCTGCCGATGAGAAGGATCCAGTCGAGAGATTCATTCAAGTGATTGCTTTTGGTATTGCTGGATTACATCAGATGTGTGTACAGAAGAAACCTTTCAATCCGATTCTCGGAGAAACATTTGAAGCTACCTTTCTTCATGAAAAGGATCCTACCAAGGATATTCAACTCTTTGTCGAACAAACATCTCATCACCCTCCTATCTCTTCCTATGAAGCCCAAGGTCATAATTTCAGATTGCACGGATATTGTGGTTACCTTGCAAGTATCCGAGGAAATGCCTTGAAAGGCGGCCAAGTAGGTCCAACATATATCGATTTTGAATCGGATGGAGCAACCATTCACTACTCACAACCATTCTTGTGGCTAAAAGGTATTTGTTGGGGAGAACGAGTTCTCGAATATTATGACAAGATGGCTTTCACAGAGAACAAGAATAATCTCGAATGTGAAGTAGTCTTTAATCCAGACCAAAAGAGTTTCATTGGATCCTTTTTCAGTAGTCAAAAGACCCCTGTTGATTTCTTGAGAGGTGAAGTTAAAAAAGATGGTAGCGTGATCGGTGTGATTGAAGGAAGTTGGTTGGGTGTTGTTCACTACTATCCTGGACAAACAGCTGATTCATTGTCTTCAATGAAAGACAAGGAAAAGGTCGAAGTATCTCGCAAGGAAATTTTCAATATTGCAAAGGAAGTTCCAAAATATGCTAAACCTTCGGATGATCCTCTTCCATCAGATGCTCGTTTCCGAGAAGATGCTGTTGCTCTCCGAAGTGGAAACTTGGAATTAGCTCAAACAAAGAAAGAAGAGCTTGAGAACAAACAAAGAAGAGAACGAGCTCTCAGAAAGACTGGATCCAGTCGGAATAGCCTTGCAAGCAATCAAAGTGGTAGCGAAAAAGACTTGATAGAGGCAACTCAAAATTAGTCATTTTGTGTGCAAGATGTTGAGGTTTTTGAGATTACAACGAGAGATGTTACTCAATTCTTTTTTACCATTTATCTATTTATTTATCACACGCCTTTGTAAAAATTAATAACGATATTGTTAAAATGTGACAACCCAATTTTTGTAACGTCGATGGTGTCCATTCATATTTTTGATTGTTTATTTTGAACGAGTGGTTTTGCTACACGTATTTGAGCTGCTCTGTCAGAAACAACCATGATAAATACCGATACTGTATTTAAAGTACATCCTTGTTGTATTGATCTTCTTCACTTTGAGGAATAAGCTCTGTTTTTATGAGTATATTAAGCGAGAGTTCTTTGGCTGCATGACAAAAACAAGTCTAAATGAATTAGTTCATCAATGTCAATCGATCACGTCACAAGTGAAAGAGAAAATTAAACAATAGTTATTTCGAAATGACCACTTACATAAAGTAAAATTGTAAGAACCCATCCAATATATAATAGAGTATTAAATATCGGGCTTGACAGCATTGGAAGCGGAGATTCCATGCTTCTTCCATATTCAGCCCATACAAAAAACACAACATGTAACATGAAAAAGAAAATATCTACATTTGTGGCGTAATAAATCACATTCAATCGTCTCATATTTTCTGTGTTAGTTTTGCTGTAGTATTGATAACATAAAGTGAATGACATGATAATTATGAGACCCTTCACGAATATCAAATCCAATATCGATCCAACAAGAGGATAATTTGAAAGTACAAATGATTGAGCCCGATTCATTTCCATCAAATCACTCCATCGGGAATTTTCTGCATCAATACTATCCGAAAATACAATCTTACAAAGATGAACGATTGCCAACAAGAGGAAAGCATACGAAAATTTTCTCATTTTGGCCAACCAGAATTCGATTTTTGCATCATAAACTTTTGATAATTGAAAAAAGTATGCTGATTTTGAAGGTTTCAAATCGGATCCTTCTTCTTCATCCAGTTGTGGCTCTGGAATGTTTTCCGGAGGTTGGATGTTTTTTGTTGATGTCAAAAATTCACGCAAATCAGCTACGAAGTGCTTCAGTGTTTGTTGAGGCAT